GGAAAAGCTGTTTAGGTGAGGCGTCAATGTCTGCCTTGGTGTTCTACCCTTATTTGACACTAGGTTCCAGGTGGATCCGGAGTATATGCACTCGTACTTGATTACAAGCAACAGGTCAAAGCGCTTGCTGCAGCAAAGGCGACTGGTGGAATGGCCTTAGAAGATTATAAGGCACAGAGAAATGCACTGTTTGCCCAACGAAATATGGTAGGATGATTTACGTCTTCTGGGATTTGCCCACCTCTCATCGCTACCAGGAGATGGCCCCGCACCGCAAGTGGGCATACGATGTCCGCCGCCATCGCCTTCAGCAACAGGACGCCGTTCGGAGCCGGCGCCAGCAAATGTAGATGCTGTTCCGCCTCATCTCAGCCTCTTACACCATGCTCATTGCGCTGTACTTGTAGGATCCTTGATAAGCTGCACGAAGAAGGTTGTCTTGACACTCGAGGGATATTTTAGGCTTATCTAATGTTCCCTTTTTTGCAGGTTACACAGAGGTTCAGTCATACCCGATCTGGCGCCTTCCTGGTGTCCGCGTGGCCGCTGAACTTACAGACAAAGGTGAGCGGGGGCCTGTTTGAGTGGGATTAGAGAACATGTCGAATCAGCTTATAACCCTCGCAGAATGGAAGCTCATCAAGTTCGACCTCATGAACGTTTTCGAAGATCTACGTCGACAAGCAAAGGCACGAGACATGGAACACAAGTTCTACCGACGCACCAGCCATTTGAGAGCCGTCTTCACTGAAGCATCTAAGGACATTCCAGCCCCACAGATCCTTCCTCCGATTGGGCAGATTGCCAATTGCGAACCTTTCTTGTCACTTCTTAAGGGTACCCCAATTGAAGACGAAATCACAATGGAACAAGTACAAGCTCTCGCCGGCCACCTCCCTGGCATTTTCAGTGCATGGAGGGAGGAGTGTGACGCGGTACTTCTCAGTCTGATTCCTGGGTCACAGGGGAAGCCCAACAAGATGCAGACAGATACTGTTGACAGGCAACCTCTTGAACTTGCAACCACATTTTTCAAGTGCTTTGCATGCGACGAACCAATCACATACCCCCGGATTCTTGTCCACTCCTGCGTGAGATACAGAAGACCCCCCGAGTCAGACGGCGGTTCAGAGAAGCCTGACGAACAAGACCAAAAAATTGATGACAGAGATACAGAAGACGACAGTGAAGAAGATGAATCGAAGGATGACGCTGATACCTCCTCTCATCAGGCCGCCAGGACTGTCATCAAGAGGGAGCTTGATGTCGACTTCGTTTGGTCCAGGGCTCTAGACGGCGTCTGGGATGCGTCAGGCAATCGAATTATGTTCGACGAAGAGGCCTCACGCTATGCTGAAGTTGTCATCCAAGCCTTTGGGGAGGATCCACAAACTGTAACCCAAGACCAAATGAACCAGAACGACGGCCGAATTGAGTGCATCTCCTGCCGTGTCGAGGGAAAGAAACCAAAGCGCCTTGTCATGGACTGGAAGACAGCGGTAGGCAATCTTGTATCTTGTCTTATTTTCAGATACTAGACGACTCTTATCGCCTTGTGTAGATCCTTCACGACATGGATTATCATTTCGAGGATCCTCCTAAGCAAGAAAAATGGCAACCACTCACAGAAGAGGCAGATTTGGTGAAGGCCAAAGACACGGAAGCTAAAGCAAGCAAACGGTGGAGGACTCCCTCCTACCACTGTCGACACTGCGATCGGTACCCCATCGACGGCAAACGCATCAAGGAACACCTGGAGAGCCATAGGATCGCTTGCGAGCATAACGCTTATGACTTAAGGCAAGATGCCGTACCTCTCCTGGACACGTCCATCCGGATGCCTCCGTATGCTGTGAAGATTTGATGACCCCGGCTCATCAAATTTTGACGAACTAACACACCCCGTATTTACCACGTTTCCGGATTCATCTATATGGACCTTTTGAGTATTGTTATCTATGTAAACCTTCTTGTCTCATTGGGCTCATGCGAAATAAGCCAACTGTGCCATTGAATAACGATAACATCCTTGTCACCAGTAGGAGAATGGTATGTGATTAGACAGAAAAATAGGAAATTCGAGCGGCAATGAGGTGGTTCGATTTATCAGGGCATCGCTGGGGACATCGAAATTTATGTTGCATTCTAGAGGGAGCTCGGGAATACTGACCACTAATTTGAACTGATGGACGAGAAAACTGACCTGGAGAATTGATTTGGCAGGTTGTGACGATCCGTCCATTGAAGTGAGCTCAATAGTCTATTGAGACGTATCACTAGGACGGGTCTGTCGGGACTGAACTTGTTGGAAGACTCGCTATCTTCGTCGTACGGCGTTTAGAGACTCAGCAGTTTCTGTGATTCAGTGCTGCAAGAGCCTCCCTGATAGATACCGAAGTGGCTGTGCGCTCGTTTCAAGTTTGCAACTTACCCCAACCAAACTCAAACTCCAACTCAGCGTCTGCCTTGGGCTTTAAACACACAGATATGTCCAACAATCAAGGACCATCGCAACTTCCTGCCGTCAGCTTCTTCCTGGTTTTTATTTGAATGCGATCAAATATACATCTTACTCAGAATTCTAGGGGAAAACGAAAGCCAAGAAACGCTACCTGAAACGAAAGAAGGAGAAGAGGAAATTTAGGTCAAAAGTTGCTCATGCAGGCATCAGCTCCGTATATATTCCAGAAGAGGACGTGCAAGAAGAGATAGGGACCCCAGAGGCTACTGCATCGGAGATCAATGAGAATGCAGCGATATTGGACCCACCAGAGACGAGCAAGAGATCGAAAAAACGACCGAGACTTGTTCAAGATGAAGATGTCAATATGAATGAACCCCCGGTAGAAGACAAGAGAAGAACGGCTACTCCAGAACTGATAGGCGTGTTGCCTTCTTTCCCGTTACCAGCTCTGCCCAATGCACCTTCAAAAAATCAACTTTCACTTCAAGGCGTAGATAAAGCGTTGATTGATGCAGAGCTCGTTTCTCCGTCAACCATTTTGCCTGTTCTGCTCGGAAAAGACGACGGTGGAACGAGATTGAGCGAAAGGATGCGAAAACGGTTGCGGGATATTGGCGTCATTGAACTGTTCGCTGGTAAGTATCGCTTTCCAGCTCCTCGAAGCTATCAGGCACCTCACGGCTATTAGTCCAAACAACCCTCTTGCCTTTCTTATTGCCCCCCCAGGAATCATCCAGAGAGCTGTATCTTCCCTTCGGCCCACCTCGAGATGTATGCGTTTCTGCGCCGACAGGAAGCGGGAAAACGTTGGCGTATGTGTTGCCTATCCTTGAGGTTCGTCAAGCCACCTGTTCTGCTGTTCATTTCGCCAATTCAACCCTCGTTCAAGATACTAGCTCGAAGAGTGGTGACGCGTTTACGTGCTTTGATCGTTCTCCCAACGCGAGATTTGGTAGCACAAGTTAGAGAAACGATAGAGGTTCTAAGTAAAGGAACGAACCTCAAGGTCCGTGTTTATAATTCGAAGGCCACATTTCTTTGTCACCTATATCAAGTTTTTCTTTAGATAGGCACGGCGACTGGGCAACACTCGTTTGCTCATGAACAATCACAGCTCGTACAAGATCAGACTTCGCCGTGTGTGCCCTCTTGCAAATCGCGTCCTACGAATAGGCGCTAACATGCATCTCGAACTAGTTTGCAAGGCGGCTCAAGCAAAGTTGACATCCTGATAGCCACTCCAGGACGTCTAATTGACCATATTGTTGGCACACCCGGCTTCTCTCTTCAACATCTTCGATTCTTGGTTTGTTGTCTTCCTTTGTGTGTTCCGGAGAGTAATAAACATCTGGGTTCAGGTGATTGACGAAGCCGATCGATTATTGGCACAATCCTTCCAGGACTGGCTCGCGCAAGTGCTGGCCGCTACCCGCGTTCCTGCCAACGGCGCCTTCCCGTTTGTTGGACTATCTCGATCAAGGGACGCCGGAGCCGCTATCCACAAGCCAGCTTCGTTTGATGATATAGTCCCAGACGGGCTGTCTCCTACCTTCCTACAAGGCTTCCACTCAGCTGTGTCGTCTTTCTTCTTGGAGCGGAAAACCCCATCATGTCAGAAATTGCTCTTCTCTGCGACGCTCACTCGGGATCCTGCAAAGATAGCCTCTTTGGAGTTGAGAAACCCTAAGTACATCGTTGTGCAAGGTCGCGGCAAAGACAGTGAAGAGGGAGGCATTTTGGATGTGGTTACGGAGAGATTCTCAATGCCAGCAACGCTCTCGGTTAGCCCTCTCACCCTCTCTGTCCTCTGGCATCCTAAACGTACTTCGGTTAGGAACACATGGTCATCATGGAGCCAAATCTCAAGCCCCTTGTTTTCTTCCACCTTGTCCACACTCGCGGTATCACAAGCGCTCTCGTCTTTACAAAATCCGCAGAATCAACGACGAGACTAGTTCGTCTGTTCGAGTTCTTTGAAACGGTCCGATGCGAGAACCTCAGCGTTACGCCCTTCGCCATGCGAGCTTATTCGAGCGACCTGCCGGCTAACGAACGCAAAATGATCCTGGAACAATTCAAAAGCCAAAGAATTCAGATGTGCGTAATCAACCCTTATTCTTGAACAAATCTGCTGCCTGTGTTCGAAATTTCACGACGCTGACGTTACTGTACCAGACTGGTCTGCTCTGATCTCATTTCCCGAGGCCTTGACATCAGCCATGTATCGCATGTGGTTAGTTACGATGTTCCTGTTGATATGCGTAAGTACGTCCACCGCGTCGGACGTACTGCGCGAGCAGGTCGAACTGGCGATGCCTGGACACTTGTCGAAGAGCAAGAGGTAAGCTGGCATCTCATTCGCCATCGATGCACCATACTGAACCCAAGTCGCGAATCTAGGCACGATATTTCAAGCAGATGCTCAAGGAGGCCGACCATCTGGATCAAGTCAAACGGTTGAGGATTAGTGAAAAAGACCTGGCACCTCTTACAGGACATTACGAGGTGAAGTTTTCATTTTCGCGTTTGGGGTGTCCCTCCTCATCGATCACTGAATGGATTCACAAACAGGTTGCGCTTAACAAGTTGAAGCAGGTGTATACAAGACAGGCATAATATCTGTGACCGCATGTATACTAGCCCGATAGAAGGGCTTAGCCAGCGCCGAAAACAAGCATGACAAAACCCAAAACCGTCTATCATCAGCCCAAAAGTCCTTTCACGTATTTGAGAAGATCTTTTCCCTGGATTCTCTGTCAGTAATCCAAAGCCAATGATGGCGACAACAATGCTCACCCCCCGTGCCTTGACGCCGCTGACCATAGCTTTGACACTATCAACGTCCATTTTGTCTGAATCGTTGTAGTCGTCGGCGCCATCCGTCGAAGTTCGAGGGGTGAGAAAGTTGTATTCAATCCTCTGCTTTTCGACCATCCCATAGCGCAGTGCCACTGTCAACACCGCCCGCCAACCTTCCAGTGCCCCAAGCACACCGTTCCTTTCGTTGAACTGAGACAATGAAGAGCTCGACTTGTGTCCACTGGCCGATGAGCCGGACCAGGTAAGGGTGCCTGGTGTTAGCGGAAGAGGCATCGAAGGAACAACTGTTGAACGGACGACGTAAGGACAGTAGGACCGATGTTCTTTCAGGATGTCGAACGCTCGCTGTGGGAGGGCCTTCTTGACCTGCGAACTTGGGGTGCTAGGTACACTGTCCTTTTCGAGAGACTGAGGTTGAGAATCCGTCGCCTCATTGGCAGCCGGTCGTGTTGTGAAGGCCCAAAGCCCAATCCGTCTCTGACATAGTTCGCATTGCAGAAGGGCGTTTTCGGGCTTGTTTGTCAGGCTGCTTGGTAGACGAAAGGTTATACCGGTTGACTGTCTGGATAATTTGGGAGGCGGCATCTGCGGAGCTACAGACGAAGCACGCGATGAAGTTGGACTGGGAGGGACGGATGCAGATGACATGACGGTATTGGAGCGTGTTAGAGACTTTTTCCTCGTCGATTCTGGCGGTGCTGGTGGAACGAGGCTCCAACCAAATAAAGAAGTGAGAATTGCTGTCTCTGAAGCCTCTTTGACGCTCGACGTCTCTGCTGTGCCTTCTGTTACCATCGCAGAAGGGGATGTATGATGTGACTCTGGTGGGGTGTAAGAGGCTACTGTCGACCGCAATGCATTCAGTTGTGAGGCAGTCTGTCGTGAACATTACTATTACTATTAGGAGCATGTATAAGGAAAAAGGAAGCTTCATTGCTGACCAGGGGGTGTTTTACAAGAATATCCTGGACCACAGAGTTCATTATGACTGCACGACTGTTGATATTTCGTATTGTCATGCCTGAAGATTGGAGAGGTATGCAATAGATGGAATCTACGAGCGTGTAAGACGAAGGATTATGCAAGAACGAGTAGTATCGCCTACCGTCGCACTGACGCGTTTTCCAAGGGCAGCCGTTCTTATGGGTTTCCACCAAGGACACGCGTTGCTTCTCGATTAGAGCGTTCGCTGGACGACATATTAGAGTATACGTGTTGGCGTAGCCTACATTTCTTACCAGCATCGCGATTCAGACCTTCTCTTCCGGAAACAACCCATGAGGCATTGCACAAGCCACAGACTAAGCGATCTTTCCCGTCATTTATCCAACCGCACTTGGATGCAGCCACAGCATCAATTGAAGCAGGCTTGTTAGAGTACGACGTTAACTTGTACGTAGCAAGTCGTGAAAGAAAGGAAGGAAGCGAAGATGGTCGGTATTCTGCTGTTGGTGGAAGAAGGGGGCCAAGTGTTGTTGAGGATTGAGCTGAAGACTTGAACGTAAATGTGCTCTTAGTCCTCGAGGCGGCTCTTGATAGGATGGCACTTAAATGAGGAGTGTGTTTTCCAGATGGAAGAGCAATAGAGGTTGTTCTGATACATGGTCAGCAAGGGTCTCGTTTAGAACTAAGTGCCTGACCTTGAACCTGTTGTCTCGTTTGCTTTAATGCCATACTTCTTCAAGGTTGAGTAGAGAGAACGTATCGTATTCGCTCTCTTTGGTGGAGGGGGCCGTTCCGACGCGTCCTGAGTCCTTTGGCCCCTGGCGACAGCATTGTCAATGATTTGGAAAGCATCGTCGAGTTTCCGCTACCAAGCGTTGAAATGGCGATTGTCAGCACCAAGTTGACCTCCTTTTTCGGAGGGTAAACACACCTTTGCAGATCGTATTCTGCTTTCGTTAGCGGATGTCGACTCAGATATCGCAGCAAGAGGCGAGTCTGACATGAGGCGCAAACAACAAGTTCAAGCGACCAGCGCTCGATTCGTCCAAGCCGCGCCTCAATGATTGCTGAGTCAGCCATTTCGAGCACAAGTTTTCCTTGTTGGTTCCGCATCCCTTCTACAGAGGCTTAACTTCGTGCAAAGTCAACGTTCAATACTCGTATCGTCGCCGTTTCCAAGCCTCGATTACCTCGTGCGCAGTCCTCCACTTCGAGTCCCATCTTCTCAACAATCATCAGGGCCTATCAAGCCCGTCCTCTCGCCCACAAGTGATGAAGCCATCTGTCGAGAAAAGCACGACGTCTTTCGACTGCTATGCGCACATGGAACGTCTTCGTCCGGTAATAGGCCAACAATTCTGACACCAAGCATCTATACCGCCACCCCGCGCCGTCAACTCTCCCGATTCCACATAATCGCGCTTCCTCTAGCTTCCTCTTCGCACAAGACTTGTGAAATTGTGTCTTGTTAAAGAGTAAGGGCATCAGTCATTCAATGCTTTGATTTCTTCAATCATTGGAACGAATGGAATGCCTCTACGCTGGACCTGGACACGCGCGTTCCAGCTACCCAGACTTTCATGACCGAAATGCAAATACAGGCTGGGTCGCACCCAAGAGGCCTATCGTGGGGCGTGCAAATGCCAATAAAATCTCTTGTCCCCCATACGACCCACGCCGATAACACTCTTATCCGCTTCTGTCCAGTGTCCGAGCTGGCCAAGCGCGGAAAAAGGGTTTCTCAATAGTTCAATCCACATCAAAGAACCTCCAACCATTATGTTCCGATATGGCGCAATCCGTTCCCTCGACAGTACCACTGTGCTTCCATGATGGTTTTAAGCAGTGGTGAGAATCATGGCGACCTATCCTCTTCGACGCGGAGGTATCTGCAAGTGGGACCCATTCCCAAATTCACCTAGTTCGTCATGTCCTCCGAAAACGAGAAACAGAGGGCCGACCACGAAAAGGCGTCGTATGTCGTCGAATCTGTCTCTGACGACGACTTGCCCTCGTACGAGGACGCCGCTGTAACGACTGGGGCTCCTACGGAGAAGATCAGTCCTCTGGGTTATCATGTCGACTGGTTAAGCGTCATATTTTTGGTGAGCAGATCTCTCCAATTTCTTGGAGGCCATCTAACCCTACTGCTCGACAGAATGTTAGCAAGATGATTGGGACAGGTGTCTTCACAACCCGTACGTTGCATATGTTCTAGTTTTTGAACATTATATAAGATATCCCTTGTAGCTGGAGCGATTTTGGTCGGCGTTGGCTCCGTGGGTCTCAGCCTGATCTTCTGGGTCATTGGATATGCTTTTGCAGGAGGTATGTCTCCAAATCCGTTGAGACACACTGGCGTCTGAGTGTAATTCCAGCCAGTCTTGCGGTGTTCCTCGAGTATGCTTCATATTTCCCCCATCGCTCAGGAGCCGAGGTGGCCTACTTGGAGAAGGTGTGGACACGTTGTGGCATTTAGCTCATCGCTGCTTCTGATAGCTCTTATCTTTCCGTACAGGCTTACCCCAGGCCGAGGTTCTTGATGCCAACTGTTTTCGCAACACAGTCCGTTCTTCTATCGTTCAGCAGTAGCAATGCAATAGGTTGGCTGCTCCCTTTTTTGAGACTTCATTCCTCTTTTGACGTGCTTCTATCCAGTCCTTGCGCGATATGTCCTTGTGGCAGGTGGGCTAGAAGCGACAGCATGGAGGGTTCGCGGACTAGCTGTCGGCGTTTTCACTGGCATCGTGATCAGTGAGTTGTTCTTGGCCCGAACGACAAGGGAAAGCTTTAACTTTGGCCGAAGTCTGTATCATCAGCACCAAGTGGTCATTGCGCCTTTCAAATGCCATCGGAGTCGTGAAAGTCACGGTGCTCATTTTGTGCGTGGTTAAAGTCGATTCCGTGAACGGACTCTAACCGCAAACTACAGCATTGCCGTAACCGGTTTTGTTGTGCTGGGTGGGCACACTCGCGTGGAAGACCCGCATGCCAACTTTCGAAACGCCTTTGAGGGGACGACCTCCAACGGTAACGGTCTGGCGACAGCTCTAGTTAAAGTTAACTTTGCGTATGCTGGCTATGAGGTAAGTTTTTTTCTTTCTTGCAAGGTACATTATCGAGTGCTAAATCTCATATTGCCATTTCGCAGAACGCCTTCAATGTTCTCAACGAAGTCAGGAACCCGATTAAGACGATGAAGCGATATGCGCCTCTTTCGCTAACTGTCGTCTTTATCCTGTATTTCTTCGCCAATATCGCCTACTTTGCGGCCAGTGCGTTTCATGACATGAAACTCTGATCATGCCCTTCCTGACAATCGTCGTAGTTCCCAAGGAAAGCATCAGGACATCGAAAGAGTTGACCGCCAGCCTGTTCTTCACTGCTGTCTTCGGCAACAGCAAGTCGGTGACTGCCCTCAGTGCTCTCGTAGCTGTTAGCAGTTTCGGTAACCTGCTTGCTGTCATCATCGGTTCATCAAGAGTCATCCGAGAATGTGGAAGGTGTGTCTTCATCTATTGCCAAAAGTTCTTCCCAGCACAGTTTTAAATCTCATTTTAGGCAAGGTGTGCTGCCATATCCGCGCTTCTGGGCCTCGGTTCGACCTTTCAACACCCCTCTCGGGCCATATCTCCTCAAGTGGATTCTGACGGTTATCGTCATCATCGGTCCTCCAGCAGGAGACGCATTCAACTTCATCGTCGATCTGCAATCCTACCCCGCCAACGTCTTCAGCTTCCTGATGACGGTCGGCCTCTGGTTCGTGCGCAAGCGTCGTGCAAGCATCGGTGCGCCCAAGAGCGAGTTCAGAGCGTGGAACGTGGTGCTCTTGTTCGCAATTGCCGTCAACATCTACCTTCTTGTCCTGCCGTGGGTTCCACCTGAAGGAGGCATCTATGCCGGCGACGTCAGCTTCTTCTATGCTACATATTGCATCGTCGGGCTGGGGTTTTTGGCCGTCTCGGCGTTTGTCTATCTTCTCGTCATCATTCTCTTGCCCAGGTGGGGCAATTACACGATTCGCCAACTCCTGGAGAGGCTTCCGGATGGAGCACAGGCTAACCGCCTGGTCAAGGTGCCTAACAGCGAGCTTGCGGAGTGGGATGCGACGCATGATGAGCATGGAGATGTTATTGTGAAGAGTGAAACGAAACAGTAGCGATGATAAACGGCTTTTTTTTTTTACTCTCGTAACGTGTATGTATTCTAATTGTGCATCTTATCTCTACTCGTATATTCTTTCTTCATCAGTTATGAAAGTGTAAAAGATGTTTCGAATTGATCGGCTGTCTTCCGCCAGGAAAGAGAAGGAGGCGCCTGCCCTAGCCGGTGAACGCCATAATCTGAGCTCAAACTTTGACTCGTCGAACCATAAACTGGAACTCTAACCTTATTTTCTTCTCACGCTATACTCATCAACACAACTTTCGACAACTAATTCCTTGTCACATCCGTCGACTCAATTAAGTTGCCTTGAAAAATCCATTGGCACTACCAGGTACTTCCCAACTAGCTGCCACATATAATTTGTACCCTGATTCTTGGTCTAGGGGCAGAGGTCAATCGGGAGGCACTTACTTCAACCTTCAAACCAACAAAACTTTCAAGGTGAAGGCTGCGTGCAATCGATCTTTCGACGGAACTCATACGATGTTGTCTAGTAATCACAATCAGCAATGGGTGCCAGCAGAGCAGACAAAGCCCTCTACTTTGAGAAGCTCAAGGAACTCCTCGCCAAGTACCGTGCGTGCATCCTCGACTTTGGACGCGCCTCTGAGCTCTAAAATATTTCGATCGCAGCCTCCATCTTCCTGGTCAATGTCGACAATGTCGGTTCTAACCAGATGCATCAAATCCGTGTCTCCCTCCGTGGTAAGGGTGTCGTCCTGATGGGCAAGAACACCATGGTCCGCCGTGCTCTACGCACGATCCTCTCCGAGAACCCCCAATTCGAGCGTCTCCTTCCCTATATCAGAGGCAACATCGGCTTCGTATTCACCGACAAGGACCTCAAGGAGGTCCGCGACCTGATCACCGCTAACAAGGTCGCTGCCCCAGCCCGTGCTGGTGCCCTCGCACCCAAGGACGTCACCGTCCCAGCCAGCAACACCGGTATGGAGCCCGGCAAGACCTCCTTCTTCCAGGCTCTCGGTATCCCCACCAAGATTGCTCGTGGTACCATTGAAATCGTGTCCGACGTCAAGGTCGTCATTGCTGGTACCCGTGTTGGTCCCTCCGAGGCCACCCTCCTGAACATGCTCAACATCTCGCCATTCACTTACGGTATGACTGTTGTGCAAATCTTCGACCAGGGCAACATCTTCTCCCCCGATGTCCTCGACATCGACGAGCAGGAGCTCATCGACCGGTTCTTGTCGGGCATCAAGACCATTGCCGCCATTTCGTTGGCCCTCAACTACCCCACTATCGTCTCAGTCACGCACTCCCTCGTCAACGCCTACAAGAATCTCCTCGCTATCTCGCTTGCTACCGAATACACCTTTGAGGGCGCTGATAAGGTGAGTATCTTTTATTGCGCGCCTTGGGACTGCTCGCGGCATCTGTGATTAGCCAAACCATCATACACTGAAAATTCAGAGCATCTCCAGGATGCAAAGTTGAAACGAATTCATGAGACTTTCTTCGCCTCGCACCTTTGAGTGTTGGACGTATCACTGACAACATATCTTTCAGATCAAGGAATACCTCGCCAACCCAGAGGCCTTCGCTGTTGCCGCTCCTGTCACCGAGGCCGCCCCCGCTGCTGCTGCCGCAGTCGAGGAAAAGGAGGAAGAGAAGGAGGAGTCAGACGACGACATGGTACGTAAAATGCCATCGCAGGAACGACGCAAAACTGAAGCACGTTTGTCGCCAGGGCTTCGGATTGTTCGATTAAAAGGCAGTTCTCCCGAAATGTACCGCTGTATACACGATCTGCTTGTTGTACTTACATCGAAAGGATAAGCGCACTCTGATTCCTAAGTAGCTGTGATATGATAACATCGCGGTCCGGTGGTGAGGATAAATGTCGGACGCGGGCGAAACAGGAAGGGTGCCGTGACTGCGTCACTGACTTGTTCAATGACTCCGGCTATGACGATTTTTCTGTTCAAGCCGTTGGGCAGATATTTCCAGGTTGAGGACGCTTCCTCTGACTACACCGAGTTCCGAGAGGCAGCTGCGTCTGGAAGCTGTTCAGTGTTCTTTCTCCCCGGACCATCAAACGTTTCCCGGTCGCAACCACAACGATCCGATTATCTGTCCCAATCAGGTCTACTCCGCTCACTTTTAGCCACTATTGACTGAAGCGTCATCGCGAACCCGTTCTATATATTCTTGTCCACGTCCTCCCCAACCATGGCCTCCACACCCACGGTCTCTCCCCCAGATCAGCCCAACATGGACTTCGGCAAGGCTGGTCATCTCGTCGTCGTCTCAAACCGCCTTCCCATCACCATTACCAAGGATGCTAGCGGCGAGTACCACTTCAAGATGTCCTCGGGTGGTCTCGTTTCCGCCCTCTCTGGCTTCAAGAAGTCGCTCAACTTCACCTGGATCGGCTGGCCTGGCTTCTTCATCCCCCCTAAAGACCGCCCGCACGTAGACAAACGCCTGATGGAGGAGTATTCCTGTCAGGCTGTTTACCTCGACGATGACGTAGCCGACCGACACTACAATGGCTTTTCCAACTCCATCCTATGGCCACTATTCCACTACCACCCCGGCGAGATGAACTTCGACGAGGTGAATTGGCTTGCATATCGCCAGGCCAATATGCAGTTCGCGGAAGCTGTCCGTCAGCAGATCACACCTGGAGCAATGGTTTGGGTCCAGGATTACCACCTGATGCTCCTCCCCATGCTCCTGCGCGGCATCATCGATGGCCCTACAAAAACCGGGTCGTTCACGCAAGACGAGTTGGCGAAGATTACAGAAGGTATCGACGGGTCCGCACTCTCGGCAGCCCACACCCCCATCCCCGGGGTCAAAATCGGTTTCTTCCTGCATACACCGTTCCCAAGCAGCGAAATCTACCGGTGAATATGTCAGACCCGCTCGTCGAAGGGCACTGCTAACGTTTGGACAGAATTCTACCCGTGCGGAGAGAAATTCTCCTGGGCGTTCTCTACTGTGATCTAATAGGCTTCCACACTTACGACTATGCACGCCATTTTCTGTCATCGTGTACCCGAATTCTCAGCCTGCCAACCATGCCGAACGGTGTTGAATTTGAAGGGAGACTGGCACACGTTGGCACATTCCCTATTGGAATCGAGCCAGGAAGCTTCATCGAGGCGCGTTTATTTGACTTTCTTGCATGTTGTGCAGCTCAACTAAATGTTCTATTAGAACCTGAAAAAGCCATCCGTCATCGACCGCATTGCTTCACTCGAACAACGTTTCGGTGGTGTGAAAGTCATCGTTGGCGTCGATCGTCTTGACTACATCAAGGGCGTTCCACAAAAATTGCACGCTCTCGAGCTGTTCCTTTCACAGCACCCGGAATGGATCGGAAAAGTTCGTGCATTGCGCTGTCGAACGAACTTTGTTCTTACAATAGCTTTATTCCGTATGGTTTAGGTCGTCCTCGTCCAGCTGGCTGTACCCTCCAGACAAGATGTGGAAGAGTATCAAAATCTTCGCTCCACTGTCAATGAGTTGGTTGGACGTATCAATGGTCGATTCGGCACTGTGGAGTTCATGCCAATCCACTTCATGCACAAGAGTCTCGCGTTTGATGAACTCTGTGCGCTTTACGCCGTCAGCGATGTGTGCCTCGTCTCCAGTACACGTGACGGCATGAATCTCGTGCGTTCCCTTATTCATTAATCATTTCCTGCAATATGCAAAACCTCTGCTACAGGTCTCGTACGAGTACGTCGCATGCCAACAGGCGCGTCAAGGAGTCATGATCCTTTCCGAATTCGCCGGCGCCGCTCAGAGCCTGAACGGTTCCATAGTTGTAAACCCCTGGGATTCACAGCAGGTTGCCGATGCTATTCACGAGGCAGTGACCATGGATGCTGCTACGCGTGCGGAGAACCACCGCAAGCTATTCAAGTATGTCAACAAGTACAGCGCTGCGTTCTGGGGCAGCAGCTTCATCAAAGAGATGAGCAAGATTGACACAGAAGATATGGAAAACGATCAGGCAGAGTTGAAGGTGAAGCCGACGGACGAGGGTGCAGAGGGCAACGTCATCGTGAATGGGACGGTTCCATTTTTTTCAACTACATCCTGAGTTGTCCAGAAGAGCTAGCTGGGTGCTACTCTCGGCCGGCGACGGCAGAACAATACACGATGGCGCTGAAAGCATGTTTGTATTTGAAGTCATTTATTCCTCATGTAGATACCTCTTCCATGTATCCCGCATTTTTGTTGTCCTTGTACCTACTAGAATTGTAGCACCGTGTATGTAGTTCTTGATCAATACGAATACTGCGACACGTCAAGAACGTTAACAGTCCGCTCTTCACGAATCATACGCGTATACTGGACCTTGCATTCTGATCTTATCATCCAGACATTTCAGTGTCCTGATAAAGAGCGTTCTCTTTGCAACGAACATCACCTCGTTGTAGTTGCATGAGTCGCTTGTGCAATGAAGCATTAGAGGCTTTGCGCAAAGCCAGCTGGAGCCAGTGGTGGCTCAAATGCGTTGCGCTGAGACCTTTAGCCAGCAGAACCTGAATATCAGACCGATGAATGCCATATATTAATATTACTTACATCTCTCTATAACCTCGTATTTCCTGGAAAGCTCCACGCGATATCAGTCTGTGGGGTGGTTGATCAACGGTTGATCACGGTTGATATTTTCTGCTGGCTCAGTTTCCATATATAGGTTAGTTTCTGGAGATTGTCGTAGCTGCACGGATGAATACAATGAGATACTTGCATTGTCATTGAAATCCCCTGGCATCCAGACATACACGGTACTACATAAGACTAAGTTAAAAGCATAGTCACTAATTGGCCGCTACTGGCTACACGACACAGCGCAACGTTTTTGAGCCAGCACTGGCTCCAGCTGGCTTTGCGCAAAGCCTCTATTATATATCCATTGTCACGAAAATGATCCGGCGGATAAAAGGATTTGGTTTATATGCGAAGAAGATAAGACAAACCAGTTCAAAGGGAAACGGAAATTTCGGAACAAGTACGGTATTTAGGCCATGTGAGTGCCTCAATCAAGCGGCGCTTACATACTGGGACATGACGTGCATACCACCTTTGACCACTATCAACCTACGTCGTTCTTCTGGACGCGAGTACGGGAAACTCGACGACTATCCAATGGTACGTAGTACTGACCTGCTGTTGATATCCCAGACGGGTCCCGATGTTGTCTCCGGCAGCGCATCCAGAAAAGGCAAGCGACTGACCGAATTCGGGAAGCCCTGACATAGCTTGAAGTGATAGGCCACCTGAAGAGATCGACATTCCCAACGTCGGGCCAACAGACGATATCCATGCGTTAAACACGATTCGCATTCGAAAAAACGACTGCTAGAAGCATACGGAGCTATCGGGCCGTTCTATGAAAGAGCACAGCCTCGAGAAGGGAACAATGGGGCAGATAATTGATTGCACACGCTGCCGAGACCTTACAATTTTTGCCTGGTGTTTGCCTGAGATTGAGCTAAGGATAGCTAGGCTTCTGGGTCCCTGAAGTCGGCGTGCGCGAATAAGGCTAGAGGTCGCGCTTGATAGTGGAGACAGACTTCCAAACCGAAGGACACCGCGCCGCGACGGGTATACGTCCCTCATAATCTCCAATGACCTAGATAATCTATGGGCGTTGGGACCGTGACAGGCTGACAGATGGCTCGACGCCTCCGAAACCTAAGCTAGCGCCGCACCACCACCTTCATTCTCCGCTTCGGATCCACCACGGTCTAGTGGGGCCCATGATTCGTTCTACCGCCGAGAAACCAGCTTTCCCATTGGAGTACAGGGTCAGTTTTATTTAGATAAGAGTGGAACTCGCCCTGGTTTTTAAGGTGAAGGACAGACCGTGCTCATGTGCACAAAAAAATGCGGACAACGCGAGGTGGACGGCAGGTAGGGGTCCTACCTCCTATCTCTGATAGTCCCAACGAGGACGCTGTAAAGGAGGAGAAAATTCCACCAGCTCGGGAAATGGGTTCACTTTGAACTTCCTTTCCTTTCAATTGTACCGAAAGCTTGCCGGGCGCCTATCTTGAATACGTTAGGCGCTGGAAAGGACTTGACAGATGGTCACATGGCACACCTAATTAGATAGGCTTCTATAGGCATATTGTCGAGAACCAACAAATGTACACAATGAATCCAGCGTCTCGCTACAAGCACTCGAAGGTTGAACCAGCTCATCCCAGTGATTAATTTCATGATCAACGGACATGGAACGCTCGAAACGGACAGGATTCTTCGAGGCAAAGGAATGATTTCACCCCCTTGCAACGTCACGGCTTTAACTTAGGGGATCCCTGATTCTATTTCAAACAAAGCCTACGTCAGTGCTACGGGTATTGACCCGCAGAAGAACCCTCACTGCGCAGCTCATCGAAACGGCGATTGTTTCCCTATCATGGCTACATATACAGTGGCCATTTTGGTGGAATCTCTGCGTACTGAGACTCCACTATCTTCTTAAATCCGAGTGATCGTGATCACCCTACGTGGTTGCTGCGCTTCGATTAAGTAGAATGCTGGTGGTATGTACAATTGCCGTGATTGAATACGCCGGGCTTACTCCTCGGTTACGTGCGACATTTGAAGTTAATTTCGTAGAACAGGCAGGCAAATTGCGCTATATTTAGCTTGTGAGTAGGAATTTTTTATTTGTTCGTGGAAGATATGTACACCGAGCTTTGTAGGAATTCTACGTGCCCTCCAAAAATCACCTGAAATGAGGTTCAATTGACAACGAAGCTTCTTCGTGGTTCTGCACAGCCCAAACGTTCTTCACTGTCCTCGGTTCTTCAAACAGCCCACACGAGTTCCCGACCTATCTGTCAGAGACAAAGGAACAAAGCGAAAAGAGGAGGCCCAAGAGACGGGAATTTGCACACCATAGAGGCACAAAGATGACGTTGGCTCTCTTAGCACCCGCATTTGTCGCGCTCCTCCTCCATACTCCCGCACTGATCGTCAGAAAGGTCTTCCTGGAAAAGACGTCCTCCTAGGCCTGGAGGCAGTGCGCGAACTCACTGGGGGAAAAATTATTATTTCCGGCAGCCGGTTGATATGCGTGGCTTGACATCGAGTAAACGTCAAATTGATGTTTGCAATGCTAGCGTCGAGCGGAGGCGTGTAAAACAGAGACAACAACGCGACGAACGCGTTCCGCCCGGGCTCGCCCAACCCCTGCCATCGTGGCAGTATTTCAACCAAACTGAAATGAAACAAAAAAACGCTAATGCAACGCAGTGGATCCATTTCTATTGTTCACTGTGGGCGGATACTCGGCAATATATGCCGTGGCACTTGATTTTGGCAGAATTTCTCACCGGCGCACAGCCTTTTCATGATACGCGTCAATAGACCAAATGAGGGACATAGCACGCTGGTTCGCGAAAGCCGGACGAAGACGAAACCAAAGATTCTTGAAAATTAAGCGTGAAAAATATCTGCAAATTGAACTTCGAATCTAGACCTCCCATCCACGGAAAAGGATACCAGAACGTGGCGCATTTACTGGATTTAGGCAGGGGAACAACAGCACCAAATAGGACGATCGATTCTTCCGTGTGGTCGCCCGAATCATGACCTTGAGGACGAAAGGTGGAAAAAAGGAGCCAAATGAGGTCTTGAAGAACCACCAGATACACCCCTATCTGGTTTTCTGAGATGGCTATGCCCTAGAGCGCTGCGCTGTCAGGCTTCTCCGAGTATACCAGAGTAGCCGAGCTTCTTGTTATATCACAAGAAAACAGATGCACCACAAATCAAGGATAGACAAGGGGAGATACGAAAATTGAATGCAAATAAATCGCGGGAGCTCTCCAAGGTTCTGAATGGTTTGACGGCCTTGTTGGGTCCGGTGGAGCAACTCGGTGGGCCCACATACGAAAAAAAAGGAAAGAAAAAATAAATCAGGCTGTGCGTTTCGGCACGGTCAATCTCAGCCTACGTGTTGTTTGGGAAGTTTTGGAAGCTCCGTGGTATGCAACCGGCGACGAAGGGGTGGACCCACCTCGTATTCAACAGGGAGAAGCCAGTGGGCTATGGATCGGTATACAACAGTCCACTTGGATGTGAAAACAGTGACGTTTTGCCTACTTCTGGGGCGGCTTGCAAGGAGACAAAGATTATGCACTTGAAAAACCGAGCCAACAAAAAGCGACAGGCCTGGGACTCGAACCCAGAATCTTTAGCTCTCGTAATGGCAGCTGAAGCATACCATTGCCGGAAACTAACGCGTTGCCATTACGCCAACCCACCTTCGGGTAAAGTGCGGATTTGGTAAGCTAGCACTCGCTTTGGCGGCTCTCATGATCTACGTAGCCGAATTGAAGACGTCATCAATTATAATACCAAGCACATCTCCATAATGAATACACCCTTGGTGTTGAACGTTGACTCGTCATCATACGACGACACAGTGGTGCTATGACCTACTCGGTGTTTTCTGACGAGCTGGAGTGGTGGTCGCACTTGGGTCCTGATGAAGTCAACAAAGACGTGATCGTCAGCACTGCAGTCATACCTTTTATATTTGGCACCAATCCTCCTCTCCTCCGTGTCAAAATTGCCATAAGTGTCAACAGTCAGGCGAATGCCTATTCACAGTAAACCGATGACAACTATATTTAGGACATAGAAGAGGATAATGCTATTCTGTGCCGCTTGGCGTCATCCATACGCCGCCAAGGTCAGAAGATAATAGTTCTCCGGCTACAGCAGTCTAGTTTGGCATCGTGACTCTTCGTGGCTAGGCTAGATGAGCGGAGAGGAGATGACATGGCAGGAAAGACAGCACACTGAACTGTTCGGGAGAGTCTCGTTATCCTCGAAGCATTGTGGCTGGAACTAGTGCCCGTCGAAAACTCACTGAGACGGCCATATCGGTTCTTGCCCTGACATCTGAAATAGTTGGAGTTCCTGGCTATGCTCTGAAGCGTGGACATGTCATGCCCATGGGAGACCAGGTATGCATTTGCGTTGGATGAGCAACTTCGACGTCAGAACAGTAGGCATTGCTCCTGAGGCGTCCCAAGGTAACTCTTTATGGGTTTCCAGAGGTGAAATCCACTTCATGTACAGCCTCACGAGCATAAGGAGAATGCGTGGGGAGTGATGATTGTGAGGAGTGAATGGCAAGGAAGGCGATCTTGGCGAACCGACTATGCGATCAGTAGGTGTTGCGAAGGTGAGCTGGCTCTCGGCAGAGATCAGACTAGCGCCGGAATCGCCATTTTTGTCAATCAACACCAAGACAACCCCGCACCGTCGTTTGCCTAGAATGAGGTAAAGGAGCGTGTGTGAAAACGCCACACTGAGGCCGCTACCTAGTTGCAAACACATTTGCTGCCCGTAAAATGAGGTCGAAATGTGTTTCCGAAACCGTGCGCGGAGTCGGTTAACGTTATAATGGGCATGGCTTTACGAAGTCATTTCTTGTCAGACACTGGCCGAAGAGTGGGAGTTTAGACCCCTATTGTAGCCTGCCCCAAAGGTTTGAGACCCGAAAGGCGCCCTCCGTCACGGCGGAGCATTCTGAATACCAACAACGCATTGCTGTGTCATTCGTATGGAGTGCGGGAACGGATAACAGCGCTTTGCGAAGTCTACCGATGGGCCTACCGTCGAGTCGGCGTGAAGATACGCCACAGCTTTGGGAGAAGGATACGCCGCGTCGATTGAGGCCCGTGCTTTCGAAAGACGGAGGAGCGGAAAGTCTTGGAGAACGCCATTATTCGATCGGTGTGGATCCTAGGCTGGTGGAAGCAGATGGCGGGCAAAGGAACGTTCGCGCCTCCAGTTGTGTTGTAGAAGGTCCAAGCCGTACCAAGCCCTTTGGTCACAAATATTTCGAGGCCAAGACAAACGAAAAGGTCCGTTGACTGCTCGCACGTTTGTGACTCTTCTAGATCAGGACGACAAAAATACTCCAACTGCTTTCCGCACTTCTTATGAAACAACAAGACGAGAAGTTCTGAGGATATAGACGCCCAGGGTGTATAAGACTGTGCCATGTAGAGTGGTTACGGAGGCTGGTGTGTGCTCGCTTGCTGATATATGTGCCTAATCTGGATCTGGAGCCCTGGCCAAATCGGGGCACAAACTTCTTGGGCCGGTTCGTGCAGGGGGTTCGCGCACAGCCTCGCTTGGCAGACCTACATATTCGTTGTTGCACTTCCACAGAAGCGTTTTGGTTCATTCTCCCGCATACTCCCTCACCATGCCAGGTGGTGATGAGAGCAGCCACATACCCTCCATTGTTACTACAGACCTCACATCCGATGCCCCCCAAGGCGTAAACTCTACCCAGCAGCCCAACGCAGGCCTGCTGTCACCAACCAGCCCGACTAACGCCTATGGTCCACCCTCACCTGCACCCTCAGACCAGAGCTCTATTCCACCTTCCCCTACTGTATCCAATCACTCTGGCGCTTTCCCCTCGTCCTTAGCTCTGCGCGACAACAAACCCGAGGAGAAAGATGGGCTCTCCTCCCTTGGTCTCCTAGGCGCGGGGGGGTTAACACATCATAGGAAAAGCAGTGTCGCCACGTCCATGACACATGTAGAAGGCGATTTGAGGTCTGTCTCATCTTTAATATTTTTTTTTTCGTGCCCGCGCCATTAAATAACTAACCTCTGCGTTTTAGCGAGAAGAAAGGCGCCGACGCTACAGAAGAGAAGGAGGACAAGGAAGAGGACAAGAAGAAGAAAAAGAAGAAGGGGAAGAAGGGTGACTTGGATGAGGAGGCTCAGACGACGCATCAGCTCGAGCTCGCTCAGGACGCGGCCATCGACCCTGCTCCTTTCACCGTCAAACCATATCAACTCGCTCACATGCTCGATCCCAAAAATCTCGACACGCTGAGGTCGCTAGGTGGTACTGAAGGTCTTATTTGTGCTTTGGGCACGGATACCGACCGTGGTCTTGCGTCCAAATCTGACGCGTCGCATGAGAAGGGAGCTGGTCATGGTGCGTCGCATAGGCACGACTCAGAAAAGGAGGGCGAGAAGGTGCCCGATATTGTCTTGACAGCTCCGAGTGGCAACCTGTCGACTCCTCCGTCAGAGAGCGGCATGCCGGTTGTCGCCACTATGGAGGACAGGAAACGCGTTTTCGGCGAGAATGTTCTGCCCACACGCATTAGCAAAACACTGCTTCAGCTCATGTGGTTAGCAATGAAAGACAAAGTTCTGGTGCGTTCTCTTTGGTTCTTTTGGATGCCTGGGCCTGACAGCACGTTTAGATCTTGCTTTCCATCGCCGCCGTCATTTCTTTGGCTCTCGGTTTCTTCCAAGACTTCGGTACCCCTCGCGAGGATGGTGAACCCCCCGTAGATTGGGTCGAGGGTGTTGCGATTATTATCGCCATCTCGATTGTTGTAAGTGTCTTTATTCCTATGCGCCATTGTCCCTTTTTCATCGCTGCTTTAGGTTATTGTTGGTTCTTTGAACGATTGGCAAAAGGAGCGTCAATTTAAAGCCCTCAACGAGAGGAAGGAAGAGCGTGGCGTCAAGGTTATTCGTGATGGTGTCGAGAAAGTCATCGACATCAAGGTTCGTTCGCTTAACTTCTTGGCATACATCGTCTCATTATGTCTGTCTTCTCCTTTTTAGGAAGTCGTCGTTGGCGATATCGCACTCTTGGAACCTGGTGAAATCGTCCCATGTGACGGCGTGTTCATTTCCGGCCACAACGTGAAGTGCGACGAATCCGGAGCCACTGGAGAGTCCGATGCCATCAAGAAAGCGACGTACGACGAGGTTCTAGAAATACACCGCAAGGCTCTCGCGAATGAGAAGGATCCCAACGCCGGTCACACCGATTGCTTCATGATCTCCGGTTCTAAAGTTTTGGAAGGTGTGGGTAGATATGTCGTCGTGGCTGTGGGTACTAAGAGCTTCAACGGCCGCATCATGATGGGTGTGTATTTGCGTCTCACTCTGGCTATGATTGTTTGCCTGACATCTTGTCTTTTTTTAAACAATGCAGCACTTCGCGGTGACACGGAGAACACACCACTCCAGCTAAAGTTGAACCGTCTTGCCGAACTGATCGCAAAGATTGGTGCTGCTGCTGGTCTTGCACTCTTCGTCTCCTTGATGATCAGGTTTTTCGTTCAACTTGGCCAAGGCAACCCTCCTCGGTATGTTTAATTAAAGACCCAACCATCTTCGAGTCGGCGCTGATTCCACTGCAGTAACGCGAATGAAAATGGTATCGCTTTCGTCAACATTTTAATCATTGCTGTGACCCTGGTGGTCGTGGCCGTTCCCGAAGGTGTGTTCATTTTCGTTCTGCAATCTTCTGAAGCTGATGATTATGTCGCCAAGGTCTCCCACTTGCGGTCACGCTCGCGCTGGCCTTTGCCACGAAGCGGATGACGTATGAGAATCTTCTCGTTCGCGTGCTGGGCTCCTGTGAAACTATGGCGAACGCGTCGGTCATTTGCACGGACAAGACCGGTACTTTGACACAGAACTCCATGACGGTTGTCGCAGGTTCCATTGGTATCCATGCCAAGTTCGTCCGTCAGCTCGATGAGAACGCTGCTCGAACCAACGCCGACGAGACCGAGAAATCAGCAGAGGGTGGCACCACACGCAAACACTACCAGGATTTCTCCATTGACCAGGCTCATCTTAACACCACGCTTTCGCCCGAGATCCAGGAGCTCTTCAACGAGGCTATCGCGGTTAACTCAACTGCTTTCCAGGACGTCGATGCCGAGTCCGGCGAAGTAATTTTCGTCGGCAGCAAGACGGAGACTGCCCTGCTTCAGTTTGCCAAGGAGCTCAAGTGGCGGGACTTCAAGGAGACGCGCGACGCGGCCGACGTTGTCCAGATGATCCCCTTCTCGAGCGAACGCAAGTCTATGGGTGTCGTCGTCCGGAAGCCGTCAGGTGGTTACCGCGCGTACTTCAAAGGTGCCAGCGAAATTCTCGCGAAGAAGTCGACCTCCCACATCGTCGTGCATCAGGACGGCAAATATCCCACCGGTGGTGTCGAGACCAAGCCGATTGACGAAATAGCGCAGGACAATATCAGCCGGACTATCATCTTCTATGCGAACCAGACTCTCCGTACCATCTCCCTGTGCTACCGTGATTTCGAATCGTGGCCTCCTCGGGGCATGTCTCGCGACGAGAATGGCGACGTGAGTCTGTAACGTGTCTTCGATAAAATGTATACTGACGACACTTCTCAGGTTCCCTTCGAAGACCTGTCCAAGGACTTAACCCTAATTGGTATCACCGGCATTGAGGACCCACTGCGCGACGGTGTTCGCGAGGCTGTCGCCAAGTGTCATCGGGCCGGCGTTACCGTCAAGATGTGCACAGGCGACAACGTTCTCACTGCTCGCTCAATCGCTACCCAGTGCGGCATCTTTACACCTGGTGGTATCATCATGGAAGGCCCCGTTTTCCGTCAGCTCAGCCAAACTGAGATGATTGAGATCGTCCCTCGCCTTCAAGTCCTTGCCCGCTCATCACCGGAAGACAAGAAGATTCTCGTCTCGACTCTCAAGATGATTGGTGAGATCGTCGGTGTTACCGGCGATGGTACGAACGACGGCCCGGCCCTGAAGACTGCAAACGTTGGTTTCTCAATGGGTATTGCTGGTACCGAGGTCGCCAAAGAGGCGTCAGACATCATCCTCATGGACGACAACTTTTCATCGATTGTGAAGGCTATCATGTGGGGCCGTTGTGTCAACGATGCAGTGCGCAAGTTCTTGCAGTTCCAGATCTCAACGAACGTTACTGCTGTTGTTATCACCTTCGTCACCGCCGTCGCGTCTGAAGAAGAGACCTCGGTGCTCTCTGCCGTCCAGCTCCTTTGGATCAACATCATCATGGACACGTTCGCCGCTCTTGCCCTCGCCACGGACCCTGCCACCGAGAAGCTCCTGGACCGTAAGCCCGACAAGAAGACCTCGCCGTTGTTCAGCGTCGAGATGTACAAGATGATTTTGATGCAGTCTATCTATCAGATTACGATCATCTTCATCTTCCATTTCCTTGGCCTCAGGATTCTCAACCTCGAGCACAACGAGCAGAACGAAAAGGTCGTCAAGACACTTGTCTTCAATGCTTTCGTCTTTGCCCAGATTTTCAACTCCGTCAACTGCAGGCGTCTCGACAGCAAGCTCAACATCTTTGAAGGCATCCTCCGCAATCGTTACTTCATCGGCATCACGCTCCTTGGTACATGTTTACCATCCTTCTTTCATACGCTATGTTCTGACATTAGTTTTAGAAATCGTCATCCAGGTCGTGATTGTATTCGTTGGCGGTGCTGCCTTCCAGGTCACTCGCATTGGCGGACGTGAATGGGGCATCTCCCTTGCTCTTGGTGTTGTTTCGATCCCTTGGGGTGCTATCATTCGATGCATCCCTACTACCCCTTACGAGAAGCTCTTCAAGTTCATCCACCTTGTTGGTGAGCCCGAGATCCTCCCCACTGTCAAGCCCGACAAAGAGGGATGGGGTGGTGCCATTTCCATGGTCCGAGACAACCTCAGCACGTTCGCGAATATCCGTGGTGGTCGTCTCAGGTCTTCTTCTTTCGTTCTCAAGAGCCGGTCTGCCCGCTTGAGCGCGGATGATCAAATGAGAATGTGAGTGCCCTCTAGTGATGCTCATCGCGAACCACTGTTCATAAGATGTTCAACAGATCGTCCGTTTTGACTATGGCACCAACCCTCATCATCGGAGCTGTTGTTGCTGGACAAGCCTACCTCCAAGCTGGGTCACTCTCAGACCCAGGCAATGCAGATCCCTCAAAATCCTCTGCTGCCCTGTGGGAAGGCAAACTACAAATACACCCAGACACGTCCAAAGACGACCCTGTATATAAACAGTTCGGCGGTAAAGAAAACAGCACATAACAGCCTCATCTTTTGTTCTTTTCCGTGCTTTATGATATTCTTCTCTCTCTCTCGGTGATCAAGGCCGCAGTTGTCAGGTGCTGCCATTGATTCCAAGATACCTCTGGCAACCTGCGATACCCATAATCTATCTTAATATTGGCCACTTCGTTGGGGATTCCACCGCGGTCTGCAACCTTGATATCAAATTCACGATTATACGCACCTCTTCTTTCGGGTTATGGCACTCATTCACATTACATCAAATATTACATATCATATCATAGACTTACGATCAGTTCATGTCGATCTTCGGGCTCTCTTCAATCGCATATCAACAATAAACACTTATAAAGTCTTTTGGAACTTTTGCGTGCTCGACACGAGGGAGGACACTGCTGGGATGTGTAGCGTAGTACAAGTAGGGTTGATTCGATATTTATATTTATGTACCATACTAGTATTTTACGGGTCCTGTCTAGAAATTCCATTTGCTCCGTCGAATCATCTGTTTTTGGGTCGAAGTGACTTGTCAGTCCCCACCTGAGTCAGGGCGCCGCCCGCCTTTCGCTTGGCGATGGTCACGTGTGTCAATTTCCAAAAGGGTGGACCATCCGAGGCGGAACGCGACTTTGCGTCCGCCCACAACCTCCAAACCAAACCTAGTCGCCCAGCGCTCAGTTTAACTCGCCCAAGATGTCTTTCTTCTCGGGTGCCTCGAGTACAACAGTAGGAGGCACTGCGAACACGTCCTCAGCAGCGGAAAAGGATGTCGAAGTGGTGGAACCTCCCTCAGATTCAATCTCCTCTCTGTCGTTCTCAGGACAGGCAGACTATTTAGCAGTGGGAAGTTGGGATAACAGCGTAAGATCCATTCATTCTACCAGCCCGTCTATTTCCAACTCCCGTTGAAAGGTTCGAATCTATGAAGTGAACCCCAATGGTCAAACGCAAGGAAAGGCCATGTATCAACATCAAGGTCCCGTTTTGGATGTCTGCTGGAACAAGGTAAAGAGATTCACAATTTTCTATCACTACCTTCTCTTTGACAAGATATGCAGGAAGGAACTAAGATTTTCTCTGGAGGCGCAGACAATGCGGGACGTATGTTCGACGTGACCACAGGCCAGGCTGCACAGGTCGCGCAACATGACGCGCCTGTGAAGGTGGCAGCCTGGGTTGACGTGCCTGGCGCTGGAATATTAGCGACAGGTAGTTGGGATAAAACCATCAAGGTGCTTCCTCTCTGAATTCTTCTCTTTCTTCCCTGACTGTACAGCAGTACTGGGACCTTCGCACACCGAACCCTGTGGCTACTGTTCAACTCCCTGAAAGGTGCTACACCTTCGATATCCAATACCCTCTCATGGTTGTTGGGACAGCCGAACGCCACATTCAAATCTTCAATCTAAGCAATCCTAACACAGCGTACAAGGTCTTCATTCTACCCGATTATTTCATCTCGCGGTGCTCAAACCATGACTCAGACTATGACTTCACCATTGAAATGGCAGACGCGTGTCATTTCTTGCTTTACAGGATCGCCAGCAAATAGCGGGTTCGCTGTAGGAAGTGTTGAGGGCAGGGTGGCAATCCAGTGGGTCCCGGTAACGTCAGAGTTAGTCTGTTACTGACCCGACATGCAGATATGTCGAGGATAAAGACTCTCAGTCAGCACCCCAACGAGATAGCAAAGACAGTTTAACTAATAGATGACTTCAGGAGCAACTTCTCCTTCAAATGCCATCGCCGAGACAGCTCCCCTAACTCCAAAGATCAAGCGCTGGTCTACTCTGTCAACGACATCTCATTCCATCCTGTGCATGGAACTTTCTCTACTTGCGGTCTGTTGCTGTTCCCCCCGTTTTTCTGCAGGCGCTGAGGTTCCAATATAGGTTCGGATGGTACAATCCACTTCTGGGACAAGGACGCCCGTACTCGCCTAAAGTGTGCGTGCCTCCTATTCGTTGAATCTTCTATGCACTTATCTCCAGATAATACAGCTTTTGACCCTGCCCCTGGTCCCATTGCCACGACCGCATTCAATCGCACTGGCAACATCTTTGCATATGCTGTCTCGTACGATTGGTCAAAGGGTCACTCGGGTATGACGCCTGGTGCTCCTAATAAGATCATGCTCCACTCTTGCAAGGACGACGAAGTCAGAAAGAGGCAAAGAAAGTAAAAATTGGAGATCCCTTGTGCTTTCTTCCGCCTTTGGTATTGCTTGACTGTGCTGTGTATCTTCTACTGTGGTATCTCGTGTCAATTGTTAGTTGCTCCCTGCTACTGAGTGTTTTTAGTCCTGTAAATGAGCTTTGTCTTGCATAAAAATGATCTGATTGATTCTTGAGTGGCACTTGGCTACGTTACATTGCTGATCTATTCGAGACCTACACCGCCAGGTTGACGGACTGATTCGATGGTTTACGAGGGGTCAGGATTGTTGGGAGTTCGCCCTTCATGGTGACGAAGTAATCTGTGAGGTCGTTGTACCACTGCTGAGGATTGTATCCTTTAGCAAATTTCATCTCAAAGTTCTGGACCATCAAGGAAACCACCATGCGCATCTCCATCCAAGCCAAATTCTTCCCGGCGCAATTTGCAACCCCTAGAGAGAACGGTGCGAAGGCGGTCAAGTTTAGAACGAACTCCTGACCGTCGAAAACCTTCGGCTCCAGAGCTGATCTCTTATCCTCTGGGAGCCACCGTTCAGGGAGGAATCCACCTGGTAAGGGAGAGAAGCACCGTGGATCTCTCTGTAGACTATAGCTAGGAATGACAACGGCGCTACCCTCGGGAATGAAGCTACAGGGAGAGTCCATTCAGACTACTGGAAGCAAGGCTTCATGTAAAACTCACTATGGCCCTATCATCTTGCCTCCGCTTCCTCTCTCTGGTGCACGCTGCGAACCGCTCAATACAGGCGGTAACAAGCGGAGGGATTCATTCCTTTGGCGCAGAGTATTTTAGTCCAGTTTCATGCCAAAATCCTCTCGAGCTTACAGGCATCCATTTAGATACGGCAAATGGGCTAACTTGGCAAAGTCCATGATGTCGTTGTCGCTCAGTTCATCGATTTCGGCTTGGAGGCGCTTGTACGACGTTGGGTGGCACATCAGGAAATAAAAAAGGTTGATGATAGCGGTCGACGTCGTGTCTGACCCTGCTATGATGGCCAATCCACCTATACACCATTTGTTCTTCAGCAAATAGATTTGCTTGCTTGTCGAACGGAACTTACCATCACTGATTACTTCGATTACAGAGGGGGGCTGGGAAGCTACACCATCCTCGTCCATCTAGATCTATAGTCAGAAATTAATGACAATACTCTCATACCACATACCAGATGATGAAAGATGTCTTTATGAGGAGATCCTTGGTTCTTCCGCACCATTGCACGTTTCTTCGCATGAGTCCGGAATGCCTTCAAATCATGTGCAAAGCTCGGGAATCGAAGGAAAAGAGCACCAAGCCAGGGTACATGGCTCATGAACAAGGCATTCCTCGTGTACCGCATGAGCACCATGATTTCAAAATAGACGATAAGGTCCTGTACCTTTGACCCGCCTCGAGGAGGTGCCAAAGCCCGTCCGCATCTCCTTCCTTTATCATTTCTGATCCACCTCCAAACCTGCAAATGGGAATTAATTCTGATATCGGTATCTCTGCGCAGAAAACTCGTACGCCAGATCATTCATGATATCGTATCTTAGAGAAAGATTCAATTAGTCTTTCGCGAAAGACAGGAATTTGATGCCACTCACGCAAAGAAGGAAACCCATTGCGTGAGATTCACAATTCCCTTTTGTGCTCCGAGCGCATCCATTAGCTGGAAGGAGCGCTTGCTAACCATAATTTCATAACCTTTCAACGCCGGAGTACTGAATGCCCTTGTCCACGGTCGCCTGCGACGATTGTGCTCTTGCTTATCTCTGATCGCAATTAAAGGCTTTACAGCCTCTTGCTCGGGAACACGCCCTTCCCAGACTATCAAAAAAAAACAATGACGTGAAGTAATAATGATTTTCAATTTCACTTACATGGTCCTTTCGGTAAGCCTGTAGGGCCTAATATTGGATTCACTGCATTGACATCGCAGATAATCAGCTCATTGGGGCCTAACGGACGAGCGTCAGAAAGAAACGGTGGGGCTGACTGAGGAGGAGGACGCACCGACTCGAACGATATCACCATATTTTTCATGAAGGCTCTTGTAATAGATATGCTGCTTTCCACCACGGGCCACCTTGAACGCCAGATAAAACTTGCTTAGTTTGCAGAGCAACGGGCCAGGGTACTTGGCCAAGGGATGCCATGGAGAGACACGATATAGCAGAATTGAAGACGAGACGGAGGTCCAGTAGACTCCGAAGACCGTAAACGCGGCATAGAAGATGCTGGAAGTATGTTGGAGGAATAGCAAAGTCAAGGCAGATGGGACAACTAGAAGGAGGAGCAGAACATAAGCTGGTTCGTGCGTCTCTGTCCTCTTGAAGATAAGATGAACGACCTATTTCCCGTCAGCGCCAAGCACAGGAAGAAAGGTGGTGGACGACATACGAGTGCAGCTGCAACGATGGCACCAATGCTATCCCAGTACGAGAGCTGAGGCAGCACCATTCTGAGAGATTGTAGGGTGTGATGAGTAAGGAATCTCTGGTTCTTATTGTCGGTTAACCGAGAGAAGATGGAAGAGGTCTTAAGGAGGAGATGAATAAGGGCACATACGAGGTCGTGAGTACTGTGGTGCAGACTTTTTGGGACGCACCGTAAAGAGTGCTTACCCCCTAAAAGGTACGACTGTCAAATATCTTGACCGCTCTACCGGGTACCAGAGGAATCCGAGTAACAATTTTAACAGCGAAGCCGAATTATGTAGGGCTGGTTTCCACTGCTATTTTGGAGCCATTCTGCATGCTGATCCCAGTCTCCTAGTGAGTGTGTGTATCGATCACTAGGAGATGACCCCCCCAATCTGAGCGTAGTCGACCGGTGGCGAACTCCTCGGGTCGTCGGAGAGTCGTTTGTAGTAGCCCATGTCAGCGCGAATCATCGGTTATCGATGGCACTCAGTATACACATCGCCGACGACTGTTGAAAGGGCAGGGTTAAAGGGCAGTGGGTATATCAAACTAGCGCCCCTGCCATGATACAGTACATCAATTCTTCAAACTTGGATAGCGAAGCCTTCAAGGACATGCTCTGTACTCGTAATTAGGCAACATAGCGATAAGAAACAGTTGAATGTACACAACTCACCCAGTCAGCAGTTCGGCGTCGAGCTGGATGTCGGCCGACCCCGCGTAAAGTCTCTCGGGCAGACGATGCACGCCGCCAAGCGAATACATCAACGACACTCTTCTCCTTCAAGCGTGGGTACTAGTTTTTGCGTCAATGGGTGGTCCATGATGATTGAGGATGCTCTGGCGAACCAGCGTACAAGCCTCGAGCGGATACTTGATGAGGAAAGGACGTTCACCATCGATCATCAGACGGTGCTTGCATCAAGATCTCGAACCGGAACGGGGGGAAGTCACAAATTGCGAGCGGCATTCGGCAGTCTCGGAATGGGGTCGCAATATTGAAAGGGCTTTCTTGGGACTTTCTATGATTAACAAATAATTCATTATAGTTAGGGCATAATAAGCAGCCAAGATGTCCCCATCTGGTGATGGACACATACATCCGACTGCTTGTTCGTAGGTATTCGTACATATAAAGCACTGGGCACGGCCTGGAGCCACTCCTCACTCTTTTTTCGCGTCCTTGATATCCAGCAATGGGTCGAGATCCGATTGTGGCTGGCGATATGAGCCGCCGACGCGATCTGCCCATGTAAAGTACTGGAGAAAGACGCGTCGTCAACACCACTGAACCGCAAACGGGGACAAACCAGCTTACTTGACCATAGTTGACGGTGAAATAGATATGATGTAACGTGTGATGGGCAGGTCCATTAATGACCTTTTCGAAGATATGACCGGTGATCATGTCGGAATCGTGAATCTAGGATAGATTGAGTATAACCGACAGCCTTGCCGAAACGGACTCACGAAAATACTCCAGAAGTTAACCGAGACAAAGAGGACAAGGTATAGTATGCGATGGATGGGGAAGACGAAAACGAAGAGGTGGTATGGGAGAGATTGGGCATATCCATCAACCGGATGGAAGGCGTGCGAGGCGAATGGCGTCGGGACTACGCGAAGAGTTAATCCAGTGCGAGAAAGGAGGCGCGAAAAATAAAGACGTACTGATCCACTTGTGGTGAGGTTTGTGGATGTACTTGTAGATAACTGGGATATGCAACCATCGGTGCACCCAGTAAATCAAGTAGTCGGTGAATAGTAGATATCTTCCGAGAAACGAAGTCAATACCAAGCACGGCAACAACAAAAGAGAAAAACGCACAGAGGCACAGAAAGCACCAGATAGGTATAACCATACGTGTCCACCCCGTCATACATCAGCGAATATCCTCTGACCTCGGCTTGGAACCAAGGCATTGTTAGGACGGTCATGAAGGGGAATGCCCAAAGACTCGCTCGAATCTCCTGTCTGACTTGATTCTTCAAAAATCGCGGGTGCTTCATCATCTCATGGTTGAAGATGAACGCATAGGACAGTCCCGCGAACAGGAAATACAGCACGTGTATTCCTATGAGGGTAATGACGAAGACGGAGACGAGTTGTCGGGGAATGTAGTCGCGTGGCCACGCTGATATATGTGGAAGTGTTTGGGCATTGGCGTACAGAGAGGCAAGGTCGTCGTGTTTTAGCGGTGGGTGTGGTAGGTGAGAGACAAGCTGCGACCATGAAGAGGATGTGAGCAGAGGAACGAATTTCGCCGTGCTATTGGTGGCGTTGACCAAATCTGGAGAGGAGCTAAATGCGGAGAGTGGGACGAGGCTCGCCCATGCCTTGTCGAGGAGCCAGTCGTCTGCGATTCGGAGAAGGAGATCCATGTCACAGAGCGGCCGGAATATTTTGAAGACAAGAATTCCGCGCACTGACCTCCCTTTCTTTTAAGGCTTCGGCATGCTCAAGCATCAGGCCACTTCCTATTTTTCGGTCGTCACGTGTGCGTGATTTGATAAGATGCGACGACATACCCATCAATTCCGATCGTGTTCTCGCCCAGCCAATCGCTCTAGCCGGCAAGCTCCAAGAGAGGGTTCGCAGGCCTCGGTAGGCCGCGAAAGTCGAACTAAATGTTCGCAGCTACAATTGCACGACTTCGCTATGACCTGCCTCAGAGAGAAATGAGAATGCTCAGACTGAACAGTCACTGGTTGAAAGGTGAATATTTCAATCCTCATGCCACCATTATAATTATGACAGATCTGGCGATGACGGCGATGACGGCCTTGTAACCTGCACGGCCCGAAAAATGCCTTTCCTATTCTCGGAGGTCTCGGATGGCGGAGGCATTTCGCATTGTCATAACCGACGCGTGTCATAACCGACGCGACAAAGACACGACGCGTTTAAGCGCGCAGAAACTCAAAAAGTGGGACCGAGGAATACATGACAAAAAGTACGTTACATAGCCTGGTGTTATACGTCATTTCGTGGATCCCCATGGCCAGAAGATCGGCACTGAGCTAAAAAGTACCATTAGCGTGTCTGCTTTTTTTGTGAGGGGGAAGGAAAGAAACACACTTTTTATATTGCTGCCACTTGGGGTTAGACCCAAATTTCTTATTGCCTGCTCGTTCGAGCGGAGGCACGCCCGAAACCTATGCAGTAGTATTACAAACGGTAGTACCCACCGAATAGAATAAAACCTCACACAACGAAGCAAATACCAGGTAAACAGGGGGCTCAACGCGGCAAGAGCGACGGTTCCACGAGGATATGCAGCAGTCTGGAGAGAGCCTGCTGAGAGAGCCCAGATGCCCGCCCAGATTCCGACTTCTCCCATGTAGCTGTTGAAGTACTCCCAGCTTTAGAGATTAACATTCAATGAATCGAAGAAGACTCACTTTGGGTGTCGGCTGACCGCCCATAAACCAGAGGAGATGAACTGTTCATCATGCAGTTTTTTTGCCTTTGCTCTTCTCCAGGCCATTTTCTGATTATCAGCAATTACTTCGATGAGGAAGGAACTTGCGTAGAGCGCAAGAGAAAGATAGTCCCGAGGACCCAGAGGAGGATGTGCCTGTTTCGGGATTGCATTTGCGAGGAAGACGGGAAGTCCAACAAGTGTAATCCAAGTCGCTGCATTATGAGCAGTCGGTGAATTAGTTCCCCCAGTAGGCGCATATACTTGACTGCTTACCTTGTGCAATCCAAAAGAAAGTGAATCTGGCAGGCTGTTTCTTAATCTCGTCGAACCGTGAGTCGCCACCTGCCTTTATGGCCCTCTATGAAAACGGATCAGAAAGTCTGCGCCAAAGCTAAGATAACGTAGTAACACGAACCATAGTCAAGAAGCTACCCAATCGCAATGTCCACAGGCCTATTGCAGCTGACAAAAGCACCTGTCTTGGCGCGAACGATGTCGGGGCGGGGAGAGAGCCAGGGAGACCATCCCAGAACTTGGCCTTCAAAGACGGATAGTACAACGACAGGACCGTTGTAGTGGCCCATCCAACGGCTCCACAGAAGTCGTAGAACGTCTCGTTCTGCTGGGGCACAAAGATGGCAGCGAAGACTGCATACACGAGCGGAATAATTGATGGCGTCATTGAGACCAGATGAACAGGGGGTGAAAATGAATGAAACTGGACTCACTGGCCTGTCCGACATAGGCGCTGGCGATGGTGGGGAGGAGGCGCGAGAAAACAGCCATATCGACGACCAAGGGCGATGTGGAGGTTCTAGTCCAACGAAGAACGAAGTATATTGTGACAATTCGATGTATGGGTCACTCTATTTATACCTTTCCGGCGATCATCCAACACGACCGAAGTTGTTGAACCTGAACTGCTCTGGGCGCTTGCCGTTGCTCATTGGGGTGTCAGAACGGGCGTACGTGAGTCGAAGAAACCCTGAAACAATTTCTATCGGGCCAAGGACTGTGAGCTGGGGCGACCGCGGTGCACCTGGCGTTGTAGGTCGGGACAAGGTCAAAAGGGGCATTGTGGGTGTAAGCGAGCGGAGAAAGGGCGGGGAAGCGAGTTTATTCGCGTGACACGAGGAGTGTGTGACGAATCGTTAGACGGTGGTTGAGATTTCTGGCACCTCGCTCGTCAGACGCAACAACAACCGCTCTGCTTGCGACAGCCAGCTCCTAAATATTCCCTGTCACCACGCACCGTACACTTTCACCAACACCGTCGGTGGGCAGCATCCTACGACTTTGGCTTGGCCCGGTACGTTCCTTTGATTTTACTCCGTTACCCTTTGTTTGGTGAGAAATCTAATGCACACATACCAATAAAAGATTTATCGAGCCGGAATATCTGGCGACGGTTTTGTGAACTAGGTACTTGTGCGGAAGCGTCTCCGTACTTTCGCTTCGTTTTCATGTCCGAGCTGCGAATAACATCCCTGCCAGATCTTATCTCGCCACGAATCGCCTTTCCGGGGTACCGACCGGACACCACCACCGTTCCACACCCTGAACAACGCCCGGCGCTCTTCCCAGAATTGACAGTATCGGCGGCGTATTCTTCGCCAACATTGCTTTCGAATGGATAACCCACAACATTATCAACCGTGTCGTACGCTCTCCATGCGCCATCCACAAGCAACCCCGGTCGAACACATTACGCAACTACTCAATATACTCCGCCCCAGAAACAAGTAACAAGTGGGACCACTGCCCCGACGCAGCCACAACAAGAGGAGGAGGAAGAGGACGAAGAAGAGGACGACGACGATGACGAGGGTCTTGTCGAGGAGCAACTGAATCAGAATGACGCAGACATGCATGGAAGCAGGCCTGCATCACCCAAACCTTCTAGGTGAGTTGCACAGACATTTTGCAATTCACACTAAATCTAACCGATGTCGTTCAGTTCTGCGGATGTACGGGTCTCCAGTAATCCTCCCACCCATGAGGAGCAAGCAACACCTGCGCCGGAACAGAAAAGGCGACCGGGCAGACCACGCGGTTCCAAAAACCGAAGGCCACGAGTCGGCTCCGCGAAACATGAGTCGCAATTCCAAGCTTCAGCAACTAGCACAACACCAGCATCCACTGGTCCTCCTTCGCATCCGAACATTACACCTCAGAATCAGCAATACTATGAGTTTCAATGGCGGGTGCTTAACCTTTGCGCGGAATTTTATGGTGCTGCTGAGGAGTTGGTGGTAAGCAAGGCGTGACCTCGGCGCTCTGAGAAGTACTCACCGAAAGACAGAAAGGAACTTCGCCTTTGGTCGTCGCTCAATGCTACCATATGGGCCCTGGCGTCAAGGTCGATCCATTGGCAATGCTAGGAGATGCAAAGCGAGTGTGCGATACTTTAGTATGTCAAATGCCTACGTTGTGTAGCCGAGCACTGACACCCATTGCAATCAGCTAGCCAATCCTTCTCAACTCGTCACAAATCCACCGCCCCCTATCTATCCGGTTTTGCCCACGATTTATCAACCAGCACCCCAACCGCCAGCTGCGACGCCTGTCGCGTCAACCTCAACCTCAACAGCCACACCAGCCGCCACCGTTGCTCCGACGCCAGGCGTGATTACCGGAGCCCAGTCGTTCGTCGTACCACTCGGTACACAGCCTGGTTATCCATATGCAACTATGTATGGTGCTGCTCCTGGCCAATACCCTACTACACCGTACTATCACCAGTATGCTGCCTACCACCCTGGCGCGTATTATGCCCAACCACAACCTATCCCTACGGCTCAACCTACCGCAAGCACGTCGACTGCTCCTGCTCCTACTCCTGCGCCAGCAGTGACTACAACGCAAGTCCAACCGACCGCCACGATCACCACAACTCCTGCGACAGGAGGAACGATGATCGGAAATCAGGGTGCTTGGTCGGACGAGGAAATGGAACAGTTGAAAAAGCTCGCAGAACGGAGCAAAGCAACAGGAACGTCTGGTGAAATCGACTGGGACTGGGTGGTTCAAGAATGGGGTATCAGCAGAACAAGGTAATCTTAAAATCGACTTTTCTTTCGAAGAGACAAAGTCTAATGGTTAATAGACATCAAATCCTCATCAAAGCGACAGCCCTGGGATTGAAGGAAAGTTCGACTCGTGCCCCCAAGCGGCGTCGAGGAGAGGATGGTACAGACGTCCCAGTCATGTCCTCTCTTCAGCCCTCAACTTCGAACACGTCAAATCCGTCGACAACGCCCGTTGCTGTGTCGTCGATGGCGTCCCCTGCGCAAAGTACGAACCAGTCCGCCCCGACGCCCTCCGCCTCGCCCGCCTTGCAAAACCAACAACGTCCCTCGTCGTCCAAAGGCCCAGTCACAGCAGCACCTGCCCCAAAGATGCCCTGGCCGATGCCCACCGTCGCTGTGAGTACGGTACCCGTCATAACAACTCCGGCGACGACGCATGAACAACAGCGCACGAGCTATTATCGGCCACGGCCGAACCAGACGGATTCGAGCGGCAAGACGACACCGACGGCGACAGGGCCAATATCTCATCAACAGCCAGTAACGCATCAATACATGTATACGCCCAATGGACAGGTGGGCACAGGCTACAGGCCCAAGGAAAATGGGAAATGAACAAAATTATTGACGGCAATTCTGTACAGGCAAGCAGATGAACCTTCCACGATGAAGGGCGAAAATGTTATGATTTGCTTGATGGTTCTGATTCTTTTGGCGAAGTTGTTATGAGTATGAATTTTCTACCTTTGTTGTCTTGTTGCAGACCATGCATATACCCGTATGTATTTTTACGGTTCCTGGCTGAATCATGGTCCCTCACCAATCGTAAAGTATCTATGCTCGTTTCTTGATTCTTGCTGTAGCTGGACACTTAATTATGGTTCTATGTAACAATTTTTGGAGCTCCCAGTGAGAAGCTCAAATGTTGACCCAGGAAGACTGCCATCAGAGAAAGCAATTTATGTAATCGCTAATTACACGCTAATTCGAATCCAATGTATAACACCGCTCACAACTACATACACTGATACCAGATACCAAGACCCAAATCCGCTATACCACACCTAACAAGACACCACCAAACGACTCTCTCGACAACAGCTTCTACTGAGATAGAGATGTCTACAAATTCGTCAACCTCTGCTCCGGTTTCTCGAGTACCCTCTATACCTCGTCCACCACCCTCGCCTCTTCGGTCGGCGTCAGGAGTGTCGGGACTCCCTCCCTCAAGCAATCTCAACAACTCCCAAAGCATACCCACAGCATCAATACCTGGCCCGTCAAGGCGACCCTCTGGACCTGACACACCTCCTCCCCCTGCGCAGAAGACCCGTGCAAGAGATCTACTGAGGAAGCATTATGGATTGGGAGTTGGGCCTCCGCCTCCACGTGGAAATTCGCAGGATCCTATGGACTTGAGTAAGCCCGCTCAAGACAGGTATCATCCGTTCCCGAGTCTGAATTCGAAATTAGATTCAGCAGCCTTCAACGCGAGGAGCTACTATGAGCAATTAATAACCACTTCGACGCTTCCTGCTTTGATGAAGAGGGAGAACGAGTTGCTCAGCGGTACGTTAATTCACAACTTGATCATGAGAGCTAAATTAATAAAACTCTTACCAGAAATACGCCAGCTCGATAGCGAACGACAGTCCTTGGTCTACAATCATCACCATGAGCTCATCGCTGCCTCTGACACAATATCTGCCGTGAGTTCACGAGAATCTCTACTGGTATCTTCTTGAATTCTCTTCGCAGATGAAAACAAGAGCAGAAAGTCTGGACGGCGACCTGGACCTACTCAGACAAGCATTCTCCGAAATTTCGCGTCTAGCTGCCGAAGTATCGACAGAGAATTCAAAGAGTCAACGCACGCCGAACTCGAGAACTCGGTGAAGACGAATAGTGAATATATATGACATTAAATTTACATCGACACTGAACGAATGAGCAGGTTGTACACTATTGGTACATACTAGTGGCTACAAATTTGGAATCATGGAGTTAGAAATGGGCCGTTTGAGAGTCGGAGACGTTGCCGTCGTCGTCAAAATTGAGGGTCTGGGTATTAGTTCGCGTTCATGGGAACCCAAAGTTCCGCTTGCCAATGGCAACCACCGCAGTGGAAAAGCTGGGTGATCAAGAGGTTGGAAGCGTCAAAGCCAACAGCGCCAGGCCTGTCACATATAGTCCAGAAGTCTTGACTTCGTTGGATTTGGATACGCTTTTGCTAAGTTTTTCAAATTGTTCGGTTAGCGAGCAGTCACAAATTCAACGGTCTATGAGCCTCACTTGAAGATACGCTGCAAAGTCCAGGACCATATTTGCGACCTTGGCGGCCATAACACCGCGAGGTAAAGCACCTCTCAGTGTTTTGATTCGCCTCTCGAATGGGGGGTATCCGGGCCACTGAGTGCTTTGTCATTTATGCGGAAGACAGAGAGCGGAATAACGCTCACATTGATCTGCACCTTCACCTCACGCTCCACCACTTCTTTGAAGATCAAATCTTCATCCCCCTTAAGCGTGGGTGGCCTGCAGGAGGCCATCTTGCCGACGTTAACGCCTTTCTCGGGGAAACCTGCCTGTATAAATAGAATTGGAGGATAACGATAAAAGAACTCGCTTGAGGATGCGGGTTCTTCAAATATTCCCTGCGGCACAACGATGTGGTTCGAAGGGTCGTGCTCTTCATCAGCCGGCGGCAGTTTCACGTTGCTTCGAGGTTGGTTTTCGTCCTGAGTCGCTCGTCCGTAGGTGCGGTGATGGCGATCTGGGCCGACTGTAGTAGAGTCGCGTCGATTACGCGTCATAGATGAATGATGAGTTTCATAGTGGTGAGGGGGTGCTGGCATTGGGGGGTGGGAAGGAGCATTAAATCGACTACGAGTTGGAGAACGCGGCGCATCGTGGGCAGAGACTGGGTAAGGGTAAGAGTTGGAGCTTCGGCGTCTTGCTACGGCTGGAGTGGCCTGAAATGAGGCTGATACTGGACGGACATATGGAGGCACTGCCTGTTGATAATGAGGGTTGCCTATTGGGATGTTGCTGGAACTAGAGCTGCAAAAGGGCGCTTCGCCGGGAAACGGACCAGTCGCAGCCGGATGATATACAAAAGTGCCGCCAGAAATCGCGTTCGGGGGGAAATATTGGTTCTGTGCGTACGCCATGGAATATGAGGTTGGAAAAGATTGACAATAGAAATCGACCAGCGAAGAGGGATTAAATTAGTAAAGGAAAGTCGAGGGGAAGCCAAAGCGTCGAGCTATGCGTGCACAAGCGCATCTCGAGACCATTTATACCAACGGGCCAAGTAGTTAAGTGGCATCTATGTCAAAGCCACAGGGATCAGCACAGGGATTTTAGCGTTCCTTTCCCGATAAGACAACCACGCAAAGGAAACCTTTATCACCAATTCGCATTTACCGCGTCATGGAATGGAAAGTCGGAGAGCGTCGGCGTTAGAACGAGTCAAATGGATCATTGAACAAAGATGAATAGGGCCACTCAGGAATTACTCTTTTTGCATCGTGTCTTCCGATCTAGGACATTGTGGCACACTGGGGAATGCGTCTAGGCTGAGGGTATTAAGGCGGGTATCGAGGCGGGAATGGGAATATGAGGATTCATCAAGTTCCGTTTCAGTTTCTTGCTCGAGACTTGTGCCTCGGCGCTTGTTCTCACCGCTCAGGATGAATAGAAGCGACACTGCGTAGCCCACAAAAGAAAATGCGGTCATGGACCTTCATGGACGCACGTCGCAATGTGCGATATATGCTGGTCCTCGAATTGATGATCATGGAAGAAAGTCAAGGGAGCGAGTGATCAATATCAATAACCGTCAATAACAGGGTCAGTCGCCATGATCCACCGCGGAAATGGCATCAACATGGACGCCATTGCAACGGGATAGCCCTAGTGTTCGTATCGACCTGACTTTTTGGAGTGGAGGATTATGATCCTTCCAACCAACAGGAATGCAAACCGGTAGGATTTGAGTTTTTCTGCGTTCTTTTCGAGTTACGACGCTATTTCTTCAGCAGAAGATATTTTTGATGATCAAGCATTGCTCAGACGCAAGGCGGGATGGAGTGGATTGAGAAGATTCTGGACTATGTCTTCAAGCCGGCTAACGGGATAATGTCGCAAGTTTCTCCCTCATGGAGTTGGTATATCCCAACGTTCGTCAAGGGGCTTCTCTTCCCGCCACTGGCTGGTCTTTATCGCCATCTCGATTCAAAGCATCCAAGTATCACCCATCTGCAAACTTCCATCAAGTATGCATTTGCGGCACTCGCAACAACGTCTCTCCGCCACCCGTCTCTTCCCCATTATCAACAACGGCTTGCGATTTCTCTGCGGGACAGGTATCGCAGGCTAGGAGACGCGAAGGATTTGCGGCTTGCCCTGATGCTTCAAAGCTCAGCGGCATCGCGGATCCTGGCAGCACATATGGATGTTCATTGGCACTGCGAAAACCTTATGGTGACTTACCGAGAATTGTATTCTCATTCGGGAGACGACAAACACCTGGAGACCATGATAAAATTTGCGCAAAGTGTTACTTTGGAACCTACTTCTCCACGTCTGGGGTGGTGGCAGCAGAGTCTTTCTGAAGTATACCAACAACGTTATGCCAGATTCAGCCGTGCCGAGGACGCAGAAGCTGCGTTGGAGTACGCTCTTGCCGCGGTTGATTTTGTAGGAGAAGATGACCCCATTCTACCGGGCCGACAGAATACGCTTGGGAGTGCCTACAATCACAGGTTTAATTACACCCAGAAGATGGAAGATATCGACCTCGCCCTTTTTTGGGCCCACATGTCACTCTCAACTACTCTGAATCCTGCTTCGATCGAATACGTGATGAGGCAGCAGCATCTAGCTAGCTTGTACAGCTCACGATATGCGTTTATTAGAAACCCGGATGACCTCCAAGCTGCAATTACCCTTTGCCAAGAGTCTATTGGAAAGATACCTCAACGACATCAACACTTTTTTCAGTGCCATTATAACCTTAGCTACTACCTCTTCCACAGGCATATAAACACAGGCGCTCCTGAAGATTTGGAGAATTCGATCGAGTACTGCTTGAAGGTGATGAAAGGCTCGCCTCCGAATAACCAACATACCGGCATTTACGCGGCCCACTTAGCTTCTGCACTCGCTGAAAGATACCAGAAATCTGGTCGTTTGGACGATCTCGAATCGGCCATGAAGTGGATCGAGGTCGCTATTCCGAAATTTGGCAAGGACCACCCAAAAGCGCCGTGGCATTTGTACGTCCATTCGACCGTCCTTTTATTACGTTATCGCAGGCATCGAAATCGAGCCGACCTTGAGCTCTCGATCAGACAATGCAAGTCTTCTGTCGAGTTAACTCGTCCTGATGACCCGGAGTTGCTGGAGCGGCAGCAACAACTTTCTATCCTGTATCAAGACCTCTTCTCCCAATCGAGAGACCTTCAGCACGTCATGCTTGCCCTTGAAGTGCAGCAAACTGTCGTCGATTTAACACTCAGGGATCACAGATACGCCGCCGACCACTTCTCCACTCTAGCGGCTATCCATTCGCAAATTTACGAACACAAGGGAGGCGTTGAACATAGGGAAGCATCCATGAAGTGGAATCACACAGCCCTAGACTCTGCCAAACCCGACGATCCTGAACGCCACTGCTACTATTTCAATCTCGCGCTTCAATACTACAACAGGTACACACGATTGAAAGACCCCGACGACCTAGAGGTCTCTCTCAAGCTCGGGAACGAAGCCCTCCGGCTTATTCCTCAGGACCATCCGAGAACTGTCAGATACCATGATGTGGTGGCGGAAGCGTCTGCAGATAGATATAACCTACTCCACGATCTGCCAGATCGCGATAAAGCCCTTGAATCCTTCAAGCGATCAGTCCAAGCATCTAACGGCGATCCGAAACTTGTATGGAGGGTCATACGGAAATGGGCAGAATTTGCACAGCTGCACAAACTTCCAGAATGTATCGATGCCTATGGTACTGGCTATCGCATGCTTCCCGAGTTGTTTTGGCTTGGAAGTGATATCACCTCTCGACACGAGACCCTCGTCAAATTTGAAGTGGCGACTGTGACCACCAAAGCCATCGCGGCATGCATTGAATACGAACAACTCGAACGCGCTGTGGAGTTTGTTGAGCAGAGCTTGGCACTCACCTTCCAGCAGCTCCTCGATCTCCAGACCGACCTATCTGCACTGAAAGAGAAGTTTCCTGGGTATGCTTCCATGCTGGAGACTATCTCAGCAGATCTCCAGAAAATTGCGATCACAACTCGGAGTCAGTCTCCGTACGGTTCTTCAGCTAGTCGATCTAGTCAATGGGACCTACAGCGGAAGTTAGCAATGAAAAGAGATGCACTCCTGAAAACGGTCAGGGAGCTTCCAGAGTTTGAAAACTTCCTGCTTCCCGTCCCTTTTCGATCCTTGAGACGTGCTGCAGACAAAGGCCCACTTGTGGTTATCAATTGCAGTTCGAAGACGTGCGACGCTGTCATCATGTCGCAAGGTGGCAAACTTCTGCACACTCGGTTACGAGGCGTCAGTGTCGATAATGTCGCGAAACAGTACGAAAGATTACGGATGGCTCTCAGACAATATGGAATCCACTCGCGCGACGTCAATAGTCACGACCGTGCTGGTCAACGTGTGGTTTCCAAACAAGTCAACGGAGAAACGATCATACAGGACATTTTGGCCTGGATATGGTCCCTCATCGTTTTTCCGGTTTTTACGGTGCTGAAGGAGGTAAGTTCATGTTTACATGTTGCGTGCACGTGGGTTCACATGTCTTATTAGAATGGCATCGTTGGCGGACGCTTATGGTGGTGTCTAACTGGCCCTCTAACGTATTTGCCACTCCACGCCGCAGGACCGCCGAATGATTTCATTCAATCGTACACATCGACGTTAGGAGCACTTTTACGAGCACGCTCTTCGCCGCCCAGGAGCAAGGAAATCAAAGTGACTACAGTGGGTTTATCAGAATTCAACAAAGGGGGCATCTCCCACCTTCCGAAGGTCTCCGAAGAGATCGATGCTCTGAGAGACGTCGCTGGCGAATCTCGGACATCCGTGTTCATGAATTCAGATGCAACACTCGAAAAGATCACCGACCTGCTGCCCCAATCGACGTGGCTGCATTTGGCTTGTCATGGCCAGCAAGGGAATGCACAAGATCCACTGAAGAGTGGGCTGTTGCTTTATGAAGGGCAGAGGCTCGAGCTCGAGACAATCGTCAATACCGCGATTCCAAACGCCGAATTCGTCTTCCTGTCTGCATGCGAGACGGCGATGGGAGATGTTGACCTGACAAGCGAGTCATTGCATCTTGCGGGTGGTATGATCTTCGCTGGCTTCAAGGCGGTCATTGGCACACTTTGGTCTATCAACGATGCTGACGGGCCAGTCGTTACACGGATAGTGTACTCGCATCTCTTCCAGGATGGAAAAGAGCCGGATGTCAACAATGCTGCTGAAGCCTTGCATCTTGCTGTCAAACACCTGCGTGAGAGAGGCGTTCCACCGCACCGCTGGGTTCCTTTTATCCACATTGGTATATGATATGCGGTATCTAGAGTATGATATTTAAATAAATTAGGGGGTCCTCGACCGGATACCATTTTACATTTGAGGGACTGGCGAACTGATGCAGGATGGATTGAACGCTCCGAGTCCTAGAGAAATGTTTGTCGCCAGACTCTGGCAAAGGAAGGACTACTGAATCAGAATCATCCAGGCCAAAATGAAATAGAACAGACTAAAGAGCACTAATAAGTTATCTCCCATAATTGAGAGGACGTGGAAGGACTGACAGGAGAGGATAGACTGCAAGCAAAATGCGCTGCTGTTCGATTTTCGTGCCATCCAGGAAGTTGACGGAAGCTTCGAAGGTCGTCATAAGCACCATGGAAATAAAACGAGCAATTATATAACTCACCCCAAATGCACCAACCCCAAGCCAACAGAGCAACTGGAGCCCGAATCCAGATGATGCGAACAAAGCAACCAACGAGAGCAGCAATGTCAAGAGGGGCTATGCAATAACCGAGGACGCATAGACCCTGGAAGAATGACACTCGTCCACCCAAGAGCTACCCAGTTGAATTAACTCGGACTTATTTCGATGAATAGATAGAAAGTAAAGTACCTTCGCCTGTACAGTCACGAATAAAGCGCCCAGCGAGCAGATCACGATGACACTAGTGAAAACGCCCAATGATTGAGATGGAGGCGCCTGAACCAGCATGGGTAAGATCACGAGTTAAATAGTAGGTTCCGTGGCTTACATTAATGCTTAGCATGATCCCGAGCATCAAGCAGAGTAATAGTGGACCCCATAAATCCCAGTCTCTTTTCAAGAGAATTCAGTCGAAGTCGATACAGGACAGGAAGTATATTCTAACCTGAGAACTTCGCGGCCGGAGCTACGCCGAGGGTAGAGAACTTGAACGAGTTTAGAGTAAATCGAAAGCAAGTCGCGCGCCTATATACGAGATGAGCATGTCGGATCAAAGGAACAGGATGTGGTGGCGCATACAATGGTCTCCGTTATGGGCTCGTCAAGAGTGTCTTGGCCGGAATATCTACATCTCATAAGCTCAACAACGAACACGACGCCATAGGAGCGACATACCGCGTCTCGACCTGCAATCCTCCGACTGTCTGCCTATTCGGTCTGGCTGGCTGAGACGAACTTCCAATATTGCCGGAAAGTGCAGGAACACTCGGGCCAGCAGGCGTTGCGCTCGGTGGTGCGAGTTGCTCAGGGACGAAGGACGCCCGTCCTTTGCCCTTGTCTTGTGGTGCAGGTGACTGCGCCATTCCTGGATGAGAGAATCCCGGAATGTTCTCTTCGTCCAAGTCGTCGTCATCGTCTGTAGCATATTGTAAGCACAGAAATCGTCTGGAGTCGAGCGAGAACACGTACCGGCTTGGATGAACTGAGAGTTCGCGGTCAGAGGTGTTCTAACGGGATCCATGGCCCCGGGATGAGATTGCAAACAGGAAGGTTTGCCACGCTTCACGCAGCTGAGCGTTGTATGGACGTCACGCGCGTAGCGGAGTTGGAAATCGTCCCAATCGGGAAGACTGACGCGTCGCCTCCAAATCATTCTCGTTCCTTTCGTACACCTTTTCACCGTACAAACCTTCTAATCTTGCACGACCATCAACTATGGTATGTGGACTGATCTTGCAAACTGACTGAACGCGACTCTAACGGTCATGTGCAGGGTAACACACCATCTGGCATGCCTCCCGCTGAAGGAGGTGCAGGAGGGGACAAGGACAAGAAGGACAATCAACCACAGAAGAAGAAATGGGAGCCGCCTCTACCTACTCGTGTCGGAAAGAAGAAGAAACGCGGCCCCTCAGCCGCCTCCAAGCTCCCCGCCGTCTATCCCACCACACGGTGTCGTCTAAAGCTTCTGAAAATGGAACGAATCAAGGACTACCTTTTGCTGGAAGAGGAGTTCATCGCGAACCAGGAGCGCCTCAAGCCTGACGAGACCAGAGAGGAGAAGAACGAGGAGGATCGGTCGAAGGTGGACGACCTCCGCGGCAGCCCGATGGCTGTTGGGACGATGGAGGAAATCATCGACGACGACCACGCAATTGTCAGCACGGCGTCCGGTCCTGAGTCGTATGTCTCTATCATGTCGTACGTCGACAAGGACCTGCTAGAGCCTGGCTGTCAAGTCCTGCTGCACCACAAGACCCAATCGATCGTTGGTGTGCTACAAGACGACACCGACCCTCTTGTCAGCATCATGAAACTCGACAAAGCGCCGACGGAGAGCTATGCGGATGTCGGTGGTCTTGAGAACCAAATACAGGAAATCAAGGTACGCCCTGTTCAAGGGCATGTACGATGAAATCTAAATATCTTCTAGGAATCCGTCGAACTACCTCTCACCCACCCCGAACTATACGAAGAAATGGGCATCAAACCGCCGAAAGGGTGTCATTCTTTATGGTGTGCCCGGCACGGGAAAGACGCTACTCGCCAAAGCAGTCGCGAACCAGACCTCTGCTACTTTCCTACGTGTCGTCGGTTCGGAGCTAATCCAGAAATACCTCGGAGACGGCCCCAAGCTCGTGCGAGAGTTGTTCCGCGTAGCGGAAGAGCACGCTCCTAGTATCGTCTTTATCGATGAGATTGACGCCATTGGTACGAAACGGTATGTTTGTCCTCTTGCTCGATGCATATGTTTCATGCTGACCCTCCGTCAGGTACGACTCAACATCAGGAGGCGAACGTGAAATCCAACGGACGATGCTCGAACTCCTCAACCAGCTAGACGGCTTCGACACGCGCGGCGACGTCAAAGTCATCATGGCGACCAACCGGATCGACTCGCTCGACCCCGCGCTCATCCGCCCGGGTCGTATCGACCGTAAAATCGAGTTCCCCTTACCCGACGTGAAGACGAAGCGGCACATCTTCCGGCTACATACCTCGCGGATGAGCCTGAGCGAGGACGTCGACCTGGAAGAGTTCATTCTGACGAAGGATGATCTGTCGGGGGCTGATATCAAGGCGGTGTGCACGGAGGCAGGTCTGCTGGCGCTGAGAGAGCGCCGGATGCGGGTAACGAAGGCGGACTTCACGACGGCGAGGGAGAAGGTGCTGTACAGGAAGAACGAAGGGACACCCGAAGGCCTGTATTTGTAGATCCTGCTTCTGTTTTTTGTCTTCGTTCGCATTCTGTCCTCTATCACATCATTTTCTTCGATTTTATGGGTGATGAATAATTTCAAGTTCAACTCCTGAAGTTGCAGACGCAAAGGACCAGACCACAACGCGCATTTATTTAGCCCTCGAAGGAAGTGAATAAGCGCCGGCTGAATGGGTATACTCGTACAGGGGTGCGAACAAGGATTAATACGAAGGAGAAATTATCCAGGAGATAAATCGTACCTATGTACACGAAATTTTGCCTAACCTACAATATAAGTGGCAATACGGATACGGGGTTGCATGGATACTCGTACATACACAGTGAATTAAAGGTTTGAATGGACGTGTTAAAGTAATCTATGTATATGTCGAAGAGAGGGTGGATTATATGGGACGTAGGGAATAAGGTCATATGCAAATGTAATGTGAAGTGGATTGCGATTTGGATACGTGGAGATTTGGAACTTGGATGCGAAAGATAAGTTAAACCAAGACGTATGAAAGTATCCTCCAGGTTAAATGATGAAGAGAGTCTATGTAAGAGCGAGAAATGAAAGAAACGGAGATGCCTGACAAAGATTGGACATTTTCCGAATTTTGCGCCTTTTGCATAAAGTTGAAGGTGCCGCCGAGATTTCGCTGGAAAGTCGGTAGGAAACGTGTAAAAAGAATGTGAGGACCCCGACGTCGACGGTGTTTCCTTAAAACACACACTGGCCACTGCAATTATTGCGGTAATAATCTGCACACAAACACTTCGTCAGCACCCACTCAACCTACAACCCATCCAAGGAGATCCAACAAAAGAAGGGGCCCAAAAAGAAAAAGAAAAAGAAAGAAGAATAAAGAAAAACACTCACTTTAACCAAACCCTCCCCGCGCCGCTCTTCTCCCTAACAAGCTCCCACAGCCTCCGTCCCAAATCCTTCCCATTCAGCGCATCGACGAGCGTCTGCCGGCCCTCCTTCGTGCCCTCGTACTCCAGCACGCACTCGCCGAACCAGCCTTCGCCGACGTCGTTGGCGCTAGGGCCGCCGGTGGTGCTGGTGGTGGTGTAGGAGGTAGTGTTGGAGGTTTTTGGAGGAGGCCGCGGCGGACGCACGACCCTCGCCGTCCACGTATACTTCCTCACCAGCGCGTACCCCTTGGCCGAATGCGGGCTCGGCACGCGCGTCGTGCTATGCACCAGCCTTAAATCGAACTCCTCCTCTCCCTGCCCACTCTCCATACCCCAGCTACCACCCCCACGCCCCCCAAGTCCATACGGCAACCGCGGAATCACGAACAACGGGTTCGCACCCTGCGGGAGGATATGCGTGTAATAAAAGGGGCTCGGGAGGCTGAGCGGGTCTGCGAGCGGAAGGACCTCGGGCGGGGTGTACGGTACGAGGTAGGCGCCGTTGAATAAGAGCCAAGTGCGCTGCTCCGCTCCTCCTGCGCTCGCATTACTGCTGTTCGCGCTCCGCCGCCAACCGACAGTAATCGGCTCATCGCTGCCATCTTCCGAGCTCGCGTTAGCATTCCCATTCGCGTTCGAACCGTAGGCGGACGTAGAGGCAGAGGTGTTCGGAGTGCCAGCACCCGGCACATACCCAAAATTACACACCACATCCCCCGTCGACAGGTGCGCCCACAGCCCCGCGGCCTGCAGCTGCCTTTCGCACGCCTCGAGCGCGCCGGGGTCGTCCGCCGCCTGTGTAGGCACAAAGACGCGCAGGACGGGTGCACGCGTGCGCAGGGTCGCGTAGCGGAGGTCGTGCAATGAGAGGTGGTGGTATGAGTGCGGGGGCGGGTACGGGGATGGGTGGGTGTGCGGATGGGATGGGGGGTAAGGGGATGATGGGTAGGCAGGGGAAAAGGAGTGAGCGCTAGGGTGAAAGGTGGGGTTCGACGCGGAGAAGGGGTGCGAGGACGGGTAGGTGGTCGAGTGTGAGGAGGACGAGGGTAGCGCAGAGGGCGGGAAGGAGGAGAAGGGCGACGAGGTGGTGGTGGTTGCCGGCGACGGTGCGTACGACGACGAGCTGGGGCTGTCGCGCCCGTGCCCGCCGATGATGGACGAGCGCGCAGACTGTGACGTCGACGAGTCGCTCGATGCGTTGCCGTTCCTGCTATTCCCTCTCCCATTCCCATTCGTACTCGCACTCCCGCTCGCACTCCAGAGTCTCCGCGTCGGCGGGCCCCTCAACGACCCTCCAAAACCTCCATACTCATCCACCGAGTCGTACCCATACCCACCGCCATACCCATACCCATACCCACCACTCATCGACGCCGACGCCGAGCCCGCCCTCCTCCAACTACTCGCATACATCTTGAGCGCACGCGGCTCCTCAGGCGGCGGGGGCGTGACGCTCTTGCGTGCAAAAATAGACAGGCGGCGGCCTTTCGCTCCAGATGACGTACTTGACATCATCATGGACGAGAGGCTGTCGGCCGACGGGCGGGTGCCGTGTGCGGGGAGTTTGAGGCTGAGGCTCGCGAGGCGGTCGTGGCGCGGGTGCGGGTGGGCGTGCGGGGTGGAGGCGGGGGTGGTCGACGACGACGCGTCGGCGCTGCGACTCTGTTTATGCTTCGACTTCCCCTTTCCCAACACGTTCGCAGCAGGTGTTTGTGGCGCAGTTGATTGGGCACTCGTATTTGGCGTATAGGCGAGAGGCGCCGGGAACGTGAGCTCGCGCACGCTCTGGACCGGAAGGGGCATGAACCGCGCGCGGGGCTTGATCTCCTCCGGCTCGACCTCGAGCGGTTCCGCAGAGCTGTGGGCTAGCGCCTGGAGGAGGAGGACAAACCGCGAGTGCGCCTGGGTGAGCGCGACGAGCCGGGCGGACGTCTGGTCGTCCTCGAATGTGGGGAAGAGCGCGGTGAGCGTGCGCAGCGCGTGGGTGGGGTATCGGTGTAGCTGCTGGTCGGTCCGCTGGGATATCACTGTCGTCCGTCAAGGATGAAATTGCATCATCGTAAAATCGATGTGCGGCCGTGTGGGCAGGGCAGAAAAGGCAATGATCAGTTAGTCAGGGACCAGTGAAATGAAAAAGATCATGATGAATTTTAAAAAAGGACCAAGTACACTAGTTGGATGACCGGTGCCGCGAAAGACGGGGGAAGGAGAAGAGAAGGACGAGACTCACGTAGAAGATCGAGATCGTGGACTGAGACTGGGACGTCCTGATAACGGTTAGGGTCACGGTACCGCAGACAACGCGCGTATCCGGGGACGAAGCGGGCGAGGACGACGTCGCGGAGGGCGGTGTCGCGGAAAAGGGTGTCACGGAAGGACCTGCATGTGCAGAGGAGCGGGTGTAGGTCGGCCCAGGAGAGAAAGCTGAGGAGGGAGGCGAGCACGGTGGGGCTCTGGAGGGCGGTGACGAGCCAGGAAACAGTGGTACGCGGGAGAAAGCTGGAGAGGACGCGCGGGCGGGCAGCTGCCATGGCGTTTGGTGGATGTGGTCGGGGGCGAAGGTGGGAGGGGATTTGGGGTCGCAGAGGCGGCATGACCGGCTCCTGCTGCTGCGGGTTCAAGTTTAGATTTGCAGTCTTTGTGGGGGGGAAGGATAAACGATGGGCAGCTGCGGTGAGGGCGAAAGACGGGAGGGGACGCGAGTTGGTGGATGGAGCGGTGGGGCGAGTTGTGTCAGCAATGCTCCTCAGAGGGTAGAGGGCAAAGGAGTTTGTCGGGGGGAATGGTGGTGGCGGGGATTCATGAACGGCCATGGGACGAGCCAAGCCAGACTAGAGGAACGGAGAGGGCGATGTCTGAGAAAAGAAAAGCCGGCGTGGGTTATGTATAGCTGGGGGTCGTCAAGGGGAGCGCGGAGGGCAGAGGGGCAATTCGCATTTGCAAGACACTATGTAGGAGCCCGAGCAACGCGCCGTTCACCATCTCCCTGATCCTATTTCTCCATCCAGCGCTAACTCTCGCTCGCTAACACGATAACTGTTCGCCGTCGCTATCCCGCACGTGCCGTGCCGTAATCAGTCATTAACGGATGGGGAAAGGACCCCGAGTCTGCCCTCGGTCCGGCCGATGGCACAAAATTGCTGACAGTAGACGCTAGCAGCCATCGCAAAAAGCGTATATGACTGACGGTGCACTCAGTCTCCAGAGCAGAGTATCCAGCCACAGCAATTTCCGGTACCGCAGACGTTCGAGCTCTCGGAATCGGTCGGCTATCAGCCAGCGCTTCTCGGGGTCCTTGTCCTCGTGGCGTGGGAACACACCCACAGGCCACAGCAGCTGGCAGCAATGTTGGCGGCGAGTCTGCTTTCCGAGTCCACAATCTACATACCATGGTACGTCTGCACCCTTCCGCCTGTCCCCCGTTGATGATGATCACGATTTCCTGCCTGCACAGGGACGCGATCTTGAACGCGAGGTCTTCGGTGGTTCAGAGTCTGAGCTTTCCTCCGACGAGGACGAGGGTGGGTCGTGCGTTATTTCCGTCGTGGGCTGCCCACTAAGCCACTCGTGCAGAGATCCAGCAGCAGCAGCAGCAACAACAACAACAACCACAACAGCAACAGCAGGCGCCAAAGCCTCGTGCGCCAAAACCCCGCGAAGAGTACGACTCGTCTGGTGGCGATTCAGAGGACGACTATGTCCAGGAGAGACCAGGCGCCGGCAAGACCAAAAAGCGCACCGCGAAGAAAGCACGCGCAGATGGCGGGGAGCCCAAAGCACTCCAGCGAAAGCGAAAGCGAAAACAGCCCGTCGAGGTCGACCTGAGCGAGCTGCCGCCACAACAAGGTGCGTTCCTTTCATCTCTCGCTTCCTTGGGAACTTACCGATGCCGTCATACCGCAGCGAGCAAGCTCCGGCTCGACATGCGCATCGACGAGATCCTAAAACCGAAAAAGGCGAATAGGCCACGGAAGAAGAAGACCAACGATGAGGTCTTGGATAGTTTCGCGGACGACGAGGTCGCGAGGCTGCGGGAGACGATGAGCAACGCGGCGGAGGAAGACATCCGCTCAAACCAGGAGAAGCAGCCCGCGACGGCCAAGCTGAAGCTACTGCCTGAAGCGATGGAGACGCTGAGAAAGTGCGTAAAGTTTCATTTCACTGCTTCTTTCTATCTACGTTCCTATCGCTTGCTTACTCTACCCAACCTCCCCACACCCATACTAACCCACTTTCCCCTTTCCTCTAGAGCATCCCTAGCCCAATCCATGATTGACAACAACCTCCTCGAAGCCGTACGGCGCTGGCTCGAGCCCCTCCCCGACCGCTCCCTCCCCGCACTCACCATCCAGCGCGAGCTCTTCGCCACCATCCGCAAGATGGAGTTCATCGACTCCTCCGTCCTCAAAGAGTCCGGGCTCGGCCGCATCGTCCTCTTCTACACCAAATGCAAGCGCGTCACCCCCGATATCGCGCGTACGGCGAACGACCTCGTCTCGGTGTGGTCTAGGCCCATCATCAAGCGCTCGGCGTCGTACCGCGATAGGATCGTTCCCGTAGCGCAGGATGGGGGCGACGGGGTGGACCTGAGGGCGGGGGAGAGGCTGAATGCGATTCTGGCGAGGGCAAAGGAGGAGGAGAGGGGGAGAGTGAGGAAGAATGCGGTGAGCATACCGCAGAGGGAGCTGGGGAGCTATACGGTGGCGCCCAAGGCGAATGCTGGGTTTGGGAGGAGCAATGTTAGTGTGGAGGTTGATACGGAGAGGAGGAGGAAGAACCATGAGAGGATTAGGTCGTTGACTAGGAAGGTTAATGTGAAGTAGGGAATGGAAGACGGTGTTGGGTTGCTGTGGGTCGTGGATCAGCGAGTGGGTTGAAACGGTCAAGTTGGTCGAGTTGGGTCGGTCTCTCTGCGTGCGTGCTCGTTGCATAATCGTCGCATGTATGTTCTCTCTTGTATGTAGAAAATAACATTCTAATCCTTCTAATCCCTCTACGTCTTGCACAGAACCACAGAAGTCGACCTTCGAAGCATGCCTATCACAGTCAACCTGAGCATCACAGGTCTGCCAGTATAGTATGCTCTATGTATATCACAGGTCCTCCAATCCCCTCCTCCCCTTCCTGGCTTCTTGCATGGAAGGGCACATTGGCAACAAGTGTCATTCACATCCATCCATGAATTATCTGATGGAAGAGTCGGGGAAGCGTGAATTTAAGACGGGCGTTGCGGGAGGAACGTTCCTCGAGGCTCTTGCTCAGGAGAACAGGCCTAGGAGAGATGCTCTACATACCGTCTGCGGTAGGTGTGGCACAGCGGTCTGGTAATGGTACGCGTTCTGGTAGTACAGTGCGGCTGGTATGGTCGTCGAATTCGCGCGACGCGCTGATAATCTCCAGATCCCGTTCATGTGAGCGAAAGCATGATAACTGATAACTGATAACGCGGACGACTATTGATTATCAGAACAATCGAATGAAAAAGAATAAAAGGTGGTTTTATTCGTTGTCTTTTGTAACGACTATATAGTATATCTCGAATCTTGATCTCTTGCATCGTCATGTGTCCCCGCGCTCTCGACATTGGACAAGAGTCGGCATCTTATCTTTGTTCCCCAAGCAGAATTGAAGAACCACAAGGGGGTTGGGGGTTCGGAAGCGTCTTGACTTCCTCGTCCAGTGACCCTACAGGAACATTCATTGTTCATCGAACGAATACAGTCAAGCGATGATAGTCGGTGGATCCCGACGTGCCATACGGACATACGCCTTCGCTCTCCTTCCCTTCTGACATACTTACGACGGATTCGATTCCGAATGATAGAGATAGAGATATGGCTCCGAAGGCACGACGATCACGATTTCATTGAAACCCGTGCGCAAGTCAATTCATGTTCTAATCCGTTCACCCGGGCAGATCTCTTCTTCCCATTGCACTTAGACTTGGAAAATAGCATCCATTATCATCATCATCAGCATCATCGTTGAGCGAGCGAGCATCTTTCCGGGACCATCTTTTGGGGTAAGGAAGACTAAGGAAGGCACCTGGACGGGAGGAGAAAGGACACGCGGGGAGCCGGGGGCCATAATTAATTAAGCCTGCACCGATGGCCGTCTCATCGTCGTCGAAAGTTAGCTTTGGGGATGGACGATCGTTCGGTCGTACGGACATGGAGGGAAGAAGAGCGCGCTCCGAGCATTACCCAAGCGCGAGCATGTGCGTTAGACAATGTACGCTCGGACTGGGATGTGGGCGATGTCGAGAGAGCAGTGGACAAGACGTCGGAATAAGAGTCTTGTACGCGTGGGGCGGCGCGAGGCGCGCGTTCGTGATCTGAAATGCGCGTGGCGCCGTTGTAGACGCGTCGACGCCCTTGTGGGCAAAAGGCCATAAGCTTAAGATTTCGGAGTCCGAGATGCTCGCGCTGGTAGAAAGGGCGATGCCGACGCCAGGCTCCCATAGAGAGTATGTAGATACTCAGCCAGTCAAGGAGATCCCAAGTGCCCGATACATAGACAGAATTCGGACTGTAGGCGTCCGTTTCCCAGCTACCCCAGCGTGGTGATGCCACTGCGTCTTACGCGAGGGCACGCTGCAGAACACGTTGCACGGACGCGCGACACGCCTGCGAAATGGAACGTTCCAAGTTGGAAATTGGGTGCAAGTGGGATCATTCGTGATTTTCTGGGGGGTTTCGTGAGTGAACATGGACGAGAGACAGAGGAGGACGAGAGGGCGATGGAAGGGCGAAGAGGTAAAGTGAACGCGAAGGATAGGGGCGAGTGGGCAGGGAGACCGCTCCGAGAGCGGAAGGGTGGCCCGAGCGGGACATGTGGCAGGGTCGGCCGGAAAAGGCAGGAGATGCCATGGAGGGGGGCGGAGTTGGAAGAGTGATGGGGGGTGTTTGATCGTGCATGCTGGTCTCCCTCCATCCATACGCCCACTCCCCGCCGCCGCCGTCGCCCCTCCTCAACAAAGCGTCGGCCCATCCCCCGGCGAGCTCGCTGCACCACCGAGCGTATCCCGCTCTCCCAACCCCTCCTTCTTTCTTTTTCTCTTTTTCTTTCTTCTTTGGAACGACAACTACAAGAAATGCAGTCGCGTCGGCCGTCGGGGCTCACCCCCCTCGCCATCGTCCTGCCACACCCGCCCCTCCCCCGCAGGCGTTCGTCTCTCCTCTCAATCGGCTCAGCTACGTCCCCGCATACGCCCAGGAGCTGCCACTCACCCTGCCTCCCCATCTACAACTACCCCGCCAACAGGAAGAGCACAGACAGCTGGAACAGCTCCAATGCCGACGACATGGAATTCGACTGGAAGCCTGACCAGGTCCTCCTCCTCACCCGCGTGCGTGCCCTCGTCCCATCTTTTTCACCGTTTGTTTTTCTCATTTTTGGGGTGTGGGCAGACCCTGGACGCGCTTCCTGCGCACCTAGTCACTCCTTTCAATGGCCCCGTACCCCCCTCCAACCTCCTCGACAAGATCGCCCGCGGCGTCGCACAGGCCAAAGGCCCCGCCGACTGGCCCCACTCCATACGCGCAACCCGCGTCAAGCTCCTCGAGCTCGCCCGCGCCCGCGCCAAGGAGGAAAAGAACAACGCTGCCCACCGCCGGCACGTCATCAAGGAGGAGGACATCGAGGTAGACGACGCCTCTAATTATTCTTATTTCCATGACGGCCACGAAAAGCCCCTCCGAACCACCACAACTACAACCGCCCCAGCCGCCCCCGTCCCCCGTCGCCCGCTTTACCGCCAGTCAAGCATGGACTTCATCACTCCCGGTCCCGATGATATCAAGGATAACGCGAACATCACTCGGTGAGTCTTCTGCTCCTTGTACCTCGCAACAAATGGACGCGCTCCATCTCCCAAACGGCGCTAATATTTTCCAATGATAGCCTCTCCAACCGCCTCCAACGCTCTGATCGGCTTTTTCCCAACCCAGTCTACCACCCGTACTCCCGCGCGCCCCACTCGGCGTCCCAGCGATCTGCTTCACCCCCGACAGATGCCCCGTCCCTAGTAAACCAGTCCACGACAAGCTCATCCACTCTGGACACCGACGCCTTCTCGGAATTGTCTGCTGCGCCTCGCGTCCTGCGCCGCTCCGCCTCGACGATCTCCTCCAGCTCCATGTTCACCGACAGCAGCAACGGCATGATGCCCCTCGCCGACCCACGTATCCAGCGCGTCAGGCGCTCCGACTCGGTCTGTGCGCCCGCTCCGCCGCCCAAGGACTTTCCCTTCCCGTCCATCCACAGCGCAAGCGCCGGGCTCAAGCGCGCGCCGTCCTACGGGGCCATCGCACAAGAAGCAAGGCAGGAGCACGCAGCGTTAGGTCATGCGCGGACGCTCTCCGGCTCGTACCCGTCCTCGGACGAGGAGGAGAAAGCTCGGACCCGCCGTGCGAAGAAGATCAAGACGAAGACTGGCACCGCGGTTCCCTCGACGCCTGGCGGTGCTTCGACCCCGCCTAGCTCCGTGCCTTCGTCCCCCGATGCGATGGTGATAGCGACCGCGCCGTCCTCGCCTGTTGTCACTCGAAAGTCGGCGAAGGAAGGCGTGACGTCGCCCAAGCGAGTCAAGGGCGTGTCGGCGTGCAGAGACGCGCAGAAGGAAAAGGACAAGCTGGAGGAGGGAGTGAAGAGCCCGAAGTCGCCCAGTTCTAAAAGCATGAAGAGGGCTGCTGATAAGACGTCGGGCGAGGCGGGTAAGACAGGCAAGACGCGCTCCCAGGACAAGGACAAGGAGAAGGCAGGTGCGACTAAGGACAAGGCCGCCACGAGCAAGCCAAAGACGAAGCCCCAGCCGATGAACCTGCAGAGGAACCCAAGCATGTTCGGCGCTGAGCTGCCGCCTTTACGCAGCCCGTTGGGCAGCACGAACAAGGGCGACAACAACGCCAATATCTACAGTGGTGTCTCGCACATACACGCTCGTCTCGCGTCTCCGCCTCCTCTTCCCCACAAGGCCCGCTCACCCGCCCCTGCTGCTGCTGCTGCGGCTACTTGCTCCCTGTCGCCCGCGCCGGCCCGTGCGCTCTCGCCTGCGCCCGTCATCCACACAAAGGGCGTCGCACAGCTCTCTCCGCCATTCTCTCCAGCGTCTTCTCCTTTGTCGCCCACACTGGCGACGTCTCCCATGTCGCCTGCGTCGCCGCAGACAAAGACAAAGACAAAGACCCTACGCCGCGTGCGCCGCCTCGCGCCTGCGCGCCGCATCTCCTTTGGGAGTCTGCTGCCGACGGGTGCGACTGCTGAGGTGGAGGGTGAAAGTGAAAGTGCGCTCGTTCCTGGGAGGGGGTGTTTGGGGAGTGCGTTTCAGTTGATTTGAGGGGGGAGGAGGAGGACAAGTTTGTGAGGAGGAGGAGGAAGGAGGAAGATAAATTGGAAGGAAGGAAGAAGATCTCTCAAACTCAAATTCAAACCACGGAAAAAACGCTGAAAGGCCCAAAAGCCTTTTTGGTGTGGTTTTTCCGTCATGTATAACGTGTACCACCACCACCACCACCCGCGCCCTCTCGACTGACTGACCGACATTCAGTACTCAACAACGCTCGTTCGCTGGCATCGCTCGACTGACTTGACCCATTGACTCACAAACCAATTCAGTTGCAATACTAAATCTCAATGCATTCACCAACCAACCACTCAATCACTCATCGACTCATCCGTCTACTCATCCGACACCCAATCCCACCCAACATCCAACAGCTCTCATCCGTCTTCATACGTCCGCAAAACCCACCCATCTACACTACCGACACCCGAGCAATGCTCTGTCTCATCTCTCATCTCATCTCATCCACTGTCGTCATATCCCGCCCTACCCTGTGCTCTACTCTCTACCCTCTACTCTCTGCATAACAACTCCACCCACTACTCAACTCACCGCGGTCGGCGCGTACCCTATTCGTACCATACATTCTCCGCACCGACAGCGCCAACGGTTCTGTAACATAGCCCTTTCCTTTCCTCCAACTTTTCCTCCTTCGTCTTTGCCAGCTTCACTTGGGATTTGGATTTGGATCTGGAATTTGGAGAAGATGTTACATAACCTTTATCTCGCCTTCGCCATTCGCCATTCGCCTTTGGGTTTCGAGTTCGCCTTCACCGCCTACACCACACAAACACGCACTCACACATAAACGCACCATTCGATTTGCTGGTTTTTGGCGAACCGCCCGACATCCCACACCCGCACTTTTGGTACGCCGTACACCCGCATACGCTCATACGCCCGTCCTCTGCTCGCCCTCGTCCCTCCCACATTTCCTCCCACTCTCATTCCCCTCTCCTTTCATCATCAACATCAATTTCGCGGAAACCCACACTCCTTCTGTTTGTACTATTACGACTAGCATTTTTTGCCACATTGCCATGCGCTACCCACACGCTCACACATTCATTTCTCTCATTTTTTCTTTCTGCTCTTGTCTGTGTTCCTGCCTACATGTTTGTGTTTGTCACTCCTTCGATTTTCCTGGAATTCTCTACTTGCTTTCTTTATTTCCTTCGGTTTAACGAACGGATAAGAAACGAACTGTGATTGATATCGATCCCTTAACACTCATTACATCCCATCCCATTTTCTTTTTTTCTTCGTGTCTCCGTCCTCCCACACCACACATACACGCGCAATTCATCCTTTCCTTTACTCTTCCCTGCATCCCATCCATCCACCGCATCCCTTGACCCCATCCACAATTCGACCCTCCATTCAATCTTGTTCCCGTATTCCTGTCTCTTCTTACCTCTATCCTCCATTTTTGTCGCTTTTATTGACACCGGAAATGTTCGCTTGGACGAGCGTGTACCACCACCGTTAACCATTCATCCATCACCCACACAGGACACTCCGCCACCCACTACCGCCAACTCTAGGCACAGAGCAGAGGACGAGGCCGCAGCACCCCCTTTGCTCGCTCGTCGCACCACATTCCTTCGAATACATTCATTTGCTTCTTCTTTCTCTCCTTTCTTCTTCTTTGCCTTGATTCCATTACAAGCATCTGCTTCATTGATTTTTGCGCATGTTCGATAGAAATCTCGACTGGTTCTGGTGAATCGCTTGTTTTTCATGCTCTTTCTCTTCCCTTCATGTTTGTTGTTCGTCATCCATGAAAGCTGTTTCGGATCCGATGTTCCCTTTGCATGCTTCATACATGTTTCTCCATTCATCTCCTCCTCACACTTTGCATACATGGTCCCATCCATTTCTCATTCATCATCGCTTGATCAATACTTCACATTCCATTCTCCTCTCTACCTTCATACTTTTCTTTTCATCCATTCGAAAACCGTTGGTGTTGATCGGTTAGCTTTGTCTGCCCTCGATCGAACTGTCTGTCTCCATCATCTCCATCTCTCTCTCACTACCTGTCACATATCATCAGATATCTCTCCTCTCTGCCTAGTAGTATCTACAGTGTCCTACGTACTTAACTAAATTCATCTATTGAATCCCTTCAATCTCCTGGATAATTCGATGGTGGTTATAAGCGGTTGAAGAAATTGTTCTTTGACTCTTTGACTGGGATTTAGAAGCGCTCGCCGTGGCCCGTCAGTGCCCACACCACCTTGAAGGGGCTAGAAGGTGTGCAGTTCACGGAAGAACTGCCAGATGTCGTTATTCCTATTTTTGTATGTTGCTTCAGCATCCCGGGCCTCCGCCGATCGAGAAGGGATGCTTTGAGCTTGAGCTGCGGGCGCTGAGCGCTGAGAAAGATAGGCCAGTATAAGAAAACAGGACATCCAGCGCTCGTCCGATACGGCTGAATACCTCCACAATGTATTTCTGTCTCTCTTGCATTTCCAGACACCAACGTAGCACATGGGTCTACGCTTTATTCACCGCACACAGGGGAGCATACGCATACATGACGTTGTCGGTGGCACAACGTTGACCAATCTTGAGCCAGGTTGAGTTCTTCTGAGTGATGTACGGCAGCAGGACGCTCAAATGCATTGCACATACGGCATCAGGACCTGGACGTCATAAATACTTAGCCTCAATCTTCAGGGCGCCGAAACTCCTCGCAGCGTCCTCGAAATAGACTGTGGACGTCCAGGGCACTTGCAGGGATCGAAACCGGAGACGGTTGGTTGGGGTAGCGGCCAAAAATACGCTGTCGTTATCAAACCCCCGTAGCAGAATGTTTATGAATAGCTGATAGCACATCCCGGCGCCGCTCTGGACGTGGCGCTCTTCAGATAAACCTTCTGTGTGTATTGGCGGCAAGATCCTGAACCATGAGGCTGTAGACGGTCGATAATGATCACGGAAGTGAGATCGAGCGAACTTACGATCTTGCCGCCTGAGGACAGCTGTCTCCTTCAGGGTATAATAAACGCCCGCGTTCAAGTCTTCGAGGGTTCTTACGTGAATAAACACACGGAACGAGTAAGGAAAACCTGGCGCCTAGAGTAGAACAACAGGATAACCGCAATTTACTAGAAGATTTTCTAGCACCGATGAGTAATTGCAGCTTTTACTGCGGTAGCTAGGTCCTGATCCACTTGGACAATGGACCAGTCGTTGGATGTGGCTTGATCGCTGTAGCGCCTAACATGGCCCACCGACTGATAGAATATGTCAGACATAGTGCGTCCACTTCAAATGAGAGGAATTGACGCACCCCTTGAAAAGCCAGCGCTCCGGGGGAATTTCGAGTTAAGATATCAACGTCATTAAAGCAGCGCGCGTAGAGCGTCGGATGGAGGCTTTCACGCGACATGGAGACCCGGCCCAAGCTCAGCGTCAAGACCTGATCTACCGGCGAGTGATCCATCGCGATTAACAAGTTTGGCAATCGCCCCTCGACTACTCCAGAAGTCCGCAGTTCTCTGCTCGAACGCTGAGTGAAATGGCTCTAGTGGTCAATCCCAAATGACTGTAGACGCACGTCATTTGTGCCGTGGCAGCCAATGAACTCGGGGGTATTGCGACGGAAAACATGGATTAGGAGGATCGTTTCGGGCGTTTCGGGACTGAGCGACATGACGTTAGAAACTTCGGATACTTTTGTGTCCAGGCATATATCGGCAAAGATCGACACAGACATACAGTGTTGGTTGGGGCTTTCTTGCTATTGGCCACAGATTTTCGTACGTTCTTAGTTGATTTACGAGGTACCCGAGGGTAGCTTTTCTACCAGCCGTAAGTCGTTGAACTTCAATTTCACCGCTCTTGGAAACAGGGGCAGATAGAACCATGACCGAGATGCAGAAAAAGATGCAGATGAAGGATTGGAGGTTATTTCAAGTAAATAGACGCGTGAGGTCCTGGTCCTGTAAAAAAAGAGCTTCAGTTATTTTGACAGCCATCAATCGTAGCAAGGTTATCAGGAGGAGAATGTGCTCGTTAATTGGCTGAAGCCACAGACGATTCAGGCGAGCAATGTTATTCTTCTAGTGCTGCGACAAGTTACACCGGCCAACACTGGGGAGGAGGGGATATTTAAAAGCAAACGAAAGGTAGAACTCACGAGACTTGATGAACGAAGTAGAAAGAAGACTTGAAAGAAAAAGAGAAAGATGGATAAGTCTTTATACTGTTCTGGTAACATTGTGTGGGTCCAAGGGTGGCATCATCATCAGTTTCCGCAGTTATCTTAGTCCCGAAGTCGCTTATAGTCTAAGTCAGTACGAGAGATGTCTGGCCCACATGCCCATGCCTTGTCGCACTTCGTCTTTGCAGGAATTTGCAGTGATTGTTATTTCCGCGAGGCAACTGCGGTGCAATACTGTCGCGAGTGGCAAATTCGCTGCGGAGTTGTGCATTGCCAATTCACGGAAGGTGAACTTGCAGCGCTCGGGGTCGGCGTCGAGTCTGACAGCGTCTTGCGTGTCGAATCTAGAAAAGAACTAGATATTTCTTGACGGGTAATATTATTGTTTGTGGTTGATTCGAGATTACTGCAGCCCAACAAATTCTTGGAACTGTGCTCAGTTCATGTCATTTACATAAAGCAGATCGACAAGACTTACCATCTTCTCTAATCATGTTCGTTTTCACCCACCAAAATCTCATGAACGGCATCTTCGACCACGCCATTGCCAGAAGAAACGGCAACCAATACTTTCTCGTCCTCTCCAGAGTATACGGCCTTGCTCCTTATCGCGAGATCAGCCACCTAAATGTCTCAACCCCACAATCTTCGACACCACTGCCCCTTTCCAATGAGGGCCGTCCGTGTATCTGGTTGGACTGCAGCACGGATCGCTCTGACTTCATTCCTCTTCAGAATCCCAGTATCGTCACTGCATTACTCAATGCTCAGCCAAAGCCCATTATCAAGTTGTGTGGTCTTACCAGACGTATCTCCCCTCCAACCGGAACAGACCGTTACTCGAAGAGTGAGGAGATAGAGGTTGAAAAGGTTGAGTTGCTCCTCTCCGAAGACGAGCTGGTGCACTCGTGCTATTACTGCGGCGAGTTGGAGATGGACGGAAGTGAGCACTTTGAGCGCATCGGCGGAAAAGGATACAATTCGACGTATGGATGCGCGGAAGTAAGTCGTTGCTTTCAAATTACTAGTTGAGGCGCTCAAGTGTTCCCATAGTGCATGTCTACGCCTTGGATTAGCAGAGCGGTTTTCGAGGTTGCAAAGTGCTGGGATAACAAACAATGACCGTCGGACGAGGATCAATACTCTTACGTAATTCAACTGAACATGAGGTTGGCTCAGGGGCTGTCGAAGGTGGGATCGAGCGAGTTTGGCCAAAGTTTGGCAGCAGACGCGTTGAAGAAGGGAATCTCCTTCAGGCCGTAAACGCCCGCCTTCAAGTACACGAGAAGTACGCGAATAAACACAAAACCCGGGGCCTGGAGCGACTCGATACTTGTGGTTCGGGTTGAATTACAGATATTCGATTTGTTCTATTTGTGCCATGGTGAGGTAGAATTCAGGAATGACAAAACCAGTGTCATTTCCTTGGCCTTTCTCTTTGAGTTTTTCCAGATTAGAAGAGCATCGGACTTCCCCGTGTTGGACATGGGGCAGAGGTTGTGCATTGGGCAACGGTCGTAGGCGCACATATGCTTGCATTGCAGCATTGTATGCAGTTTGGGCTGCTCGGAAGTTGCGTTGCTGGAGATACAGGTAGCCAAAGCCCTCAAGTACCTGGGCGACCCCGAGAGGAATGTTCTGACGTTCGTAAATGAGGAGGGATCGTTCGAAGTATTTCAATGCATCCTCAATTTGATTCAGTAATTGGGCGGGGCGAGCAGCATATTGCAGAAGGTTTGCCAGTAGATACCCATCTCCAACAAGCTCTGCCATCTTAAGGGCCTCTTCAGCGTTCTCCAGAGCTTCTTCGTTATGTCCCCAAGAAAAATGAACTCGTGATAACCAGCCGAGGGTCTGACACATCCCGGCCGGATGATTCAAGTGCTCGAATGCCTCCTTCGCATCTTCAAGGGAGTTTAGAGCCTCTTCGAGGTTGCCAACAGCCCAGTACGCAGCTCCCTTCTCCACCAAAGCTCAGGCACATCCATGATTGTTTCCACTGGATTCAAATTCCCGGTACGCGCTCAAGATTAATGACATGATGTCCCGGTGTCCTTCATCCAGGAAATTCATGGTCTTCGCAAGGGCCAAACCGCACTCGCCAGCCTTCGACAGAGCATCGGGGTCCGAAGGCAATTGGAGGAAGGAAGCTCGTGCTGCTTGGAGGTGCTTCTTTACAAGTTCGAAGGGATTCAATCGGTGGCAAGTGGATCCTAAACAAAACGTAGCCTCCGCTACATCTTTTGAGGTTGCAGACTGACAGATCTCGAGGGTGTGGGCCGCAATTTCTATGCTCGGTATAGTATCGTTTCGATACCAACCGAAGGCAATGAGTGCTCTGAGTGCCTCCTCCCCAGTCAACGATATCCAAGATCGATTAACAGGAGAACTGTTGGAGTCGTGGGAGGGGAATAAAAGGGATTGGATGTTCCCTTCTTCTGCTGCTAGGACTGCCGATTTCTCCTGGAATTCTGGCCGACCGGTGCGAGTGGCGTGTTCGAGGATTAACTCGCAACACGCATGTCGCACCTGCTGTCGCGAATGTCGTCGGAAACTCGATTGGTTCTATGCATGTACGATTGCACGACCGGAAGCATGAAGAGCCTCGCAGATGTTCCTTCTTTCTGACTGCTCATCAGGAGCGCGGCTTTCGACAATGTTGATATCGCACCTAACTTCGACTTGAGTGTAGGTGCCCACCACTTTAGATTATCCTTCGGTGTTCCCGCAGGTAGCATTGAGAGAATTGCCAACAATGTATGGGCATCGGGGTCCTGCTTGACGAAGTTACTGTCCACAGAGAGGCTGATACTTGTGTTCACACTACTTTCGGGGGTGTTGGAGGTAGAAAGCATATTTGTGCTGGTACTAATCCATTCCGCCAATAACTCCTGTGGTGATTCTCCTGTCTCTGCTGCAAGGTTCGCCATTAAAACCACGCCAAAGGGAATACATCCTGCTCTGAGAAGGGTGCTGAGACTGGCTTCATCCGTCGTGTGGATGTTGATGTCCTTGTAGATGCGACGACAGGCTTCTTCGTCCGGAGGGGGGAATGTTCCTCTGTTGCCATTTGATCCCAGCCGCCGGTGGATGAGTCCCTCGCATAGTAACCAGAATTGCGATATGCTCTAGTGTGCAACTCGTGCAAGAATATCGCCGATTTCTTTTTGCGTGCCGTCCATTAGGTTCCAAGGCGTTTCAAAATTATCGAATAGAATAAGACGAGGTTGCTTCGAGGAGCCGAGCTCGTTCATGATGTCTTCAAGAGGAGATTTCGTATCTTGCATGGTTCTGAGACTCGAGTGTATGATCTGCACAAGGAGGCTCGACGATATTGCTTCAATACAAGGGATCCAAAAACAATTTTGAGGTGGGAATTTTTCTTGCACACAAGCCGCCTCCATGAGCGCCAACGCAAGCAATGTTTTCCCCATTCCGCCAGGCCCGAGAAGACATACTCGCGACGTCGCATCGTCAACCAGTAGTGAAGGTATTTCGTCGATAAACTCGTCGCATGGAAGATCCGTGGTTTCGAGGGCATAGACTTGCGGATAAGAGCAGCAGAAGCGTTCTGCGATTGAGCATGCTTCAGAGTGGCCATAATTTCGTCAAATCTATCATCGACCTTGGCATTTAGGTCCTGCACTCGATGGGCGACATTTTCAGTTAGGCTCTGGATTCTTTCGAGGCGGGCTTGAATTCTGTGAAGCATATCGATGACTCTCAAGTCTTGAGCAACCTAGATGACACGAATTTCAGTGAAATTGCGATTACAGAGAAGGGTCGGGAACTACATACACTAAACCTTTCCAGTGCTGCGGATAGTCGATCCATGCATTCGTCTATCTTTGACTTGTTCGCGTCTTTGAAGACGAGCAACATCCGTTTGTTTTGAATCTTTATCTCTTCCAGATCGTTCACGATTTCGACTAGGTTCTTGATAAGAGAATTAGTGCAGCCGCAAATCAAAGCGTAGCTGAACGTTTTTCTTGGAGACGTACTTGCTCAAAGCCTTTACATCAACCTCAATGTCTCCGGCCGCTGCTTGCACGACGCCCGTCGTGCTATCATCCTGGACAATTACAGAGTCGACTATGACAACCATAAGCTGGCTGACACGGTCTTGCAACTCTTGCACACGCTGTTCAATGACTATCACCTCCTGATTCAACGAGAAAATAATAATCAACGAGAGGATCTATGGAGGCAGCCTGCTACATACTTCACACGCTTCAATAACCCTGAGAGCTATGCGGATAGCCTCTTGAAGAAAAGGGACTGGGATTAAACCAGCCGCCGTTTCAAGAACTTGAACGATCTGTTTTCCGCCATGCGACATATAGTCCGCGGTCGTCGGGGTAGTATTCCTCTGAATGTCGCTGCGATCCTGGAAATCGAGGTCGCGTTTGAGTAAAGGATTGTATGGTGTCTCATAGGAAAGCGACGACTCGCATAAGACTTCGGGCGATCTGCGCTTGTCCTAGTTCTCCTCGCTCTCATCTTGTAGGCCCAGGAGAAGCATCCAGCCTCCATGTCTCCTGACGTGAGAAGACAGGCTGCGAAGTGGTGTAAAAGAGAAAGCCGGGTACACAGTTGCGAAAGTCGAATGCAAATGGTAGTCAGCGGGGAGGAGACGAACAGACAACCCTGGGAACCTGGAAGGTGAGGTAATTCTCCAAATGGCAGAACGGAGGATTGATTCAAAAGAAAACAGAGTCGGAGAACCAGATAAGAGGTCGTCGCAACTAAGGAAGAAGCATATCCTTTAGTCGACAGAGAGTACCTCGAACGTCCACGTCTAGCGTTGTTTGCATCATGTATGTGGAAAGATACATTCCTTCTCTAGCGTCTAAACTCAGTTAATGTAGAACCAGCGCACGCAAAAAATCAACGTACAGTACGCCCGAAGCAGCTGGTGCGACCCTGGCATGTTCTCGCTCACCGGTCTCCCAGAATGGCACCACCTGCAGCCTCGTCCGTTTCCCTCAACGCCTTTAATCGTCCCTCTGCAATTGCTTGTCGCTTCTCCACAAGCAGAGCGGTAGAGTAGACCTCCCATTTATAAGCCCAATAGCCGACAAATCCGAATGCACCCATGGATAGCAGGTGGCCTCCTGGGTCTGCAACGCGATATTAGCCAGTGCTCCATGACGAAACGGGACCAGCTGAAGGGGACGCACTGGAGAATAGGTTTCTTCTTTGTATGCTCAGTTGACCTATTCTAGCAGCGAGGCCAAAGAATGAGAAGCCAATAATGTTGGCGAGTAAGGGCATTTTGGGATGTGGAAGATGAGCGGAAAGACGAACTGAATGAGGAACGGGTTTCCTGGAGGCCTTTGCCAAGCAGCCGCCTACAAAGTGCACAGCCACTGACGCGACCATTTAACCCTGCCGTCAGGAGCTCTTTCGATCTTTTGCTTTTTGTATTCCGCAACCTCTTGCCCACCATCTCTTGTCACATACCATACAACACGAGGCGCTCGTGAAACAGACGTGAACATGGAAGACCTCTCTGATACACCGTCTGTGACTGCGCAAAAAGTCTCCACGGCCAAGCAGAAGAAGGATACAGCAGATCAGGCATTCAAGTTAGGAAACACGAAGGACGGTAAGGATGTTCACGCGTAGAGAAGGCAAGCTTTAACGTCTACCACAGCTCTGAAAGCCTATCATGAGGTGATCGGCTGCGATCTTGCCACACGCCGTTTTCGCTGAACGTCTTCATCTCCGTAGGCGCTCATGTATCTTCTAGGACTCGACAAGTCAGTACTTGTCCTGCATATTCTTATATCCTTGCTGATTTTATTTCTTGTTGTAGGAACGCGCTTCAAAGCATAGGCATGGCCGCAAAGCCTGCTGAGGGTTCGTCTGGTGAGGGCAAAGACAAGGAGAGGACAGAGGTGAGCTAATCAAGTAAAACTTTCGCGACCAACTGACACGAAATGTAAGGTCGACGAAATTGTGGAGAAAATCTACGCAAACATGTCTGCATGCCATCTGAAGAATCAAAACTGGAAGCGAGCAGAAGAGACGGCAAATAAGGCAAGGAAGTCCTTTACCCTTCGTCCTTGTCTTTCATTTCTGAGGCGTTTTCTACAGGCCCTTGCCAAGAACGAGAGTAATTACAAGGCAATGTTCCGAAAGGGTAAAGCATTGGGAGAACAAGGATTCTTCGAGAAGGCCCTCAAGGTTCTGGAGGATCTCAAGACCAAGAACCCCTCCGGTGACTTTCGCTGACATGGACCTCCGAGTAATACTAATTAATCGGTAGATACTGCACTCGTGGACACAGAAATCGCGAGGCTGCGAACAATTGACAACGAAAGAGAGCGCGTCCATAAGCAGAAGATGAAAGGTGCGCCCACTTTGCACAGCATCGAGGATATTCTTCGGGTTGTTGAGAAGTTCTATCAATTTTCTAGGTTTCTTGAACAAGGCCGAGAAGAAGGGCGCGTCAATCTCAGACGATGTCGAACCAGTGGCGATCGAGTCAGGCTTTATCGAAGAAGTGAAGGAATAGATGTATTTAGTCACCTCGTTCGTCCAACATGTTTTCTGTCGCTGTGCATCTAGTATTCCTTGAGCTCATTTTCCTCTGTGGGGCAGAATATAACCATTGTTCCGGGAGTCGTCATTTGTACACTATTGTCCTCATATACAGCTAGTTCTTTTCATTGCTCTAGGTCAGGTTGACGATGTCATTGTTGACGAAGATATCAACGCTAAAACCTCCTTCCGGCTTTTTTACGACCCCTGCCTTCTCGAGGACGCTAAATTGGATAATTAGACCATGGGACATATATTCGAGCTTCTGATCCTCACCTCAACGTGTTGGTTATCACCTCCGTTGGGATCTCGGAGCAGCTGGGTGGGTACCTGACTGTCTTCAGCCAGGCCTGCGAAATGGATAAATTCCAGCCCATTTTCTGCTTCGGTGAGCGTGTTTACCTGGATGTCTTCCTCTGGATATCCAAACTTGTCCTCGATGAAAGCAACGTTCTTTGCAACGCGGCTCTCCTCCAAATCGAAGTTGTTCACATAACTGGTCAATCCATCCAAGAACGCACGAACGGCTTCAGGTCGTGCCCGTTCCGGATGGGCTGCGATCAACCACGAAGGCCAGGGAGTCGGAACAGAGCCAATCTATGGGGACGCCTAAGTCTTACGACAGGTCGACATTGTGTGTATGAACTGACGAAGCGGGCCTCCCCTGCATCGACGAATGGTTTGGTCGTGAACCATTCCCACATGAATGCGCTGGTCGAACCATCATTCACTGAATCGAGAAGGCCGCGAATGTCGTTGTTCACTAGAACGGGGTGTCTCGCAATATTAAAGGCAACTACATGGTAACAGTACATTGTTTTCTCGCCTTGAAATTGTAGGTTATCCAACGGCCACCCTTGCTGCAGTGCCATAACGTAAGCCATCGTGAAGCTTCCGCTAGAAAGTCTCCGCTGAAGCGTTGCTACCGGAAGTTAGAAGAGTTTAAGTACCTTCCGTATCTTGATATACCCAAGGTGCTGTCTTGAAGGTCAGATATCGAGTTATATTTCGATTCCTTCCCAGTGATGACTGCCCTGAACCCCGAAAGCCGTTAGATTCGACCTGTGTCAACATCTTGCCTTGAAGTTACCAATTTAAAGGGGTGGAGACAAAGCTGCCCACGAGTTTATAGGCTTTCGATCCATTCGCAATACCCGAAATGAGCGGGTCCGTGAGGGCTCTGGTGTGAATCAGGCGCACGTACAATCCACCTTGGTGGGGAATTGGACGTACATGGCGACGTCAATTTCATTGTTGGTCAGCCGGGAGATCAGTTGGCCCGTTCCACCTTCATCATGGCCGTGTCAGCGGTTGTGCAACCTCTGTGAAGCCTGCAGAAACAGACGGACTGGGACACTCGACTAGGGTAAATGTCTTCTCGCCGTCCGCTTCCGCGAATTGGAGCAGCGGGCTGGCGAAGTGTTCACGCACTGTGGAAAAGAGTTCGGTCAATATTCAGAGATAAGGAAACGAAGGGACATGCCGTAGCCAATACGAAGGGTCATGGTGCAACGGTGCAATGCAGTGTCGGAAGTGCGTTATCTGAGAGAAGGAAAGCTAATCTAATCCGGCGTGATGAATGATACGAGACATAACGACACGTGATAATGACGACACGGGCGTCACAAACCAGTTCGCTGTCACGATCAAGTTCAAATTCAGCTCTGTTCAGCTAACTATCCAAACAGGTGCTCTTGTTTGAAAGAGCAATTATCTCTCTTTAAATTCCATCTACGAACATACTTGAAAGACCTGGATGACAGTCCCGAAGCCAACCCCTCAAGATGCTCTCTCAATTCTTCGGCAATACTATTCCACTGTGATCAGTCTTCGAGGGTATCTGGACGAACTCTTCCGTGGATCAACAGGCGGCTCCATGGGAATCTCAGGCGTTCTCGTTCATGAAGGGGACTCAAAAGCTTATGTTGAGCTCCTTGAGACATCCCTCGTTGGACTGAAGGATCGCAAACCTGTGACCTGCCGGGTTCACCCTCCTATGCTCGATATGCGAGAAGTATGAATTTGCTTCACTCAGGAGTGTGGTCTGCTCATTTGAATTAGATTTTGGACAAGGCTCAGTCGAGAATATTCAAATCCAAGCGACCTCAGAACATCATAACATCTGGATACCGACTTGTGAGTCTCCTATATTTTTCAGCTCGTCTCTGAGCTCTCTTGTAGGCGTCCCACGATGGGGATCGTGCAAGGAATGGATTGGCACGCATAGGAATTACCAATTATTTTTTGAACACCATCGTCACTGTGTTTCAATCCCCGGAGTGGGAGATGCTCCTTCAACGGTACGATTCCCCTCCCAATCGCCGCTAACGATAGTTGAAAATTCTGCTTTCAGCATCGGAGAAGATGCTATGCTGCATCTGCTCGCGGAGATTCCCATCTTCCTCGCACTGCCGAATGGTTGCTTGTGTCAGATTACGGGCGAGCCTCTCATACACATGGTTCCCAGCAGACACAATGTCGGATTTGTGCCAAATGGCCCAGTGCAAGCTGATGGTAAAAGCATAAATGCCCCGAACAGAAAGCGGCCTTGGCCAGGTGGCGATGATGGTCATGAACAAGGCCGCGAGAAACGACGCAAACTCAATGTAGATTTTCGAAGCAATTCCAATGGTATTCCTCAGAATGCAATGCGCCCAAAAGCGTAAGCCTGCTGTGTGTATTAGCAAGACACCTAGGGCAAGGACTGATGAACGAGTATAGCACGTCCGCGGCCGACATCTCCTTTCAACGTGTACGGCTGTTCTACTCCCGGCCGAATTATGTCCCACACACGAATCGTATCCTCGTCGGACTATCCTTGAAACGTACGAGCTCCGCCCTTCATTAGCTTAGCATTTAAAGTTTACCCTGTCGCAGACATCCTCAACCGGCTTCAGCCCTCTTATGAACCACGTCCCAAGTCCAAAGATGCCATGGCTGTGGACGAATGTCCTCGTCAGCAAGCTGAAAATGCTCGACACCTTTCAAAATACCTGTTTGCACGTCAATATGGACTGTCCACTCCCTTTACTTCGGTACAGGTGAAGGGCTCACCTTTTCAATTTGGAGACTATCTTGACAGAGAGAAGGAAATCAAGGTCGGTTGCGCATCTAATAATCGTCCGGCTATCTCATTTTAGCTCCTCTAGGCTCTCGGACATTGCAAGACGCCAAAACGATTGAAGGACACACTTCCTCTGCTCGAGAAGCTGCTTCGACGCCATGGCAGATGCGGCTACGTACCCCTCAGAGACAGAGTGTGCCCTTCGAAGGTCTGGCTTGTTTCCTTTAGACGCGAACATAAGCCTGATGCTGTCACTTTCTCAGATCAAATCCACTGGAAGCAAGGACCTGGACAGCAGCATTCTTCTCGTAGGGCTTACCACATTTCTCTGTCGGTCGTTTCTTAATGAGTTTGATAGGAAATGATATCAGAGACGTCCGTGCAGTTGCGTTCGCAGGTGTCTCTAGGAGGACTAAACACATCCTTGGACTCAAATGGGAATCCAATCAAACCTCTGGGATTAACGCAAGCACAGAAGCATGCCAAACAAAAACCTCGATTTGTGGAATTCTCCTGCAGCCACGTCGAGGTACGTCATCCCATTTGCATAGTTTGATCATTTCTTAGCATTCTTCTCTAAGGTTTACCGATATGCTGTGCTCATCACGAATGCTGTTATCCCGAAGACTTTCTGGGGCTCGAAGCAGAATCTGAAACTTGTCTCGGTTGTATGTCTACCATTTCTTTGCACTTTTCTTTACACTTTTCATATGTTCATTCCCTGCAGATGTCAAGGACCTTATCCGATGCCGACGGTATGAGACCCTCAGCTTGCACTACGTTTTGCAAAACTTCAGCACATCGGCTTGTGACTGGCTCATCCCTCCAGGCCAAGGCATGCAACAACAGGGCAGAGTGTCAGTGTCTGATGCTCTCAAACGTAGAGAGCTGCTGGAAGATTTCCTGTTCTGGTACTTTGACTCTTTCGTGTTACCGCTCCTGAAGGTCACTCTAATCGCTGTTCTGTCGTTCATTACGTTGCTGATTCTTCTCCCCTCAAGACCACTTTCTATGTTACCGAGTCCTCGGCCTTGCGGAATCAGGTGCTTTACTTCCGACATGACGACTGGGACACCCTCTGCGCTCCACTCATTGAACGTCTCACTTCCGTGACGTTCGAGAAGTTGTCAGATGTCAGTCGCATCTCAGCATCCTCTTCTGTGACCTGACAAGAGAATTTTCTAGGCAGAAGCAGAAGAGATTCTTCGACAACGGCGACTGGGTTTCTCCTTCGTTCGATTGTTGCCGAAAGAAACTGGGGTTCGACCAATTGTCAACCTACGCAGGCGGAAGACGATTCAACATGTATGTTGATCCCCCTGGCTTTTGTTCCAGTAAACTGACGATCTATAGGGATCCTTTACTTCGGAGCAATCTATCAACCAGATTCTCCAAGCTGCATTCAACATTCTGACGTATGAAAAGGTAAGCGAATTCTCCTTCATTGAGCTTATCGGTACTAACTTATGACTAGACCAATCAGCCTGAGCGCCTCGGTGTCTCCATTTTCAGTCCGGATGACATATATCTCAAGCTGAAGAAGTTTAAAGCTTCGCTACCTCGAGACACCAATGGTGCATTGTGCGTCCCTTGACTTGCATTCTTCGACGCGTGCCAACTAGTGCATAGGCTCAAACTTTACTTCGTCAAAGTCGATGTTCAGACCTGCTTCGACACCATCGACCAGGGAAAGCTGCTTTCAATATTGCGCGAGATCGTCTCGGAGGTACGGAGTGCTCACAGTGTCTCAAAGCCCTCCCTGAAAACCATTGCAGGATGTCTACATGACGCAAAAGTTCGGGCAAGTCAGCGCGTCTCTCGGCCGCGTCAAGCGGACATACGTCAAGAAAGCTGTCCCTGAAGGTTTCTACAAATAATGCGCTCCGTCGACCTGCGATTTATCTTTGATTTAGATGATCATCCTCATTTCATTCGTTTTGCTACCGACCTCGCCAACGTCCTTCGGAACACCATTTTCGTTGACCAGGTCCGACTTTCGTTGCTCATCTAGCCATGTCTGATACCTCTTCGAAGGTTGTGTACCCACTATCGAAGAAGCAGGAGGTTCTGGACCTCCTAGAAGAACACATCACGGAAAACCTCGTCAAGGCATGGCGCATCCAGCTCTGACGTTTTCGATTGCTCATCCCATCTTCCATCTAGATTGGGCAGAGTTATTACCGTCAAAAGGTTGGAATTCCTCAAGGATCCGTTTTGTCCTCTATTCTTTGCTCCTTTTTCTACGGAAACCTTGAAAAGAAGTTCTCGAGGTTCATGGACCCCCATAGCGTGCGTTAGGTTCACCCCGCTGCGACGCATTTAACTGACAGACGCCGCAGATTTTGCTTCGCCTAATCGATGATTATCTATACGTCACGACCAGCCTTGAGAAGGCTAGAGGCTTCCTGGACGTGATGAATAAAGGGCATCCCGAATATGGATGCTTTATTTCACAAGACAAAACCTTGACCAATTTCCCGTATGGCGACCTTCTCAACGTCATTGACCCGAGCCAGCATGGTAGGTTTTCGTACATAATGTTCTGAGCCAGCTCGTCTAGAGCCTAACTCCTCGGCATATCAGCATTTCCTTGGTGTGGATATACGATTGACACGCGAAATCTATCCATCAGGGTGGACTATACGCGTTATCACGGAAGTGGTAAGGTGTCCTCGAGTGGTTGTCTGTCTACGCAATTCTTATTCGGCGATACTAGGCATCAGGAGCACACTAACCATTGACCGAGGTCGCAGACCTGGAATCGCCTTTAGTTACAAAATGCTGCAGTATGTCCCATCCACTCTCAATTTATTCCACGGTTGACGCTGTAGCTTCCTCAAGGTTGGCCAAAGCTAAAAGCCATGCAATCTTCTCCGACAGCGACCTGAACACAGAACATGTCGTCTATCTCAACCTATACCAGAACCTCTTGATGACGGCCGTCAAGATGCATGAGTACATCCGTGACTGGAGTGCCAATAGGAGACGGAACAACACCTTCCTGCAGAGTGAGTAACGCAACACATGGGCTCGCTTCAGGAGTCTGAGTTCATTTCCCACTAGATGTTATCCGAAAGACAATACTCTATAATTATACATCTCTCCGCACACAAGCGATGCGTCGTGGGGCACCGGCTAGTGAGAAAGGCCCAGAGATTCACAAGGAAGCGGCGACATGGTAGGTTTTTCCCGTCGTCTCCAACCTCGTGTCGCTGAAGAATGGCTGTGTGGAAGGCTCGGTATGCATGCCTTTCATCACGTCCTGAGCCGGAGGCCTTACAAGTACGGCTCATTACTGAAATGGTTAGAGTCAGAGCTTCGCCGCTCGAAATGTCGTCGGTTCTCTCGTCGATTCAGTAAATTGGTGAAAGAGGGGCAAGCTGGGCTTGCGCAGATTCCCAGTTGAGTTAGATGGTGTTGCAATATGGAACATTTAACAAGGAGAGTTTCGAGAGACTTGGTGAAGCTACTTAGTCAGAGATTGTTAGTCTTTTTGCCTTTTTCGGGATGGTGCCATGTGTGGTGTCGGCTACGGGAATTATGACTTCCGACTGACGTTGCTGGCTTCATCTTCAGCTCCTTTAACTCCCACCAACTCGAACCGTTGGGAGGTGCAGTTCTGATGAATAGACTTTTTCACCTCCGAACTCCTTTTCGCACACCTTTTCTGTCAGAAGAAAGATTCAATCCACTCCGAGTCCCCCGAATGCTATCCACGATCACACCCCGGTCAACAAGATTTATCAGCAGCGTCACCTTGTGGTCTGAGTCCATAAATATCAGGAGCCTCCGGAGGCCGCCAGACTTGAAAAGCCCTCCTCTACTCACAACTGCCTCTCTCGGTCTACGCTACACCTCCACTGACACACCAAACATGTCCGAGTCCGGATTCTACTCTCTCAAGGCCGAGCTGCCCGGTGGCAAGACCTACGACTTTGCGACTCTCAAGGGAAAGACTGTCTTGATTGTGAACACGGCGTCGAAGTGGTGCATGCTCTTCTACTTAGAAGCTTTGACGAAAATCCTGAAACTTCTTCGCTTTTTCCAGTGGCTTCACTCCTCAGTACAAGGGTCTCCAAGCTCTGTACGACAAGTACAAGGATCAAGGGCTCGAGATCCTCGGCTTCCCATGCAACCAAGTAAGTGACCTCTGTCTGCCCTCATCACCCGGGCACTCCGGTCATCCATATCTATTTCAGCCCGTGCCTTGGCATGACGATTGACTGTTCCTTCGTTTCCAGTTCGGTGGCCAGGAACCCGCAGATGACAAGGGCATCGAGGAGTTCTGCACGATCAATCACGGTGTGACCTTCCCCCTCATGAAGAAGTCAGAGGTCAACGGTGACAGCACCAACGAGGTGTACCAATGGCTGAAGAGCCAGAAGGCGGGCTTGCTCGGGCTTACACGCATCAAGGCATGTATGCTCATTGGCATCTTGCCTAACTGAATGCTTATGACGTTATACCTGTGCAGTGGAATTTCGAAAAGTTCCTCGTCGACAAGAACGGCAACGTTGTCCACCGCTGGGCGTCCACCACAACGCCTCAGGCCATTGACGCTGAAATTGCGAAGATAATCTAAGGAGATACTCTGAAAAGACGGGCGAATCTCAGACGAAGTTGTGAATCTGTATATAATAAATCTGTAGGCTATTTGCAGGTCTTCTTGCTGTTGACCATGAATGAATCGATGTTATTGATGTATGAACACTCTCTGCAGGAAGAACGACAGATAGCAAGATGATAATTCTTGCACTATCTAGCGCAGGATGGGTATTAGTACTCCAAACAAACTCAGCCGCTAGCCACAAACAAGAATGATCAGCTCCCAAACTTTGATTGTCTTGTGCAAATAACGTACTGGACCGAAGACGGAGGAGCAAGACCGCCATCTAACATCTTATCCAAGGCTCTCATTACTATAAGAGCCTTCCCATGCTCTACTCCCTTCCAGTGGACCGGCTGGACAGCCAAATGCGTCACAACGGCGTCCAAGCAGATCATGCGTGTCATTGCGAACATCAAGTAGGCGCCGGTCTTCGTCCCCTCCTCTCCGTAAAAGTCGCTGAACAAGGGTCCGATGCTGTCTATCCACAGATGCAGATCAACTGCATACCACGAAAATCGAGGGAGGGAATGACTGTCAAATATTTAATGTTCAACAAGTTCGAAATGGTGGTAAAATCGCGACACTGGGACATGGATCCCCGAAAGCATGGGAGGTGTGCCCGGCGGTCCCCTTTTCCATCGACTATACGGCATCTTCCCTTCATTGATCTGGCAAACTCGCTCCTTCATGTCGACAACAACGAGTTTGGGGCAGGCCTCGAATAATCTATACACCTCCGCTGCGTGGGTTGTGGGGCGTGAAACAGGTCTCGATATGACCAGCCCACTCAGCGAGGAAAGTTTATTGAGACTTGATCGGCTGATATCCTGCAACTCCTTAGAACGTAGTATCGTCATGTTCGTGCCGAGTACTCACGGGTACCCTGGTAACTTCCAGATACTGTAGGTTTTGTAAAAAAAATCTGCTATAGCTCCCAGGGTTAAGAAATGGGACGGGGAGTTCTGATTCACAAGGCGCAAATACCTAAGGTTTCGGAGTTCTGATACAACCTTGGGAGCGTTTGCGAAGTCCATTCCGCGTCGAAAACGTAATACAACAGCTGAAGCGTCCGGAATCAAGGTGGTCAAGGGCGCTAAAAGTCGGCTACTTGCTTCCATGAAGTGGAGGTGACGGAGGTGGAAATGTTGATTGGGGTATAGAGGGTTCGACGAATGTGACTTGGAGCTTGCAGTCGGCCTAGAAACCGCTGGGTCTCTAAAAATTGCAGAAGGCGGTCGAACCATATTTGATCAACGTTCCAGGAGGCCAGAGAGAGTCTCCGAAGCTGGAAAGTAGTGCCCCAAAGAATGTCGAAGGGAAGAATCGTGTTCATGTCACCAATGACAAGCTCTTCGAGGTTGACCATGCACCTCAGTGCTCGAGCGAGTTGAGTCAGGGTCCATTTATCGAGCATGGGCTTTCCGTTGCAGTGAAAAGTGTGAACGTGGTGACAGCGCTGAGGATATCGTGTCATTGCCTGCAAAAAGGTTACTTGGTCTCTTGGATTCCCGTCGCGGTCATGGTCTTCCATAGACTTGTACAAGACTTTCTCCGCAGTGGCCTTGCATACTCTGCAGGTTTGGATGCAGGAGACCAGAGTTGGGCGGTCATCCACGAGTTCGATGATCAGTTGAAGGAGTTCAACCGGGAGTCTCGTGGAGTTCCATCTGTTTCCTCTAGTCATACGACTGAGTGAGGGAGATAATAGAGTTGCAAATACCGGGTTACCTTTCCTCGCAAGCCTGCGGGAATGTCCATATCCTAGGATCGTCATAAGGGTACCTTGAGTGGCTGAAGCTACATTTCAAACGTTCAAGTTTAATCGACGCTGACTCTAGCACTGAGTGAAGGTTCTGTCCGAATCTTTGGATGCTGAACGTTGAAGCTTGAAGTTCAAAGATCGGCCTAAGCGCCCAGAGAGTTGTCGGCCGAGAGAAACTCCGATCGGCCAAGTTCAAACTCCTCAGGCCTCACTCAGTGAAGGATCGTGATTGATTGTTCGAAGCCGACACAGTTGTGACTTATCGATCAGCCTCACCATAGACTCTAAGGTCCTTCCGCCTACTGCTACAACTCCTGGGAGGTTAAGCACAAGTCACCGCTTCTCCAAGTTGGACCCTGTTCCAGGCTGGGGAGCCCTAGGTGTCACCCAACCTCCTCACTCTGACGGCGAAGCAGGATCATTGGGTAGCACGCAGCTTTCTGATACCACTCAAGACCCTGCCCAAAGGGAATCGCACGACATTGGCAGAGATAAACGCTGTTTTGTTACCAAGAGTTCGTCTTATGTGCACAAACGAACGCGCTGGGTGAATGCTGTCAGGACCGACAAGGCCACCGTCGTATGCCTTCCATGCTCCTTTGCCCATACCTTCTCTCGTCGGAGCGGCACAGGAACAATTCCTTATCGACCGACACGTTATTCCGAGTTCCTTCAGTTTGAACCATCCGAGCAACCTCACCAATCGTAAGCCCATCTTGATCTACTTAAAATACAGCCTGTTGCGCTCACCCTCTTTCCAGTTGACGTCTCGTCAGGCAGGGCGATGGATATGTTGGCCTTATTTACGGTTACATCCTCGCTAGACAGTCTAGATGCTCTTATTTCCCTCGTGCAAGAGGAAAACAAGAAATGGTAGAAAGGCCTAGTGAAGAGACCTTTCGGAGACTCCATGCACAGACCAGGGCAGGATCTAGTAGGGTTATACGGAAGGGTGGATTATTTCGACATTTGATTTCGGGTCGTAGTAAGCACTCTTCTACACTGCTCTACTTATTCCCGCTTATGCTATTTAACATGGCTTTTATAGACCATAAACTCGACAACGATGACACAGAATTCCTTGAGGAGATCTGGGCCTCCTATTGCGGTTGGTTCTACCTTACTCTGTTCAATATTCTGAAAAGTTGTCTTGCAGGTATCTACATACTAAAACCAAGGTTTTTGTCCAGAGGTCAACTTTGAAAGTTGACGGAGTCAACTCTCTGCTGTCGCAGTTGAGCCTGACCAGGGATTAAATAAGGCTCAAGCAAGTATCAAGCCCTTACATTCTGCGGAGCTCTCCCATCCTTTAGCCATTCCCTATCCAACCACTGTGCCGAAAATTGTTGGCTCAGCGTCAGCAGGGGGCCTCAATATTTCAACCCCCTCTACGGGCACTTGGGTAAGCAATAAGCGTCCCTTGAGTTTTCCAAAATTGATTCAATCAACTTTTGAGAAATTGCTTGAGTGGAAGGGGAGGGAGCGCTGCCTTGGGTAGCATTCAAGCAAGTAAATTTCAACAAAGTAAAATAAAATATGCAGCACATTCACATTGCCTCTAAATTCATGACCTTTAAGCCCGCCGGAAGTCGCTCGGCATGACGGAGCGCCCCGCGCGACGGAGGGGCGAAGGCGAGCGGCACAAGAAACAAATAAACTACAAGTAAGTCAGGAGGGGCTTTAGCTTCAGTCAGTGTTGGTACCTATTGGTTCTATGCTTCAGTCCCCCAGCCCCGTGCGAAGCACGGGCAAAACTCTAGTTCCGGGTAATTCCAGCCCAGGAGATACGATCGAGGGCATTGATCATGATCTTTAATAGCAAGTGACAGTATCGCCGCGACACGTTTCGATTTGATTTGATCTTTCATGCTAGTTTCTTTGTCTTTCATTGACTCTGTATTCACATCCCGTTTGCGTTCTTGTCGGGCTCCTTTTTTTTCCAACTCATTCTTTCCACTTTGCCATTTTCCATTCCGGCTGGGCTCGAGCTCCTTATTGTTTTTCCCGGATTTCGGCAGGCACCTTGCGAGAAAGATTTAGCGACCAAAAAGTGTGATTTCAGTTTTTTGCCCTCAGCCCTACACTTAGTATGATGTCTAAATGCGCCACACTTCCTTCAATTGACTGGATTTGAAAACATAAAAATTATTTAGATGGTACTTTCAAGTTTTGAAATTATGTTGCTGCCACTATTCCATCTTCCCAAAGACGCCTTGGAAGTAAGATTCCAGAGCCTCTGGAGTTTGCACTCTGGCGCCCAGAACCCTATCAGGACGGATGATAAACACCCCGAATTTGCCGTCGTTCTTGCCTCCAAGGAATGCATCACTTCCGTAGTTATCCCTGTCCTTGAAAGCACGGACTGGGTGTGGGTTGGCTACGTCGATCTTCTGCTCCTGCTCCTTTCCGACAACGAGAATCATCTGAATCAAACCTTGTGGGTATTGCGTCACTTTCTGAAGAAATGCTTCGTAACCTTCGGTCTGTGTGTCAAAGATAAGGACGGTATGCATGGAGGTGCTGAGGCTGTCAAACAATCTCATAGCGATTCCTGTCGAGCTGGCTCCGAGTGGGACAAGTCCCGGGACATCTGGGACCCTGTCGCCTGCCCGAAGGTCCTCCGCCTTCCCGTCATAAGTGGAACCGGCTTCGCTTGGCTTACTCTCGTCGACGACGATGGAACTCCACCGATAATTTACCCCGAGCTGGTATATATTCCCAGATCTATTCCATCCCACTTCATCGTTGAAGTTTTTGATTGTCTTCTTCAGGATCGAGGTGGTGATGTTGAGCATTTCTGCGACGACAGGGAGACGCTCCTCAGAGTATGTGTTAAGGAGAGACGGAGGAGCAAGCTGCTTTGCCACTAGAGCGAGCTTCCAACCAAGGTTGAATGAGTCTTGGATGCCTGTGTTCATACCCTACCGTCCGGGTTTGTAAACACCGATATTTTCATTCCAATTCGAGACTTACCTGTCCGCCCGCGGGACTATGTACGTGACCGGCGTCTGTGCGAATGGCTCATTAATTTTGGCTCCTAGGTGAGATAACCCCAATTGCCTACCTCCAGTAACAAAGACTCTTCCCTTCCTAAACTCGTTGACCATTCTAATCTGCGGTCTACAAAAATTAGCACATAAGTGACTAAGAGACAGATGGAGACGGATTTTACCTATAATGGTTCATGCAAATTATCTCACCAAATTTGATATCACTCCGGTTTCCGGTACTTTGTCTTAAAGCCTCTTTGAGAGCTGCTTCATCGTCGCAGATCGTTTCAGGATTCGCAAATTTAGGTCCGCCGGCAATAATAGTGAACACCCCAGGTGTTTCTGATGGACGTATAGCCGTCCTGGAAGAGAAAATGGCGGTGTCAGTGACTCTCCAGACCAATATTGAAACAACCGTGCTCACATTGTGCTCGATAGGTCTCCCCAGACGTGAATCCGCTGTTCAAGTCAGTTACTGAAGGCACAAGAGGAAGAGCCTTTCAGGCAACGTACATCTTCGCTCAGCCCTTCGATGCGAATGTCACCAACGACCATGTTCTCCTCGGTTGCCTCTCCAAGGAACGCCAACCCCAGCTGTTTGCGCACGATACTCTTGGCGCCGTCGGCGCCAATGACCCATTTGTAAGTCATATCCTGCTGGGTAGGTTCGACACCTCCGGGGTACTTGAGAATCTTCACCTTGGCGTAAACATCGGACTGCTCTACCGAGAGTAGCTCGACTCCAAGCTCGACCGCACAGCCGTATTTTTGGATTTCCGCTTGGAGAATTCTACCTAAACTGTCTTGGCCGAGCTGACGAAAATTGACCTGCGCCACACACCGATCAATTTCGATCAGTTTTTCCAAAACGGGCGCACCAAGACAGGCACACGTACATAGGGGCAGGACGGCGTCGGTTCGAATTCGACGCGTTCAATTTCTTTGAGCACCTCTGTTCCTCCAGGCAGCTTGTACATGCAGACTTTAGGCACGCTTATAGCCTTCTTCAATACCTGGTCGACTATTCCGAGAGCCTCAAAGACCTCCAGTGACCGTGGCTGTCAAAAGTCGATCAGTGTTTCCCAGCAATAGCCAACAACATGTCGGAGGTTACGGTAATACCAGAGCCCCTCTGACCAATTCTTGGGTGGGTAGTCTTTTCGATAATACGAACGGGGACATCGTTTCGTACTGGTCAGGGCCAGAATGAGTCCAGCAGGGCCTGCGCCAACCTTTTGAACAGGTCAGTCGCATGCGCGAACGTTGAGATGACTATTCCAGTGTGAACTTGACGTACGATGAGGATTTCTGGTGACTTGGAAAAAGGTAATCCGGACATGAGGAGAGTATTGATCAAATACTTGCGTTGAGCGGTGTTCTTGGGGACAACTAGTGATGATAGCACTGGGCCAGAGTATCTCAATTTATGCAAGTTGAATCCTCGGATGAACCTCTTCCGTGCAGACGCATCTTCTCGGCCATGGGAAGACCTAGTCTGTTGGCTATTGAACGTCTTCAATCGCTTGGGATGTCCGCAGCCGCAGCATCACAGCCATAAACGGGCAATGATGCCGCACGGGCTTGAAGGTGGCCTTGCTTCCTGCATTTCCCGAGCATCAATCAAAGAAACGCTACTTAAGCCTTTTAATAATGGATTCCGAGAAAGGCTCGCAAGATTTAAAGATTGATACAAACTTGTTATTAGGTTACCTTATCCCCGAAAGACACCCTTGAAGTAACGGACCAACTTGTCCACATTCCCTACCCGGGCACCGACGACTCCATCGGGACGGATCACGAAAACCCCACTGGTACATTCTGGTCCTCTGTACGCGTCCTGCGCATGGCCTTCTTCGTCAACGAAGACGTCGCAATCAGTGCTGAACCCCTTCCCCGCACTTGTGATAAGAATTGGCCTAACCAACTCCGATGGGTATGCCTTCACCAAAGAGAGGAAAGGCTGATAGCCCTCGATCCTGTCGGAAAAGATGAGAACTGTGTGGCGAGAGGCATCGAAGATCTTGAAGAGGCTCGTGGTGCCTTCCCGCCGCGAAGGTCGAGCGAGGGCCATCGCGTCTGGAGCGCGATCACCCGCCTGCACCTCTCCGCCGACCTCAACATAGTACGCGGAAGTAGCACAGTGGGGTTTCCCTTCCTGAGCCAAACGTTCCTTGGGCTCGTCAACGATGATGCTGCTCCAGCGATAATTGACTCCAAGCTGCTTGAGCGCTCCTGTCCTCTTCCACGCGTCGTCGCCAGTAGGAGCGGCGCGAGTTGCGTTAAGGATACCAGTCGTAATATTGAGCATCTCGGCGACGACGGGGAGGCGCTCTTCGTTGTAGGTGTCCAAGAGAGAAGCAGGTGAAAGACCTTTCGTCACGAGGCTGAGCTTCCACCCTAGATTAAAAGCGTCCTGCACTCCTGTGTTCAGGCCCTGTCCACCGGTCGGACTGTGGATGTGTGCGGCGTCTAGAAAGCACAATAAGGTACAAGATAGAGCGACCACCGGTAAAGAATCTTACCTCCGGCGACGAATACCCTGCCCTCCCAAAATTTGTTCACCATCCGGATATTTGTCCTACAGGAGAGACCAAAGGTTAACATTCTTTGAGATCCCGACTTTTGTACTTAGCACATACCGATAATGTCCATAGGTGATAAACTCTTTGATCTTCATGTCCTTTTGGTTGCCCGTGTGCTCCTCGATGAAGCTCTTCAAAACTTCGTCGTTCGCGGCGACCTCGGCGTGGTTTTCGAACTTGGTTCCGCCGATAATAAAGTTGAATACGCCTGTATCCTCTGTCGGACGAATGCCAGTGCTGTCCAACAAATCGTTTTACCGAGGGGCCAAGCGTTAAAATTAACGATGCACCTACAATATGTCGGATATATCGCCCCAGTGATGCCATCTCTGCGATATCACCGTTCAAAGCGGAGCGGAGACGAAGTCGAAGGGAAACTCACGTCGTCACTCAAGCCCTCGAGCTTCATATCTCCTACGACAAAGTTCTCCTCGGTAGTTTGACCCAGGAATGTCAAACCTAGGAGCTTGCGGACGACACCCTTTGCCCCATCGCAGCCAACAACGTAGTCATAGGACGTGTCCTCATGTTCCAATTCCTCGGTGCTAAGCTTTTGTTTTGAAAGCTTCACCTGGACGTGGTCCGGGAATTGTTTAAATGAATCGAGTCGAACACCATGCTCTACTGATACGCCATATTCCTTCAGCTCCGCCTGCATGATTGCGTCCAAGTTATTTTGGCCACACAGGCGCATATTGGGCTATTGCAAAAATATATGCATTAGCGCCGCTCCATCGGACGGAACAGAGAAGGATGCAACTCACGTAAGGAATGGACGGGGTCGGGTCCGTGTCGGTCTGCATATCCATTTCCTTAAGGACTTCGACGCCTCCCGGCATCTTCCAAAGCCTGAGCTTCATGATCGAGCGACCCCGGGCGATCACCTTGTCTGCGATCCCGAGTAATCCGAAAACTTCGAAGGAGCGAGGCTATAAGAGTAAAAATAAACGGTCGTGGCGATGGTATCAGTTGCACCCTACAGATACGGGAAATTAAGGCATCAGAGACGGACCATGAGGCCAGCTCCGCGCTGTCCAATGCGAGGGTGGGTTGTCTTCTCGATGATCCGGACTGGGACGCCATTGCGAAGCAAGGAGAGGGCAAGAGTGAGACCTGAGGGGCCTGCGCCGACCTAAACAGCGAGACAAGAAATTCAGCGTCGATGGACCAAAAGAGCACTGAATAACTTACGATAAGAATTTTTGGCGTGGATGAGAGGGTAGAATCAATGGCCATTGTCGTTTGATTGACGAATAAAATGTGTTTGCTTGTTGAGTGTTCGAGTTGAAAGTGAGAGACGAAGTTGAACTTGGCGATACCGCAAGCTCGACGTGGGTTTTATACCCCGCTTTCAAAAATTCTAATAATCAAGGCTCGGAAACGAGGAGAGGGAGTGCTCGGCCCAAACCTAAAGTAAGTAGCTGCTGACCGGGGCACAAACCGTCGTCGCAATCGTGATCTAGACTCGGAACCCTTTCTCACCGCTACATTGTGACTCACTACCCTGTAGGATAATCTAATCGCATTCCCATTAAGCACTTCACCTCGTCTTAGATGGGTGACGAGTCCTGAACCATTTCCGCATAAAGACCCGTGGAAGGGTTCCTTCCGGACGCATCGCGCATCGTCCGCTGTCCTCGGTCTGAATGAGGTGCAGGTCTTGGGCGTTGGCTAGTTCTTCCCAAGATTACAAAGATAGAGAACGCGCAGACGCTAATGTCAGCGGGATTTGTCCTAGTCTTGCCTTTACATCAAGGATGTCGGACAGCCGTGGGCAGGGCTTTCACGGTGAGTGTGGCAGGAATGGAATGCAACCCGGACGCATGAGTGTCAACTGTCGTCGGGACGGATGTGTGAGCAAAAATACGCCTCCGCACGCTTGAGAATTTTTAGAAAGAACGGATCGATGGCGCCTACACCTCATTCGAATTACAATCGCACCGATGGTGCCATTTGTATCCGCAAGCTACGGATCGTCGAAATTGTCCTTACGCCGAACGTTCAGCATTTCTGCTTGGAGTAACAGCCACTGCAGGTAAAGGCGAGACCAAAACAGAACGTTCGAGTGCCGCACTCTGAGTGCGAGTTTCTTGTTTCGGTGCGAGTGAGACAACAAAGTTGGAACAGAGGGAGGGTAGGCCTAATGACTCGTCCAGCCACGGGTAGACAGCCGTCGCGAGAATCAAGGCAAAGCAAATCCTGCCCTCGTCATCCGACCACGGCACAAAGGTTTTCCGAAGACAATCAGAGCCAGAACAGACACCGTAAGCCACGTCAAAGAAGCCAGCTTGAATGTGAGCGTCGACGAAGTTTCAGTTGGTGGGGAAAGAAAACAAGGACAACCGGCACGAACATGCCCAGATGAGGAGAGATCTTAATCTAATCTAATAACGAATCAAGAATCTCACGCTCTCGAAGACTTGGCATCCTCGTTCTCTCATTCAGTCCAGGAAGCATTCGACCAAGGAGTAAAATATTTTGGAGACGCTGTATGACTACGAGCAAAATCCAATTGTCGCGAAACTGTTACAGACGTGGGCTCCGGGAATCATCCCAATTACGATGGCACTAGACACTGTACGAAAATACACGGCGGAGAAAAGTCCCATAGATCCGAGTCAAACAACAGGGGCAAGAATAGAATCTTCTCAGTTGTGGGCGGGTGTCCTCATTGACAATGTCCTCTTCGGGCTCTTCTCCTTCAACTGTGCGAGCTTGACCTCACGTTCCCTCTCGTCAACCCTCAACGTTTCCCTCAGTGCGTTCACTTCTACCGCCTTATCTTGCATGTGTTCGGTCGCCTCCCTGGAGTTATTCTTCAGCGTCTCCAGGACCTCTTCCTCGGACTTGAGGTGCGCAAGGTCCGTGTCGTACTTCATCTTGGCTGAGAGGTATGCGGCCTCCGTTTTCTTGAACTGACCGAGGAGCTTGTTGTGGTTGGCTTGTGCACGACCTTCATTCTAAATGCACGCGTCAAAGCGATGCTTAAGGGGACGACGGATGAGCATACCTTGACGGCGCTCTTCTGGAACTTTTGAAGTTCCTCGAGCTCGTCGATCGCCAGCGCCAGCGCCTGTTTTTCCGTCTTTGCTTCAGCTTTGATGATCTTTGTCAGGCGCTTCCCATGTTTAGCTGGAGCACAATTCAGTGAGGTCCCAACATTTGCAAACCGGCCTTCAACTCACCTTCCTCCTTAGCGATCTTCGACTTCTGCTTCGGTGTCAAATTCGCATGAGCCTCAGATCCTCTCGCATACAACTCCTCTTCCTCAGGAGCAGTAGTGAAAGGACCCGTCGTACCCGCACCATTGACGAACGCCGAACCGGGCAACACACGGCCGTCGCTCGTGGTATGTGCGCTGCGTCTTGAGCTCGATCGGCCGAGGGACGCTCCACCGTAACCTCCTGCCGTCGCTGTGGTGTCCTGACGATGCAAGTCCCCATTCGCGGGTGATACGGAAGCCTCGCGCTTGATCGGAGACGCTTTTCTACTCGGTGTTTTCGGAACTGTCTGTAAGTCTGAGTGCGATGGTTGTGGGTGAGGTTCGGCCTGATAGTGCTGGGGCTCCGGCATCGGTGGGTGGGCGGCCTCTTCTGTCGGCAGCCAGCCCTCAGAGCCGTTAGGGTGCTCAGCTACCTTGGGTTTGGGAGTCTCATAGGCTCCTGGGACAGGGGGAGTGACCAGAGACGCTCGTTTGGGCTGCGGGGCCACCGGGCCATCGTCGTGGAGCTGGTAGGGGGTAAGTGTGAGGGGGGCCTGAGGCTGGGGGTGAATATCTTGTGAAGACGGGTAATTCATGTCGTCGTAGGAGGAAAAGTTTGCTACGGGGGCGTCGAAGTAGATGGACTGTTCGCTGTGTGGGGTTTCGATCTTGTTCATGATGGCCTAAATAATTGGTTGGTTTCAGTTGCGCAACGGTCTAAATATACAAGAGGGGCAATGACGTCGATGGATTTAGGCGCCGCCTGACGTCATCAGAGGTTGTGCCTGCCCATGCTTGTCCTCCCCCCAGACTCGTCCTCTTCCTCTTCGTCGCTCTCTTCCTCAGCACATTCCTGACTGTCCTCCTCTTCCCTACCGCTTTCTTCTTCTTCGCTTTCCTCTTCTTCAGACTCCTCGTCCTCCTTGTCATCATCCTCGGCATAAAACGAATCCAAATCCGTCCATGGTCCCTTTCCACCGGTTCTTGAGTCGGGTCTTGAACCAGGCCCGGTGGGGGTCAATACAATTGGTGAAGACGCGGGGAGTTTGCCCTTCATCTGCACCTGCCCAGAAGAAGACAATGCAGTGGGCGCGGGCGGTGCAGGTGGAGCATCGTATTCCGAGTCCCGCAAGGAATTCTCCACGCCCTTCTCCAACCAGTCCGGGAGCACATCGTCCATCCGCATCGACCGCCCCGTCACTCCGCCCAATGAGCCCAGAAGCACTTTTTCGTCATCTACATTCCGTGTCAATTTTGATGTATCTACGATGGATGGAATGAATGGTACTCACCCAAGTAGCTCGAATTATCCTCCACCATCCCAGCTTTGCCCTCGAATAGGACAACCTTGACCTGCTCTCTTCTCAGTACCACGCCACTTCGCTCCTCCTCCTCTTCCCCGTTCATTCTTAGTCCAACACCCGCAAGAAGAGTCGACAGCATCCTCCCTCGATCCCTTATGTCATATCTGAGGTCGTATCTCGCCTGCGAAAACACGTATCGCACGAGCAACCCCAACGTCCTATCCACAGGTGAAAGCACAAAAAGCTTCGCAGCCAGCGTCACTACCTGAAGCTTCACCAACGGTGCCTCCTGCGCGAACGATTTGGCCAGCTTTCGGAGGACATCAGGAGCCCACTCCGCTATGCCCTCCGGGCCAGGCCCTTTCTCGTCTGAGGCACCATATTGTCCAACAAGCCAGACAACACATGCTCGCGCCTGTTCGTGCTTGATGTCGTCGATGCGTCTTGCTAGGTGTGCAATGATGGAAAGAGGCGATTGGGATGTGCTGGCAAATGCTAGGGGCGTTTGTGCTGATAGTTGTGTCTGAACGAGGTGCTTCAGGACCTGGACGGCGCTGCTAACAACGATGTCTACATGTCTGTTTCAGTCTCCTGCCCTGCAGGTGAAGTGAATCCACGAACCATATCGACTCTTGATCATCGTGATCAACGAGGTCAGACATTGCTGTACAGACTCAGGAATGCGGGTGGCGCATTTTCCTAATCCAAGGATGGCTTCTGAAACGACGCTGTCATCCACATCGTCCGCGTAGTCCTGAAGAACAGTGTCATAACCTAAAAATATAAAAATATAAGGAAACCTACGATCAACTCCCGCATGATGGCTGAATAGTTGTCGATGGTCAGCACATTCAGCATTAATCGTATCTTGTCCTTCTTGACTTGCGTCAAGTCATCCGACCTGGCTAGGAACCTGGTGTAGTACGGAGAAAATAGTTGCTGTATAAATTGTGTCATAAATGAAAAGAATAGGGCAAACATTGAGAGAAGATGAACATACTGGGGCCTGTTTCGTGATTATGAGCAGATCCACGAGCACGATCCTTTCGACTTCTTTGGACGTTGAAAGCAGGCGCATCAAGGGGTGCACGAAGAGATGCCAGTACGACGGTGGTGCGCCGTAAAATATCACTTTTGTCGCAGCCAACACGGCCTACCGAAGCTGAATCAACATAAGCAGCAGGTATTTGCAAGGAAACCACTTACAGCAGGGTTTCGACTCTGAAAGATCGGCTTGACAGAATCCAAAAGCAACTTCAAGTCCTTGTCCACTTCGTCCTCATCATCATCCCCCTTGCTCGTTGCTTCGCCTCCTTCGGCAACAACTGACCCACCACGTACCACTGGCTGGGGCAGCATCGTCCGTGCGTACCGCAGCAGCAAGTTTATCATCTCCACCTGGCCCCATTCGTCTATGTCCACGAGAATCTTGCACAGCCGTCGGTAATGTACGTGGAGAAGGTCAAGTCGTGTTGGGCATATGGCTTCGAAAGCGACTGCAACTGCACCGAGGGAGAGTGGGGACCTGTCTTGTAGCAAGGTGGTTATGATTTGGATGAGAGCAGGGAGGTGAGCAGAGTCAAGTCTGCAGGTAGGCACATGCACCACCTCAGCTCTTTAAAACTTCTGGAGTAGACAACAAGACTCACTCATAACACTTAGGTACCGCCAGGGCCGCACACTTCCTCACATACGGACTCACGTCTGCCGCGCATTTCTTGATCGCGAGTACGACCAGACTGCCCACCATCGGGACCTTGATCCCACTAAGCACCCTTAGCGCCATGCCTCGTATGAGGGGGTTGGAATCGCCAAGGTCGCGTTGGAAGGTGTTGATCGAGAGCAGTGCGAGGTCGGGTTCGTGCTCCGCGTACCTCAGGAGGTAGATGTACACGAGCTTGCGTGTCTCGAGGTTCGGAGATGCGACGTTCTTCACAACGGCGGCAAAGTATTCGGAGGCGTTGCGGCCTTTTGATATCAGCTGCATAGTTGGGTTGTACGTATCAGTGGTTGCGGGAAACACGTCTACGGGTTGGACTCACACCGACGATCCTCTTCATCGCATCCAGCTTCTCCCTTTCGCTGCTCGACTCGAGTTGCTTCCGTATATTCTTCGTCTTGTCCTCCCCGCCTTCTAGATATACCGCCGACCCCCGCGCGAGCGTCAGCTCGCGTGTGTGTTCCGAGAAGGTCTCCTGCAGGCGCATGCCCAGTCGCGACGCATTCTCGGAGATGACATTCAGATATTGTTGGCCAGACATGGTTGACCGTTATTTTGCTTGCATAGGTGCAGGAGATTGGAGGCAACGGCGCGGATGGATGGGAACAAGTTAACAACAGTAGAGTGAGGTCGACGACTCGACTCGGAGTTGACTGATCGCGCCGACAAAAGAGGAATGTTGATTACGTCATTTTTCGACGCACAAATTCTTGCGTTGTACTCCAACGAGCTCCCTATGTACGATGGTATATGAAGGTGCACTCTCATTAGAGGAATTTAGTTCTTGGACCTGAGTAGTATAGCTATCATATCTGTGATTTTCTGTGCCGAACAGATTGCGCGAGGGTAACATGCTGCAAGCATTTTAACCCACTTATTTTAACACAGTAAATTGAGGCTGTTCAAGAACGTCTTTTGTCAGTGAGCCCAAAAAATGTTTAACTGCGTCTTTTTAAGACCAAAAAGTGACAAACTCTTACGACGCTTGCCCACCGTCTGCTCGAAATCATGCGTTTACATCTCTGCCCAATTTGGGAATCGGCCTACCAAAAACGATCACCCTAAAAAATCACTGTCCACAAGTCGTGGGGTCAGTTCTCATGCCCCAAAGAAAATGGTATTTAACAAGATATATATAAGGCATCCCCCTGAGAGTGCATCTTTCCTTCGAACGCCCACTATCTCCTTCATCCCGGTCAACCATCGAGGCCGCTTGTTACACGCGTCCCACTCGACATCCACTCACTGTGCTACACTTGTCGTATCTAACCTCTCGTGAGCTCCTCCTTTTTCTTGGTTTCCGGGGATGTCTGAGGTACCTTAAAAACTGTCAGGCGAAACCCCTCCAAGTCACTTTGACGTACGATTGTGCCCTTCCAGTTGGAAGTGTCACGCACAAAAAATCCGCACATGAAGGGGGCTTTTTATGTAAGCATTCTTCAGTAGTCTCTCTCGGGCTCTTCTCCCGTACACCTCCTGCTGCTGATGGGCTGAGGTGGCTCCTTGACGGTGGTCGTCGGGGTGGAGTCAAAGTTGCTTTTAATCCTGTGAGCTCCAAATAAGTTGGCCGTAGATTGACGGTTTCTATGATTGATACGAAACACGAATAAAGTTACTTGAAGTATAACTTGTGTAATTAGGGATCTTCTTTCGACGGCTGTTCGGTACACGACACGTAGTCACCAGTTATATTTTAGTGGATGTTGGCGTTTATTTAGATGTAAGTTTCACTAAGCCTTATTCCATTGAATTTCCTCCAGGACGGGCCCAGCTATACCGCTTCTACTGATTTTTCTGAGTTGCTCCTGGCTTCGGGGTTGCAACCTCAAAGTTTTATCGCCGAGTACAATGGCCTAATCGAAATTGACCTCTGTGGCACTGCCCCACCCCTGGAAGAGATTCCGATGTCTAATTACTGTACGCGTTTTCGTCAGCGCTCAGGCGGCTTATGGACAACTCGCCGACCAACACCAGTCCCGAGTTCTATAAATAGAAACGGATCGATGAGCCCCGACTGCCGAGCCCCGACTGCACATGGATGATGACATCATAAGCAGTGTTCGCCTCAAAAACACCTGCACGCGACGCGCTGAGCTCCTTCCACAACTCCCCCCAGGCACGATGACAAGCACCCTTCCTCCCCTCGTTCAAGCCTTTTCTGGCGCAATAGGCAGCGCAACCGCTAACACGCTTACATATCCCCTCGATCTCGCTATCACCCGATTACAGCTCGACTCTCCTCGTCGGAGTAGAGAACGCGGTGGCCTAAAGGGCGCGCGGAAGATATTAAGGCATATACTCAAGAAACACGGATGGGAGGCGCTGTATGATGGAATTGTGGCGGATACAGGTGCCACGCTTTTGTCAAAGTGAGTTCCAGGATGGCTTTCAGTCATATATACTTATTTCCGTTGACTTTGACTGTCCAGTTTCTTTTATTTTTATTTTTACTCCTTCCTCCGCTCGCTGTCAACGCGTCGTCTTATCCCATTTCAACCCAAACCGCCCAATTCCAATGTGAAGCCTCATAAACCCACCTTGACTGAAGAGCTCGTCCTCGGGTTCATCGCCGGAGTCGCATCGCGTGTGATTTCCATGCCTCTCAACATTGTCACTCTGCGGCTGCAGACCGCTGGAGGGTCCGAGTCAGACAATTCAGACTCTGAGTCTGATTCGGTCTCGGAGCTAGAGTCACCAACAGACCTAGGGCTGGTGGACGTTGTAAAACTCATCTACAAGGAGCAAGGGCTCGCGGGTTTCTGGCGAGGTATATTCTCTGGACCTCCACTGCATGAAAACTGCTTACGCTCTAGCTTGTCAGGTTTCCAAACAACGACCGTCCTCTCCCTCAACCCTTCAATAACTCTCGCATGCTTCCAAATGTACCGACGCGTCCTCTCATTCGTTAAATACATGGGGCCATCTTCTTTCACCTACATCAACAAAGACGGCATAAAAGCCGCAATCAAGCACGCTCCCGCCTCCCCGAACCTCAAGCCTTGGGAAGCCTTCTTCGGAGCAGCGATCTCTAATTCTATTGCCGTTGCCATCCTCTATCCTCTCATATTGGCCAAGGTCCGACTACAGGTGTCGTCTTCAGCGACGATACGCGAAGTCCTGGTGGACGCTTACCAAGGAAAGGACATTCTCGCAAACGACAATACGCTCGGTCTTCATAAAGAGGCGACGTTTGATTCTGAGAAGTCGGGAGTTATAGGGATCCAAGGCCTCTATCAAGGTTTACAGACAAAGATTGTGAAAGGGTTCCTCAGCCAGGGCGTCACCTTTCTGGTAAAGGGAAGGTTCGTAATTAGCATTCTCTAGTCCTTTTTTCAAACTGCTCGGAACTGAGTGACTTCCCCTTAGGATTGAACAACTAATCGTTGCAGCATATCTGCGACAAATGCGGGCACGGCGTTGAAATATATTATACTCACCACCACAGCACGGTCACCACCACAGCACGGTCACCACCACAGGTAATTGTACTATACCGATCATTTAATGAGCAAGCCATGATGAAAATTGTCACGTTAGTGGAGCGTTATCAAATAGTAGTATGGTACAAGATTCAGCTGCAGAGTGGAAAAGTCCTCACGCCATCCAGGTATCAATCAAAGTTGAGTAAGACAACCTCCGTCTCCTGGATATCCAAACCGCTGGCAACGTCGACCTCTTCGACCCTCAACTCTCCGCTGACTCGTGCGTCGCTAGTTTCATACGTCTGCCCACCCCACGTTAGACCAGTCGTGTCTTCTGCATGTCTGATGAAAGGGTTAATGAGTAACGATAAATAGAATTAATGACGAGACCCATACGGAATGGACAATCTCTTGACGATCATCGTCCGCGGGACTCTCGGATTAGCGCCCGTGGATACAAAGCCTAGATCCACATGGATGCTCTCCCTCTGTGTGTCTCCCATAAAGAACGCCTGCGAGTTAATCAAGAGCGCGCGGACCAGAACACCGCCCTCGTAGAACGCGTACCCGGCGACGCGTGAGTGGTTGATGATCAGCTCGACCGCGCGGGTGGTGCCGCTCGACCCGATCGCCTCGGCCGCGATGATGGCGGCGTAGTATTGTGGCTGGATGTGTGGCGTGAGGGGAGATGGGAGGGGCGAGGCATCGAGGATTGAGCGTGTGAGAGTTGCTGGTTGGATCTGGAGTGGGAAGTGAGGTTGAAGCGAATAGGGAAGAGTGGCAGATCTCACGAGGTTATACTTGAAACCGATGCCTTCGTGGAAGAAGACTCTAGATATGCCGATCTGCGTCCTGAGATTATGAAGGGGGCGCGATGGATCAGACGGGACGGAAGACGGATTAATGATGCGTACGCATATAGCAAATAGTCAAGCGTCCATAAGGCCGCGCCGGCGGTGTTGCTGACGCCAGGCGCACCCTATCCATGACAGAACGCATACAATGAATCAAAATGCGCGTTGCGGAAGAGAACAGAGTCGTACGTGGCAAGAGTAGCTATTAGTCTCGCCTAGGACGTAATCCAGTCCCTTTCCACGGACAACAGCAATATCGGGAGTGAAGCTCGATAAGTTGCCTCGAATAGTGCTCTTCGTCATCAAATCTTGCAGAAGGCCGGCACTGCCAGAACAGAAGGAGCCACTATAGCGGTGCTGTGATATCCTACAGGCAATTAAGCATTGCATCGAGGAGGGATATCAGCACGATGAAACTAAAGCGGTGAACAGGCACAGATTGAGCGAGAAGTGTGCATACGTGGATATCAGAGAACCAGGAGCGGACGCCAATATTCCCTGGTCGAAGATGGCTTGAGGCGAGAAACCAGTCGTCGAATGCGAAGAGCCAGCAAAGCCCGCACCCCATAGCTTTGTGTGCGAACTCGATGTGAGGTCGACAGCTGCCGTCACATTCGCAGCGAACGCGATCCATCTGACAATGACACCCAGAGGAGATAAGTGGCCGATTCAGCGAAACCGATATAGGTAGAGTGTGAGTTGTTGAGATGATGATGAAGATGGCGGTGAATTCAAATAAAGGGTAGATTTCGATGGTGGAGGCCAGGAGTGTTCGCCCATGATTAGCCCTCGAATCTAGAATGACGAAAGAAAGTACGCACTCTTTGACGTATTGTGTCACATTGTACGTTCTTGGCCGGGCGCCGTTGTTCATGTACAAGTCCGCCTCGTTGCCAATCTGGATGGCGTCGAGCTTGATCCCTGCATCCTTGATCGCTGGTGAAGCGAACGCCTTCACGAGCGACTTCGCGTTCAGGAAGGCCGAGGTTATATTGTTCTGCCCCAGATTCAGACCCCAGATGACGTGTGTGTCTACGACATCGAGAAGGCGAGCATGAATAGAGGAAGCAAATATATGGGAAGCAAGAACTGACTTGGTGGGAGAAATTTGGCAGTCGCGTAATAGCCATCTCCAACCGTTATGTTAATGGCTTCCGGGTATGGTACGGTAGCAGATGGGGCCGGAAATATCAGTTGAGCGAACTTGTGCACGTCAGGTCAGCTTGCAAATTCGTTTCTCTTCAGAAGAGAACAGCACTCACTTCTACGTTAGGGTTGAAGTTCGTATGGTCTTCGCTGTTCGCTCCGATTCGGATTTGTGGTGGCTCTCCAGTCAGCTGCTTGTAGTTGTCCAAGGCGTTGAAGAAGAACTCGTTTCGAGATGTGGTACCGACCCAGTCTGTCCAACGGTCCTGTTCGATGGAGAATGAGAGGAGAGACGGGGATACCGACACAGCTGCTTGAGGGGTATTCAGGGAGACTGAAATATTAAGACCGGAGCATATCTGCGTCAAATGCAAGAGAAGAGGGATTTGATATGCGGCGCGGGGCATTTTGAGAGATGAAGCAACGGATCTTCGAGCAGATGGAACGACTTATATACCGCCTCTCGGTGGCAAAGATGGCTCGAGAGCTAAGATGGTACGATAATTTCGCGGCTGAATGTCCCCCGAATCTCGAGAGGACGTCCCGCCTGCCCCTGGTCGCGTAATAGATAATTTTAGCTGGTTCTGACCCAGAGCGCAAGCCTAACTTGGTCATGTTCTTGAGAATCGAAGAACGACCCGACATTGAGGGCGTCGGGTTCATGCTGGCCAACGCCAGGTGACGAGATCTCGTGTTATGAGCTCCTCAGAATAGAAGAGGCGTAGCGAAATCTTGAATAAAGCGGCCGGCGCGAAGGTGGTCGATTAATCGGGGCCTCGCCGATGCCACAAGCCTCCAGTGTGCCAGGTAAGCTTCTATAGGTTGGAAGACGGCCTGCTAGATACACGTATGGAGCACAGAGGAAGGCAAACGCAGGGTATGCATATAGTCCTCGCCTCTTCTGAGAACGTTTGGCCTGCGACTGGAGACCAACGGCGGCGTGTAGACGGCCATTTCATCGAGACTTCCGCTAGGCATCGTGACAATTTGAATGGAATTCGTATATCAGAAATAGTCTCCTCAGCAGGGGCCAGTGTGCAGATCGGGACAAGGGAAAGGTCATGGAAGCGTGAACTGAAGGAGCCTTGCTCGGGCACCAATGCACCAATGGAACTTGATTACGTCATCGCGCCTGGCTAAAGTCAACAATGCACTCCCTCTGTGTGCAACATTCACCTTGGTTGGACTCTTGCGACCTAGACCTTTCAGAATCTCTTTTGAACATCTGGCTACGTTTCTTGTGTCCGTCCAACAATAGCTCTCCAATGCGGCTTGCTAATCTCGTGCCGTCTATCCCTGCACAACTAGTAGCATCCTTGGAAGCCATCGGCATTCGAACGGAAACCGAACTATTACTTTCGACCTCAACCCTCGATATATTTAGGCGTTTACCAGCAGGAACTACCACGCTTCAGGCACTCATAGAAGTTGCGTCACTTGTCGCGTCACTCTGCGCTGCTCCTAGTCTCTCTGCATATGAGCTGCTCATCCTCGAAGAGCATGCACGCAAACAACAAAGACCGCTATGCAGCGGGAATGAAGCACTTGACGACCTCCTTCGCGGATTATCTGGCGGAAGGGTGATTGAAATATCGGGAGACAAGGGTTCTGGAAAATCTGTGCGCTCTGGGCTATCTCGTTGATGACTCTTCTTGACAATGTTTAGGTTCTTGCGCTGAATATCGTCGTGCAACACTTGGCCACCTACCCTGATAGCAATGTCGTCTGGATCGACACCATGGGAGACTTCTCAGCCGAGATTGCCGTCCAGATCTTGAACAGCAAGCAGGTCAATCTTGACAGTTCCGGCCAGAAGGCGTCTCTTAATGGTCTCTAGGTTTCATCCAGAGTGCTGGAACGGTTGCATGTTTCACTAGCGTTTGACACTGATTCCGCGCAGACGCTGCTGGATGACTTAGTCCAGGCGACCTCTGTGCGCTCAGTTTTTCTTTCTCTCTCTTACCTACTGCCACTGAATTCAGATCTGGGTGGCTTCAGAATCATCCACAGTTGCTTGTACTTGACTCTATAACGCCTCTTATTGCGCCAACTTTAAGTGCCGTCTCCACTCAAGGGCATGCGGTCATGGTTGAATTTATGCGCTGCCTACAATCCTTTGCTCAAACCTCCAGAGTCACCGTCTTGGTAAATACTTTGAACATGCTTTCGACAATCAAATGCTCATCCGTCGCCTGCCAGGTCAACAATAATACTGCGGCCAAAGGACCAGATGCATCGGAAAGGAAACCCGCGCTAGGACCCTCATTCGCACTGTTGACTGATACGACATTGTGGCTTCAAACCAAGGAGCCGTCTGATAATGAAGAGCATTGCTCATATTCCATCAAAGTCCTTCGATCACGATCGATAGTGTGTATGTCTTTTATCTACCAAGGCGTTAAAGCTGACCCGTGTCTAGCCTTGTAGTGACCCTGTGTCTTTTCATATTTCCAACAACACATGTGCGATTGGCTGATCCCTTTTTGTCTCAGCCATGTTCATGCTGCGACAAATATATCGTTAATAAACTTATCGCGCAGCCTGACGGATGGTAGTAAGTGCGCATACATTGCATGATCATTGCGTTTTCTTGATGGTTTGTTATGCTTATTTTTGCAGAAAGGCACTATCGACGTATTATGAAAGAAATATGAGGCAACTCTGCATGATAGGCGTCCCGCGTCAGAGAGCGTCAGAATAGATGATAGACTATAATAGATGCAAAAATATCGCACATCACGTTATCTATTGCGCCATCTGTGATTCCCTTCGCGAGAAGTCACGTCAATTATACGCATTGGAATCCACTCCCATGTCGAGTCAATGGTCCAATCTGCTGACCCGTTTACCGACTTAAAACGCTGATGATATTCTCAGCACCGGGTTTCCTGTAACCCAAGAAATTTCCCTCGCCATGGCCCCAGTTGCTACTACTGAAAGAGACGACGCTCCTGCGTCTGTTCCTGCCCTGAAAAAGGTCGCTGCGGACAAAGTCTTCAACCCGTTCTACTCGCCTCTTCAAGGCGACGACGGGGATGAATCATACAAATATGCGGACTACAGGGTCAGTTTCCGTTTGAATGACCGAAACAACTGTGACTCTACCCTTATACATAGCCTTCCTTCCCTAACATCACGTATGAACCGCTGAAAGAACAAGAAGTCGTCGAGCGCGGCTTATTTGCCGACCCCGGAAAGCCAACCCTCCTCAAGGCGGCCAAGAAAGTAACGACTCTGACCCCGGTCATCGGCACAGAAATCGAGGGCATTGACCTGAGGCAACTGACTGATGGTCAGAAAGATGAATTGTGGGTCGTGTTTTTCGTTCCGTTTGAAACATTGTGCTTAATTTCTCGGGCAGGGCACTACTCGTTGCTGAACGAGGTGTTGTCTGTGAGTTCTTGCTACCCAAATGAGCCAATACACGAGATAGCCTGACGCAGAGATATGAAGTCTTCCGTGATCAAGAACTTGACATCCACCAACAACTCGACCTCGCACGTTACTATGGACCACTTCACAAGCATGCGACGACTCCCATTCCTCGCATCGGCCTCGAGGAGGTCCATGGTAAGCACACGATGCAGAGCAATCGATTACCGAATCTCATCTCAGCTGTACTTACAGTTGTCTACAACGATGCCAGCCGTCGACCTGATCCAACTTCTTTCTCGAAGCTTGAGTTATGGCATTCAGATGTAAGTTTGTCTTCCCAGCCAACCGTAGTCAAGTGTGAATTAAACCTTGTTTCTGGAGGTTTCATACGAGCTTCAACCTCCCAGTACAACCTCGTTGAAAGTTATCACTAACCCCGAAGTTGGTGGTGACACGCTCTGGACCTCTGGGTAGCTAATCTCACCGTTTTTGCGATCCGCTGCATGCTGAAGTCACATACAGTTATGCTCTGTATTCTTCTTTGAGTCCAGGCTTCCAAGCCTACCTCGAGGGTCTCACTGCCGTACACAGCGCCGTCGCCCAGGCTGAAGGAAATAGAGCAGCAGGCCTCCCCGTTCGTCGACAGGAGATCGAGACCATCCACCCAGTGGTCCGCGTACACCCGGCCACTGGCTGGAAGAGCATCTACGTGAACCCTGGTAAGTAAAAATTCTTCTACCCCTGAACGTGTCCTACAGCCTTCTAACCTTGCATGGTGTTGGAATCGTTAACAGGGTTCACTCGGCGATTAGTGGGCGTACCCAAGGCTGAATCGGACGCTGTTCTTCAGTTCCTCTTCCACGAGCTGAGCGGGAACCCCGATTTCCAAGTGCGCTTCAAATGGCAGACGAACTCAGTCGCTATCTGGGACAACAGAGTAAGCGTTAATTTTAGTTTATTGAATGGACCCTTCATCATTTCGTTTGACTTACTGATGAATAAACTCTAACGTAGGTTGTAACGCACTCCGCGACTTTTGATTTTTGGCCTGCGACTCGGCATGCGCTGCGCGGGACTCCTCATGGCGAGAAGCCTACCTCAGTCGAAGACTACGAGCGGCAGACGGGGAAGCAGGCAAAGGACAGGCAGCTGGAAATATGGAAGCAGCAGGGAATTACGGTGGAAGTCGAGGGGAAACCCAAGGCGGCAAAGCCCCGTTACAACGATTGAAGGGCGAGGCCAGCCCTCCCAGATGGTCCAATAAGCAACAGGGAGCATCGTGATTGTAAGATAACGTTAAGGAGCTAGACTAACTATAAACATGAATTCATCTAAGATGCTCAGCTTCTATATCGATCCAATAGCATTCCCATCGCCGCGTGCTCTCCCTCTTGGAGTCTGCCGTACCGCGAGACGTGAGACGGGAATAGATAATCCCATCTGGAGGGTTGCTTGTATGAAAACAAGCAAGACTGCCCGAAGGGGGCGATTGATATGTGAATGAACAGTTTGCATCGGGATATCGGCAAAACCCATCGGATTCTGCGACACGGTGTTCCCGCAGTTTCGGGTGAAATATTGACATCCAACGCTGCGCACCACTTCATCTGCCAATCGAAGAAATTGACTTGTCTGCTGAACACTGTACACGAGGTCCTCCACGGCCCTGCGCCTCTTGGTATATATCTGTCGCTCATGAAACAAGAAATGGTGTAATTCTGAAAATGGTTGCCTGGGACAAATAAGCGAGACGCCCACAAATGCTGGGGAGGCGCTACTGACCTTCTGTCTTGTGTCATAACCTCAAGTCTTCAAAATGATGGGAAAAAAGCGACGACGAGACAACACGGATGGATCCTGTTTTCACAGGAGGCAAACCTCGTAGAGGACCAGCTGTCCATCTTTCAAACGTCCTGGTACGTTGAGCGAGGTTCGAGTATGGACACACTAGCACTTCAATGTCTAGGAAGGTGAGATGTTCACAGGTGCTGAAGAGATGGTGGATGAAAGCCAGGGTAAGGTCTGCCAGGATGGTGCTTCCTCATTCTTACTGAGGACAAGCCCACGCAACTTGGGAAGGCGAGAGACTGAGAGACTATTGGCATCTCGTCCATCTGGAAATACTACGGTTAGCGAATTTTTTTGGGGAATTAAGGAAGGCCCACGTCGCAATCGAACAACTCCAGACATTCAAGTGAGAATAGATGATCAACTAACTTCACAAAAGTCATCCATGTCATGCAACGCGGTGTATTCAGGCGCCCTAAAGTGAGGTATTTCACTTTTCCCAGTGCGTCTCGAAGGGATGTGCTGTCGATCGTGCTTGCTGCCTGACTGTATGTGGCTCGCCAGTTAACCATCTTGATGTTTCTACCCGGGGGGAAGCTCGCTAGGTCACGAAATAGTCCGCCAAACAACTCCAGTTCTGGTAGGAGATTTTCTGCCAGTGGAGGTCTGAAGTCGTCTGTTATGAAATTGATGATCAACCTCCTGACCTTGGGCTCAGTCGCGACGAATTTCAAGAATACTCCACTCGGAACTAGGACTAAAATTTGTTAGTTGAAACTTGCACCCTTGTATACTTTGACTTAGTAGATAATGAGTCCCTTCAAATTGACCATGAGCGCCAACGCGCGGGCGAAACGCTTTTCGATCCTTTTCTTCCTAAGTTGTAGGTTCAATCCAACGTGGTAGTTAATGATATACTGCCCGTCTAGGGAAACGGGTTACAGCCTTCAAGGACCCCTCCTGAACGTCCACGCCGCTGCTATTGTCCATGGATCTGTATAAACTTGCTCTGCCTTCTCCTTGAGCACACTGCATGAGAGCATCAACGAAAGGAGAGTAAGATAGTCGTCCGTGCATTCGATGATGAGATCGGTGATCTCGACTGGGAGAGGGGGTGTACAGCGGGGGTCACGGTCTAATATAAGATGAACACGGGTTTCGGATGGGGACCGAGAGGTACTAGGACGCACTTTGCCTTCTTGCTTCCCTACGCGAGTTCGCCCCGTAGTCCTTCATGCAACATCGCGTACGTCTCCTCATTCCGATAGGTCAGACAGATCAAGAAGTGAGAACAACAAAGAGACGCAGACAGCAACTTTGCGAAATCGCAGAGCTATCTAATCTCCCATCAGTCACATCTAGATCTAATCTATGTGATCTCACTTCATATTCTACAATTAATAAGTATTTGGAAAACCCAGCTCTCGTCGCTCCTAAGCACCGAGCGACTTGCTGAGGGCACAGAATATAAGGTATGTGACCGTTCTTCATGCTAGCCGTTAGAATAAAACTTTAGGCTGTTAAACCATCAAATGAGCACTTCCACCAAAGGCAAGTCTTCATGCGCGCCACACAGGCTTGGCAACGACCAACCACGTGAAATGGTTCCGCATCCAGATCATCGTGACGTCTGTTTCTCGATCTCGCATAGACAACGGGATTTCACATAGACAGAGATACGATATGCGTCGCATACTTTTTGAAGCGGCGAGCGGGAGAGAATTTATAATTGAAGTGGAGTATAAGGCGCCCCTGTGTAGGGGTTTCAACACGTTCTGAGCTCAGTTACGCTTCTAAAAGATTTAATTCTTAGATATATAGCTAGTCGTCTTCCTGACAGGGGACATGCCGAGTTGAGGACCCTGGCATATCTTCGTAATCCCTCTTCCGCAACCGCGCAAGACATAAAATCGATTCTCCTGACGGTAAAGATTTTATACTAACTTCCGAACTGCCGGAAAAGCTTGCAGTTGTTCTACTAACTATCATGTAGAATCCCGCTATCTAGCATCCATCCCTCCGAGTTACTCTTTACGCCAGCTGGCGTGTAATCCTTCAAAGACACGTCCTTCCAGCTTATTTTCGCTCAAGCGATATATCTATCAAATCGTCTACTAGTTGCATCCCGATCCAATAAATATAGTCCAGTGCCGTAAATAGTTCCGGCACTAGGCACTCTGGTCCCTTGCACTCCTTTCCTTTCGCAGCTTCCAGAATTCCGAACCCTGAGCTGATCATCTTACTCACAGGTCTAGGCTACTTTCTGCTCTTCCATGATTCTGAAGTGCGGCTGAAGGCCACGAAACCATCACCTTGATTCTTGCCAGTCCAAGAACGCCCATCCAGCAAAGGCATGCGCGCCACACAGACACCGTAGCGATCAGACCACGCGGAATACTTCCGCGCCGAGATCGTCGTTCGTCAACTTGCCCAAAATGTATTTATAATTATTCCAATCGAGCGGCGAGCTACCCGGCGAATCACCCCATGCGCAACGCATCTGGATCCACACAACACCGCCGATCACGATCCGATGCGAATCAGAAACCGATTATCGATCGTGTCACTGTGTATGCACCATATGCAGTGTCGACCGACCTCGGTCCAGCGCTAATCGCACGATAAATCTAGAAAAAGATTGTCAATTCTCCGAGCCGGGCGCTCTGTGGGATGGGTAGATCTGGCGACTGAGGGAGAAGGACCGCGTATGGAACGGTGGCGCACCATTAGATAACCGGTGCGGGCGAACGAAAATGAAGTATGTAGGTAGGGAGGGAAATACACAAGGGTGAAATATGAATATGTGGATATGCGACACCTAACGGTGAAGCGGACTGGGAGGGATGTATGCGCGAAAACAGCTGAACAATACTTGAACACAATGAAGATGTGATACTTAAAATTCGTGATAGAGTAATAGGAAAAGCTAAAATGAAGATAAAGAAAAATGAATGAAGAGACGATGTGAAGTATGGTAGGTAGACAAACTTGACTGCACGACAGATATGAATGATCAATGAACAACGGGAGGACAAGGACAAAGCAATCGCGGTAGAGTAATCAGGAAGAAAAGTAAGCAAGTAAAATGCTAGATGAGAGGTAACGTATAGCGGACGGAAACATCGTAGAAAACACACGAGTTAGGTAGGACAACAAGAACTAGGTAAGTAGGGTAATTACGGGTCGCCACACCCACCTGAGGAGCAGCAGTACTAGCAGCACTAGCGGATAGCGGACAAGGGGAAAAGAAAAGAGGGAAGAGAGGAAGGGGAAGGGGAGATGTGGACGAGAACGTAGGTGGGTGTGGTCAGGCATAATCTACAAAATACAGCGAGCGTCCGAGGGGGTACGTTTGGTTAGATCCCTTCTGGTTCTGGTTTCGGGTTTTTGGCATATTGAGGGAATACATCATCGTGGCTGAGTCGCAGACCCACGCATGAACGACTGGTGCTGCATATGCTCTGGTTGTGTATACCCCCGCGACCACGGCGGAGGAGGGGCGAGAGCCGTCACAGGTGGAGGGTGGGAGTGCATAGGCTGATGTTGCGGTTGCTGCTGCTGCTGTGGTGGAGGCTGAGACTGCTGCTGTGGCTGCTGTTGTGGTTGTTGCGGTGGTGGTGGCTGCTGCTGCTGCTGTTGTGGCTGAGACTGCTGCTGCCCTCCTCCCCTATTCGCCATGCTCCCATTCACCGCCCCACCAATCCCCACGTCCATCACCCCGACCGACGCCGACCCACCCACCGCCTGCTGCTCCTGCGGCATCGGCGCCATCATATTCACCAGCTGGAACGAGTGCTGCTGCCCTGTGGGTGCCGGCTTCACTCCATCGGCCATCGACGAATCCCCGTCACCGCCTTGGGCTTGTGTGTTGGACGTGCCGTTGGCTCGCGACCCCTGCTTCGCGCGGGAGGCTTTCTCTGCAATGTCGGCTGCGCGGGCGGAGGCGCGCAGTGTCTCGAGGTCGATGTGCGGTGCTTCGCCGTTCGCGTTGGCTTTGTCGCGTTTCCGCATGAGCTTCGCGTAGTCTGTACATCCCAAAGATGAATAAAAAGAAGAGGAAGAAACGAAAGAACCACGCACGTAGACCACACGCATTACACAACGTCCTCGCTCCATCCGGCCCTCTCCTCCACTCTGGCGTCTCCCTAATGTTACACGAATGGCACTTGCCCGGTGGTGTGGCGCGCTATATCCCAAAAAAACAAACAAAAAAAAGAAAGGAAAGAATAAAATTCAGCCTTGGATGAGCCCAGTAGATCAAGTAACGCACGGCAGGGGCCGGACGTACACTTCTTTTCCTGTACTTGCTCTTCGGCTGGCCTGCAGACCCAGCAGCTACGGCCGTGCTCGTCGCGCGCTTCGTGCGGATGATCTCCATGTCCTGTTCCGCCGTCGACTGTGGGACCGTTGACGCGTCCCCGTTTGGCGCATATTGCTATATCAAGAACAAGACCAGATCGGGGGAGGGTCGCAAGTAAATGGGGTAAAAGGTCGCATAATAATAACCGTCAAATAACCGAAAAACCGAAAGTGAAAAAGCGGGACGCACCTCCGCGAAGCCATTGACCTCTGTAACACCACCAGCCTGCGTCCCAGCGCCGCCCTCGTCCTGCGAGATGTCTTCCCAAGGCCTCTTGGGCGGCCTATGGTCGTCAGGCGATTGCTGCATCGTGTCCCCACCACCGGGGACGGCACCAGCCCCCACAGGCGCCCCGCGGTCTCCTTCTGGCAGTTGCATCCTCCGAAGCTCTTCCAGCAGGCGCACAACCGCCACGGCGCGTTGGGACATCTCCTCCAGCTCCGGCGCACTCGGCTGGACCCCCGGCATCGTGCCTTGCAGCTGGGCTAAAATTACAAAACGGTCAGGAGCTAGGACAAAAGGAGTGAATCGAGCCCTTTCTTACCGTATCGACTCGCGAAGCTATGCAGGATAATGCAGTGATTAGTGATCTGGAGATTCATAAGCAATGGGGATAAAGATAGCATCTGGCGAGATGAAACGTACTTCAGCCATTGGGTCATTGCGGGCAGAGGGAACGCGTTCCGGTTCATGATAAGTCGTGGGCCGGGTTTCGAGATTAGTGGGTACGATAGCAGTAGTTCGTGAAGGAAATGACAAGGGTTGCTGCTGCGGTTGCTGTTGATAATGCTGAGGGTGTTGCTGCTGCGGTGGTGGTGGCTGCTGCTGGGGTTGCTGTTGCGGATGTTGCTGAGGAGTAGGAGGCGGTGGAGGGGGCTGTTGATGATGTTGCTGGATCATATGAGGTGGAGGAGGTTGATTCGAGGGCATTTGTGCTGGAGGTTGTTGATAGTGCTGGACATGTTGTTGTGGTGGTGGCTGGGGTTGTGGAGGGGGTTGCTGTTGTTGGTGCTGCTGTTGAGGCGGGGGTTGAGGGGGATGCTGAGGCTGGGGATGTGTCTGTCCCCAGGGCCCTTGCGGAGGAGGAGCGGAGGGAGGCGGACCGGGAGAGGGGTAAGGGTTGGAATGGTTTTGTTGTGGCTGATGGGCTGGATGCTGATGCACTACGGGTTGGCGGGGCTGCATGTACTGGTGCTGATACGGCGCGTACCCTGGGTGTGCAGACACGGGAATCGGGTGGTGCTGCATCTGCCCGTGGGCCGGCGGGGGTGGCGGGGCCGGAGCCGGGGCGGGTGCTGGCTGCGGAGCTTGAGTCGATGGTGCAGACATCCCCGACGGGATTTGGTGGTACTGGGCCGGCGGCTGAGGAGGCTGAGATGGCGGATAAGATGCATAATGGGGAGGAGGATATGCCGGCTAATGAGAACAAAGTCAACACGCGACATATCTGGACTTTGCAAGCTGGATTTACATGAGACGCGCGGACCTCACGGGGTGCACCCATGTTCGCTGAGGCGTTCCGCGACCGTTTTGGCTGGCTGGGCGACGGGGCGATGTCCTCGCTGCGCGGTGCCCCGATATTCACTGGCACGGGAGTGGCCTGGGCTGAGAGGGGGATGCCCGGGTGCGCATATCCGCCATTTTCGTGTTTTGAATAGTCGACCTTTGTTGCGACGTCGTGGCCAGCCGACAGCGGGGGAGTGTGCTGCTGGTGGGGGGCGGGTGGGGGCTGCTGCTGTGCGGGTGGGGCGCGAGACCATGCTGGGTGCTGTCTTTGCTGCTGCTGGTGGTCCTGCTGCTGCTGTTGCTGCTGATCGGGCTGGCCTGTGGGTGACTGGTAGGTGAAGTTGAGGTCCTTGAGGGATGGGAGGCGGAAGTCGTTCTGGTTTGGCGGGGGAAGGGCGTAGCGGTGATGTTGGTGGGCTGAGGCCATTGAGGATCGGGAACGGGCCAGAGATTGAGATCAGAAGAGCCGTTGTTTTTGAATCTGAGCATGCGAGGGCCTATCTCCCGATGACGGCGGATCTGGTCCGAGCACAGGGCCTCTCCGCTGCCCAGATCGTCGCTCCCCGACCTGCTCAAAGCCGTCGTCGCTGTCGCTGTCGTCGCCGCTGCTGGGGCGCGCGGTGGTGGGGGCAGGACGGGCCTGCTCGCTGGCTGCACTGCCTGTCTCGACACTACTCGATCTCGCCAAGGCGGAGTCTCAATTCCCCTCCCAAATCGGGACAGCCCATCCCCCTTCCGCATGTTCAATCGGGGATCCAGCCTCCCAGATCAGATCCCCCCGTCCTTCTCCCCGCACACTCTCCATCGCCGCTCCAATTCACCTCCAGCGGCCCTCGCCCAGCCTCCTACTTCCCAGCCTCCCAGTCCCCCAGTCGTCTCTTGTCCGCACGGACCCGCGATCCAGCAGTGCTACTGAACCTCTACCCACGTGGGGTAACACGCTGTGCCTGATCAGGGTCTCGCTCCAAGATCATTCCAAGATGGCGCGTATGATGGCGTTTTGCCGCTTCCAAGATCCACACAATCCCCGCCTGCTCCTCCTCCCCGCCTTCCATCTCACAAAAATCCACCTACATAAGCAAAGTCCATAGCTCATCCGTTATTCCACAATCACACCCACTGCTTCCGTTATCCACAGCTCCGCAGGCAGCCGGCAAAGCTTCCAGCTTCTTGACCCACCCCTTCCCGCCGCTTCGGCACCAAAAGGGTCCCGCCAGGCTCCGAGGAGATCTCGAATGTGGCGTTCTCGCCAAGCATGCATACAGCAAACTAGAGCAAACCCAGCATCATCACTCAACGGCCCCAAAGGCCCACACCTGACATCGATATCGATACGGCCTCCTTACTTAGATTGGCTCAGAATTAGGCTACGCTCCTCCAGTCAGATCGCGAGCCTGCTGCTGGAGGCAGGTGTAGATTTTTTTAGCCGCCACGAAGTCTGGAATAAATAAGTTGGACTCTGTTGGACTGATAAATGCGTCGAAGAGGAAGGGACGCTAGGATAGATATGGTAATATGCCGGGTTCCCGGTGCGGCGCATCCGCCCATAATTTACGAGAAAGAAAAGCATCTCACCGCCAGAAGGTCGAAGCTACGCCTGGCAACTCGCGAGAACCAGATGCGGTGCCCTCATCCAACAACTTCCAAGCAAGCCGTAAGGCAAGCTTGAATGCACGAGGCGCGGAGGCCGACAAAGCATGTTTTTCCGGGGATCCCTTTGTCCAATCCAAGTCCAAGTACCTTTGTATGATGTCTTTCTTCCAAGCTTCAAGCTATAAACTTCAAGGTCTTAGGCGACTTAGCTCGAGGCCAGAACCGTACACTCGCACCACCCATCCAGGATTCTGGGCATCTTCCACTTATTGTGTTTTTCTCTTCTTTTCCTTTGCCTTCCTCTGACGCAAGGACAAGCATCTCGAGTTCCAACAGGCACGGCCAACCAACCACTCGGGTCAACATGAGCACCCGTTCCCCGGTACGGCTGTATACCCCGGCCTTTCAGCTTTCCTCATCCGGGTCCCGTCATCGCTCTCTAAGACTTTAACATCTATCTCGCAGCTTGCCGCCTGATCACCCAGTCGCCCATATCAGGACGTAATCGATGTGCGTATGTACCGTGCCCTATGGTCTGGTTATCCCCACATGGGAGGGAAGGATATACTTACGGGTATGTCAGAGGAAAGACTGGAGGTGATCAGCCGGGCGGTGCGCAGTCGGTCGCGGGCTGGCCACAAGATGAAGGATCAAAAGAAGAGGAAGAGAAGGGAACTGAGGAAATTATTTACAACAACTGTGAAAAGGAAGGCGCGGCCTTGCAAGGAGACTTGTCGGTCTGATGCAGCCAGAAAAGTCGTATCCCCTGCATCGATGAGTACTCGAAAGGTTTCCGAGGCTCTGAGCTCTCTCAGCCGCGGCGAGAGCGGAAGGATAATATCACTCGAAATTCCGAGACAACTTACAAAGGGTACGCGACATGAGAACAAAAAGGAAAAACAACGGCGAAAAGGGTACAATCACCTC